TCGCGATCTCAGACGATTATTGTGTTTGTTATATGTACACACAAATTTTGTTGTCTGCAAATAAAAACAAAATAGGGAGCAAAACATAATATTTTATTAATTTAGAAAGATGGAGTATAATTGTAATACCCCTAATTTTAAAAGGATAGTCTCGACATTTTAATTATGGTTTTATTGCATTTTGCTTGATTAATTGTTTAATTTGTTTGATTAATTGTTTAATTACTTATTTGTTTAATTATTTTATTATTTATTTAATTAAATTATTTAATTGTGTATTTAATTACATTATTTGGTGGTTGTTTAATTGAATGAATTGTATTTTTATTTTCTTTATTGGAATTAATTGTTTTAATTGGTTAAATGGTTTATTAATTTAGTTAATTGGATTCAATTAGGGTTATAAGTTATAATGTTAAAATTAGGTTTTATTCTTTTAGAAATCACGTATGGGCGGACTGGGGTTCAGTTTAGGGTTTTAATTGGACTTAGGTTTTGTAATTGCCTATAAATATATATGTCATACGTTTGCCTAGGGTTTTAGAACCCTATTCACGGCACAATGAAGGCAGAGCAACATAACAGAGACTTGTGAGAAAACAGAGCAAGCTCGGTGAGGGTTTCGACTGTGGCTTAAACGTCGGACCTAGGAAGAGGGAAGGCTGCGCAGTAGGAGGTTGAGTTGACAGTAAACGGACGTTGTCGGAAAACTTAGGAAGACGGCGACAAGGTTTTGATTCCAAAACCACACAGGCAAGTTCTATTTTGTCTCTCTCCCCTGGGCTTGTGTTCTGTGCATACCTAGATGATCTCTAGGGTTTTAATTAAACGTTAACTCAATCTTGCATGCTTAGTTTATGTTAAATTAATCAACTGTATGTGTTTTAATTTAATCTGTAACTGTTCTTGCAAGTTGGAGTTCGTTGTCTATTTTATAGTATAATGAATCGGTGGTTTTTCTAATGGTTGTTATTAGTTCCTACTGTTGTAAACAAATGTGTAGGATGCTACTGGGTATAGATTAGACTCTTAGGTTCAGTATTAAGGAAGAACATAAGGGTTGAAAGTGGCCGGAGACGAAGCAGACGGTCAGAAACGGATCATAAACAGATCAGGGCTCTCAAAGAGGGAGAAAGCCGGCTCCATGGAAGAGGGAGCCGACTCCTTCAAGTGCAGAGCCAGCTCTGGGGGGTTTAGAGCCGGCTCCATGCATGGACAGAGCCTGCTCTCAAGTTTTGAGAGCAGGCTTCCTTGTTTTGACGCCTTCTAGAATGGTTTTGGGCACTGTTTTGGACGTGTTTGGTATTCTGGATTGTTTTAAGGATTGTACTAAGGGTTCTAAACATAATTTCAAGGGATATTAAACCCTCTAATTGCATAATGTATTCTGTATTACTAATAGGATGAACAGTATGAAAGTAGACAACTTTACATACTATTAACGGTTGGAAGGAAATTAATTGCTTAATTTTAATTTGGCAATTTAACGGATTATAGCATGATTATAAATCTTGTTTTGGATGCATACTAGGGTCGTTTATTTATCAGATTTGATATATACATACCCTGGATTTTAATTGCTGAAATATTAAACTTTTTTTACAATTACATGGATTAAGGTTTGGATTTTAATTGCTGAAATATTATACATTATTCTGCAATTACTTGGATTATGGTTTTAAACTTTAATTGATAAACTGTTATTTATGTTATGTAATTTACATGGTTTTGGACTTTAATTGTTGAACTATTATTTAGGTTCTGTAATTTACATGGATGGGACGGTGACATATTAGGGATGGTTTATCTCAGAACGCTGAGACCTACCCTATTGGAATAAGGGAATGGATTGTAAAAATTGAATTCTACTTATATTTAGGTCAGATCAACTGAGTAAGCTGAGTGACCACGTGGATTAATTATTGTTTGTGGTTAAGTCAGATCAACTGAATAAGTTAAGTGACTAACAGGATTAGAATTCTTATGTCAGATTAATAAACAATTTAGATGACATACTCTGGTTTGGACGGACTTTAAATATATGATTATAGTACCACGATATGAGCTTGAGTCTCAGAGTCGATGGTTAGGACGCGTATATGCAGTGGATGCGTAGCTGGTTATGATAGGTTGATGGTATACCCTGTTAGGCTTAGGTACTCATGCCCACTCAGGTGCGTTTTGGACGTTGCCTTCTATTCAAGTTGAAACCTCCTATATAGTCCAGTGAATGTCCCTTAGTGTGGATATATATGTATGGACTAGATAGCTATTGTTGAGATATTTAGGATGTATCTGCTTATCGGGTCTCCGTTTGGATTGTAGTTAGAATAGAACTTGTTTGTGGGCCTGACCCACTCTTATTTTTTAGGTACCAGACGGTTTCAGCCTTAGAGCTTGATCGTGCTTATCGAAGACAGTCACTCATTCATCTGTTTACGTCGGACTTCTCTCTATGTTTTAATTTGGGATTTTATTTTCAGTTGTTCAGTTTCAGTTGGGATTTTATGTAGGGGTCCACTAGATGGATTCCCGAGTTATACTCTTGGAGGTTTTAGAGAGTTGGATTATTATTATTCATTATCATTTTGAGGATTTTATATTAGTAATTCCTTCAGCTTTGTTATTTATTTCTTAAATCTTTTTGTATTCCTGTTTGTTTATATATTAATTGTTTGATATTCCCTTAGGTTTGGGCTTGGGCCTAATCAACCCATGTCTCGGAGTCGAGGGGTATCACAACAATCCTTTGTAATAATATTCCAAAGAATAAGGTCATATGATTCGATCTCCTTTTTGGTTGGTTGGATTTAAGGGCTGCACGAGCTTGATCTTGAATCACCGTGGAATGTGGATAAAGAGCGGCACGATTTGATGCGCTTATTGTTAATCACCTTGGAATTTGGATGAAGAACGACACGATTTGATGTGCTTGTACTGTGGAATTTGGGTAAAAAATGGCATGATTTGATGTGCTTGTTGTTCTTCGTCTTCAGAGAGGATTTGTTGAATTTGGTTAAGAACGGCACGACTTTGGATGTGCTTGGTGTTCTTCGCCTTCAGGTTTGCCCTCTGGATTTCTGGCCCTCTGGATTTCTGATTCCCTCAATTTTTGGACCTTCTGGATTTCTGAGTCTCTAGATTTCTGGACTCTGAATTTGTGTCCGAATTTCTAGACTTCTGGATTCTGAATTTGTGTCTAAATTTCTGGACTCTGAATTCTAAATTTGAGTCATTTGTTGAATTTAAGGAAGAACGGCACGTCTTTGGATGTGCTTGTTGTTCTTCGTCTTCAGAGATGAGAGAATTTGTTGAATTTAGTGAAGAATGGCACGACTTTGGATGTGCTTGGTGTTCTTCACCTTCAGGTTTGCCCTCGGGATTTCTGGCCCTTTGGATTTCTGAGTCTCTGGAATTCTGGACTCTGAATTTGTGTACAAATTTCTAACTTCTGAATTCTGAATTTGTGTCTAAATTTCTAGACTTCTGAATTCTGAATTTGTGTCATTTGTTGAATTTAAGAAAGAATGGCACGTCTTTAGATGTGCTTGTTGTTCTTCGTCTTCAGAGAGGAAAGAATTTGTTGAATTTGGTGAAGAATAGCACGACTTTGGATGTGTTTGGTGTTCTTCACCTTCAGGTTTGCCCTTGGGATTTCTGGCCCTCTGGATTTTTGAGTCTCTGGATTTCTGAACTCTGAATTTGTGTATCCCTTCCTTCTTCCTCTAGGCCCTATTTATAGGCTTCTTGGATCCATAAGATGATGACACGTGTCATTGCCTAATAAGGATAAAATCATAACTGGGCCGGGCCGAGTATATTATGATAATTTTCCTTAAAAACAATTATTCCAAATATATTTTATTAGGAATAATTATCTTTTTATTTAACCATCTGGGCTGGGCTAATTAAATAATTTAAGTGGACCAAACTTGGGCTAATTAAATAACTTAATTAAACATTGATCCATATTTAATGGGTTAATTTGTCAAAACCAAAGTCCACTAAAATTTTAGTGTCTACATTATATATGTGTGTGTGTGTGTGTGTGTGTGTGTATAGAGATACTACAAATTGGCAGCAAAAGAGTGAGATAAAGAGTTTTGGGGGTGACAGAGTAATAAATGAGGGCAATTTGGTCATTTTATGATTGTGATATTTTGGATTAACATAGATTAAAAAAATAGGAATAAAAATATCATTTTGCACATTTTTAGCCGAAAAAGTAGAAAATGAAATTGGGATATGAGTGATAGTTAATTTTGAAAGATATTTTAGGGTGATATTTGGCCAAACCTAAGGGGATGTCAGTAAAATTAACTCTATATTTTAAATTACGTTAAATCTCATTCTTTTAAAAAATAATTACAAAATCACCCGATCATGTCTTGAAAATGTCCAAAACTTGTCCATGTCATGCATGTCTCACCTTTGTCTAAATAGAAAATAAAATTTTCAAATTTTCAAATACTTCTAACCGTATATAGAAAATAAAATATTCAAATTTTCGAACACTTCTAACCGATTTCCAAACACTTCTAACCGTATATAAAAAATAAAATATTCAAATATCCAAACACTTCTAACCGTACTTGTATGTGCCTGATACCACCACCACAATACTGCTGGAGAAGTGGTATGTGTTTTGTAAGGACAAGCTAATTAAGACAAATTCTAAGGGTAACATTTTGATATTTAATTTAGAAAAAATTTCACTTACCTCCTCTATGATTTGTCAATATCGCACATAGACCCTCTCTACATTCCCTTATTAATTGTTAATAATGGTCATCCAACTTGATAACGGTAATGTGTTATTTAACCGTTTTGCTCGTGAATTATATTATCATTTCAGACATCAACAGAATCTGTTAGTGACCGACGAAAAAGAATCTGCCTGAGTATAATATATAGTTTTTAAAATGTAAACTTGCATCTAAATTAATCTTTTTTTTTCTTTCCTTTTTTTTTTCAACCGTTTCTTGCCTTCGGAGTTCGGAATGGACCCATCAAGAATGAGAGATGCACTTGAACCAGGAAATGTTTCATTGATAGAGAAGATGAGAGTGAGGAAGGCAATTGAAGAAACTAAAATCCCCTTCACTTATGTGTCTGCCAACTGCTTTGGTGGTTACTTTGTGGGTAGCCTCTGTCAACTTGGCACACTCATTCCTCCTAAACACAAAGTGTGCCTATATGGAGATGGCAATGTGAAAGGTACAAATTTGATAAACTGAAATGATGGTACATTTTCTACAATTATAAAATCCATTTCTACATAATGAACATGATGTTAAATAATTCTTATTTGGATTCTTTGGCATTTTGCTTCCATTTTCTCTCCTTCATCACTTTCCTTCTTCCTTGAACTCTTGTTCTGTGTTTGTTGCTCCAAAGCCAATCTGTAGATCAGTCCAATTAACCCAAAGCCAATTTACACATAATACACATACTGCACCTCCTATTTTCAGATCCAGAAGTGTGACCCTTCTATTCTTCCATTCCACTGATTCCACATAGCCGCACAATGACTGAATATACACAGGACAGGTCACATAATTAGAAACAATATAAACCCCATAAAATCTGAATTATTCACTAATTTCTAAATAAGATATGTATACATGTATGCAGATATGTGGGTATTAAAGATGAATCTCGCATTTCCTGTATATGCATTTGGACTTCGATCCAGCATACACAACTCTGATCAATTCTGACTGTAAGATTAGCAATACATATAAATGTGTACGCTGTTATCCAAATTCGGTCACACTTGTGAAGTTTGCCACGAGGGAAAAATCGGTACAATAAGGAACCCTGTATCTTGCATGGAGGTCATCCCAGTGTTTGAACAAATTTTAACCTAGTTGACAAAGATCATCGGAAGAAAAGACCTAAAGTATTACATGTCTTGTAACATGGAAGGTTTAAAGTGCCAAAAAGCTATACCAGAAAGGGTTTACTCATTGTAAAATAGATCAGTGTAGTGAGTCTAAAGTAGATAATAGTTTGGGGGTGTTCGTTTAATTTATCCTATTTTAGTGTTAACATGTCTGATATGCTTATTTTAGATAAGTAAGATATAAGGTCATTTATGCACTATTTGTTGAATAATCTGTGCTACACTTTGCAGTGGCTTTTTTAGACGAAGATGATGTAGCAACATACACAATTAGAACAATAGATGATCCTCGTACATTGAACAAAACATTGTACCTTCGACCACCAGAAAACATCCTTACTCAAAGGCAGTTAGTCGAGAAGTGGGAAAAACTTACAAACAAAGAACTAGAGAAGTTCAGCATCTTTGCAGAAGACTTCCTAACATCCATGAAAGGTAAATGAAAAACATCCTACAAATTTTTAGCCATATTATAAGTTCCACCATCTTTTTTACTAATCTTACTTCACTTGATGTCTTTGTATAAGGCAGATATGGACTTTGCTGGCCAAGTAGGAGTGGCGCATTTCTATCACATTTTCTATGAAGGCTGTTTAATGAACTTTGAAATAGGGGAAGATGGAGAAGAAGCTTCAGAGCTCTATCCTGAGGTTCAATACACTCGCATGGATACATACTTGGAATGCTATCTATAAAATATTGCTCCTAGAGTTTGCAGTATATATCTGAACTTCAATGGGTATTCTAATTTTATTTTCATTTTACTTGTCGGTGAGTAAATCCTTCATGGTTTTATGTAAGCTTTCAATGGAAAGACATACTATGTAAAAGGATTTCTCTCAATCTAGTAACACTCAGTAACTATAACGTGTCTGTTTCTGTCAAACGTGAATAAAATTCAATCACATATCTAAATTCTTGTACTTCCCTCCTTATATTTTTTTAACCTCTCTATACAACTTCTCGAAGATAGGAGTTTATCAAATTAATCCACATATGTGGGTGAAAATTGGATGCCTGAGATTTGGTATACCGTACTCTCTATCTGTACACACGAGTTTTGTATACTATACTTTCAAACACAACATATGTGATAAACTGTTGAAATGTATAGGCATGAAGAAAAACCAAATAATTCACAAGATTTTACATTAATTAGCTTTCATGTCTCTCAGTTTAAAGCTTTAAAGTAGAAGTCACGAAACACAGAATATGAATTAATAAAATAGTCAGCCATGTTTTCTTATTGTTCCGAAACCTTACTCTGTTCTACAATCTCTCCATCAATGAAGTCCAAGACTGCACCTAGAATATCTCATAGTGCTAATACAATATCAGATGATACTGAACTCTCAAACTAAATGGCAAACTGCTCAATGATATGGTAGTAACAATTGGTAGATATTCTCTCTATTGAGAATTATTGAGTCAGCCACCTAAAGATATTGCAGCCCATTATGCGTGATTTAAATTGTTAGACCCCATATGATTCAAAGTCTCTACTCGTGTAACAAAATTAGATGTGAGGGTGGGAATAGAGGCTTAAGTGTGTGAATGACTTGACTTAAGATCTATTATGTTAAAACCATTTAAATTATATACATGAATGATTTGACTTCAGATATATTACGTTAAAATCATTCAAATTATATACCCATTATTGTTCAAACGTATTCCAAAGCCTCCTACGCATATCTATATTCCCCAAACTCAATTTCTACTCAATTTAGTTCTATTTTATATGATTCTATTGTCGGGCCATTAGCCTAGGAGGTATGAGCTCTCCTCCCCAAAAGAAAGGTGAGTTGTTTGAACCCCGCATGAGCAGTATGGTGTGTGCGTGTGTTGCTTACTTAACCAAGAAAAAAAAAAAGTTATATGAGTTTGAATGAATAAAGTTTATTATTCTTAGCGTGTTTGTCTGATCTGATTCTTGTTCTGAAATTGGTCCACCTGGACCACATGACTCTTAAAAGGAAAGACATTTTATAAAAGGAAAAGAAACTCATTTGTTTATTCTCAAAGGCATATCCTACTTTTTGAAATCCATATTGCATTATTCATCAGAATTGTGGCCACGCAATATGTTTGGTTCACATGAAATGCGCATGGGATATGTTTGGACCTCACTGACTTATTTGTATGGTATATGTGAACCTTTGGCTAGCTGTTGAGGGTAATTTAAACCTTAATAAATAATCCTAGGACTGTTTGACTGTTCAAAGTTATCACTGGGAATGTTTTGACTATTGAAATGGACATATGAACTCTTACAAGTCTAATTTTTATCGGATTACAGTAAAGGATATGTCAACTTTCATAATTAAAATAGTTATTAAAGGCTCAAGGAACGCTAAGTCGCCATGATCTCATTTAGACTAAGCACAAGGCAGAATGTAAGGTACAAACATTATTAAGGCATGCTTGTGATATAAATGCATATTAAGTATAGTTATGATAGGAAAAAAATTAAAATATACAAAACAAACTAATTACTATCAAAATAAAGGACTTTCCAGAATATGAATTCACTATATTGGCTAAATCAATGTGCATATGAATTCAGTTAAATCAATGCAGAATTGAAACAATTCAAAATATGCAGGTTTGGCATATCAACAAGGAGGTTTAATCAAAATATACAAAATATAGAATACAAAGCATATTTAATCAAAATATGTGATCAGTTTTTTTGGCATATCAACAAGGAGGTTACCAAGGGCTGTAGCCTAGTGGTATCTCCTCACCTCCCAAAGTGAGAGGTCCTCGGTTCAAGTCCCATATAACTGTTCATTGTGGCATACACATTAACTAAAATAAAATACCATTACAAATAAACAAAAATAAAAAACTATGATCATACAGGTTCTAAGTAGTATATGTTATATAATCATAAATTTTCAGAATCCAGAATCAAGCATTAGACACTTTTAATGCAAGCCATCAACCATAAGTTCATGAATTTCATTAACTGTCAGAGACTGATCATTTTGTGTTGAACATATGATACATTTCCACTTGCCTAATTTGGAAATGTTTCATAAAGACTTTGTTTTTAATCATATTATTTTGAGCTTCATGCTTTCAGACCTGGTTAGTTACTAAGCTATGTAGCTCAATGTTAGTTGGAACAGTATTAAAAATAATATAGACTAATTCAGATAAGGAATTTATTAGTTTACACGCAATTCATGTTTTGAATAAAGGAAAAGAAAAGGAAAAAGTTGCAAGAAAAAATATTGTGAAATTAAATAATATTACGATGACTAATTCAGAGTTATTTTATTTTATTTTATTTTTTATTTTTTTTTTTGTGTGTGTGTGTGTAAGTCAGTCAGTAATTGACAGAGTTGACAGCATGATGCATGGGATTCATTAAACGAGGCCAAAAATTTCTAATTCAAACTGTCAAAAGTGAATAATACCAAAATGTCTAAAACTCAAGTTGTATCTATGGCTAGTATATTTTGCTTAACCACCCATAATGGAATTGCCCAATTTCTTAACGACAACATCAAATCAAGCAGCAGGCAGAAAAATTTGGGAATCTGTTAAAATTTCTTACAACTTGCAACATTCAAGAATGATAGATTTTCAGGTTCTGTTCACTCGATAAAAAGGTCAAGAAACATCAATGATCTATGCAAATAATTTGAGAAGTTTGTTGTAGTGATAATACCCACTAATTCTTAAACTTAAAGCTTTGATCAATTAACACATGGCAACTCTTCAGATCTAACCGATGCTAGCCAGAATTCCATCACGCTCTAGAGGTTAAAGTGAATAATACATGCAACATTCATGAAATCCCAAAAGAAACATTTCTCATGACATGTCTTCAGGTTATTGATCTCCAAATACCTAGTAAAGATTATCAAAAGCAACGACAGGAATGCCCTGCTGCTGAGATATTATGCTGATTGCTGATATCCACAATAGTAACATTGAAGGTTAAGTCACTAAATTAAACTACGGATGAAATGCAATATAAACAAATATAAGATGCTAACAAGTATGGCATGAAAATTATTGGAGTAAAAAGATAAATACTGTATTTCAAACTCTTACCTCCTCTATGCAGGTGTCATGGGTTCCATTTTGGCTCCATTTGCGCTAACAAGTCATAACTGCCTCTGGTATTCAAATCAAAATTTATAGAACCTCCTTTAACCTTAAGCTTGACATCTTTCTGTTCTTGTTCCTCTCCCAAGTAAACTGATTCATTTGCCTTCCCATTTGTATGATTAAATATGCTCTTTTCTGTAACATGCTCATTCCTCTCTTCTCTATTCATATTCTCCACAAGATTAGATAAAGTCAAATTGAAGTTGGTTAGTTGTGATCTTGTTGCTTCTAGACCAACAGGACAGTTCATATCAAGTGATAGACTCTTTTGAGCTTTCTCTAATATTTCTTGCAAGTACTTCCCTTGGGCCTCAATTCTCATCTGTAATTTCTTCTGTACCTACAATAACAGAATTTAGTCCACTAATGAACCAGAAGCAATGTGTGAACAAGCAATAATCTGTGAGATACTACTAGAAGAAGGCTACGAAAAATAAAATTGATAGCTGTTTATATATTATAAACCTCAAGCTGCTCCTGTAGTCTTTTCTGCACTTCAATCTGACACCTTAGTGCCTCTGCAATTGGGACTTCTCTGTTAAAATTACAATATCATTAGCAACAAAATAAAAAGGCCACCAAGAAGTATCAAAAAACCTAAATGAAACTAGCATCAAGGAAGCTTTGAGATCCACAATAACGAAACTTTTCTTACTTTTTCAAATTTAAAATAAAATTTATGTAAATACCACAAAATAATATCGTAAACATTTAAAGCTGCCTTCTAATATGGAAATCCATATTTTTATTACAGGGACATCATAATCTAATCAAAAGGCTAAGAACCATTTTTTTACCCTGAATGAAAGGCTAAAAAACATTAAATATTACGATTCACTCAATATTACACAATCCGAATGATGCTTTCAAAATCACACTATGGCGGATTTGTTCTATGAGGCTATATAGGTTGTGCCTAGACCTCATTTAACGTTAAGATAGAAGAGGTCAAATTCTCACCAAAGAGGGGGCAGCTACTTGACACTAGATGGCTATAAAGGCTATAGGAACATGTAACTGTCTTTATAGCTGGCACAGTTGATGCAAGATATAGTACATATGATGTGTACAGTTGCCATAGCAACCATTAAGAACATTGCCTAGACATTTCAAGGTAATGGGAAAGCTTCTAACATGATAAGAATGTTTAACTAATGAGAGAAATTCCCCTTAATCAAACACAAATGAGGACCAATGTCAAACCATATTTGGGGCTATCATCAACTTTTAGTAATATAGACACCTCAAAACCAACAGGGCGGCACCAATAGGACAACTGTATCATTTTTACTGGAATTTAGCATACCCTCATTCTTTATGTTTATTGAAACAAAATAACTATAGACACTTGGTTTTTGGTGGCACATACCCTCGTTCACTATTCCCTCTCGATGAATTTGTAATTGTGCTCGAGGATTGCATATGGTAGTGTCCATAGGGATCTCCTGGAACACATAAATACACAATGCATAATTTTAGCAAAAAAAAAAAAAAATAAAATAAAATTGGATAATAAAAGGGAAAAGAGACATTACTTTAAAAGGGGCACATACAAAAACTTTGGCATCAAGAGAATTGCATGAGATTATTTCTTATCAAACCTTAATATATAATAGGAACTTGTACCAAAGCACAAAAAACGATTAAAAACTAATATTTATTGTGAGAAAGAAATAAAAAATAATGGTTTATATAAAACAAAAAATAAAAACAGACATTACTCCCAAGGCAACACATGAAATTTTGGCCACTAAAAAAATTTCATGAGATTACTTCTTCCTAAACCTGAATTGTTAATAAGTCTTGTAAGAAGCTTAAAACATGATTTTAACTACTTTTTATTTTATTCAGATGGGAATAATAACAAAAATATTGCCTAGAATCATACTGTGTTATTTATCAGGAACAGAATTAAGGATGAACTCATATAAATAAGGTTAAGCTGAAGGAAGATCGAGACATTAAAAGTTTGACCTATCGATGAGGCATAACGTTCCAGGATTATTCCATGCTTGTATATTTTGCATGAAAATTCAAAATCAATTCAAAATAATAATAATAATTGGCTCACCATTATCCTCTTTGTTTTGTTCTCCAGTGTTTTGGTTTTTGGCTTGCTGTCCAAGTCTATACTTCTGCACATTGAAAGGTTCAATTATATTAGTGGTTCAAATCAAAATCTCTGAAGGCAGAAGTGTGACAAAAAAAATTTACCTGTAAGTGGCTCTTTAGATGGTACAATGTCAAGCCCTTCAAGCCCATAACCCTCAACACCGACTTTGGAGTTGCTTCTGAAAATGAGAACCCTCTCCAAATTGAGCTTTTTGTGAACTCGTAATTATTATGTATTTGCAAAATCAGAATACTTCTGTACCCACCGGGTTAGCAATCATATTGTGTGATCTACTTGAATACAGGACTGATATTTCAATTCTGACACTATACACTCTCATTTGTTTATGTGATAGATTCCAAAATAATAAATATAAAAAAAAAAAAAAAAATGTGTCAAACATATCGTGTACACATAATGCATGTTACAAAAAGTAAGATCTCACATTTCTCTCCTGACAATGTATGGGCAGGATTAGACAGGAAACAAATTAAGGTTCTTTGGAGATGGATGAAAGCAAGAAGCTACCACATAATTCAATGAAAAGTAATCCTACTTAATCTATGTAAGACATAATAATGTACAGTCATAAATTTATTATGCAGTGACTTAGCCATTCAAAGTACCTGATGAGTTAATTCCAAGGAAGAGCCTGGAAGCAACAAAAACAGCAACTTCCAACCTTAATTTGTCATGGATTCGACAAAACTATTGTATTTCTCTTTTGTGTCAATTAGTTCTTTTTAACATTTAGCTTTTTTTTTTATTATTTGATAAGTAAAATTTTATAAAAGCGCTCAGAAGGGGAGCGGAACCCAAAAGAAAAACAAAAACCCACAAAGGGCCACTAAGCCTTTAGAGAGGCTAGAAAATCGACAATCTCCTCTAAAGATCTATGATCTCTCCCTAAAACCCAACAAAAAAAAAAGTAGAAAGAATGGAGAACTTAAGCATAGAAATCGACATCTCCTTCCCCTCAAAATATCTCCTATTCCTCTCAAGCCACAAGGACCACCACACACACAAAGGCGTAGCCCTCCAAGCATTCTAAATATGGGCCCCCACATGGCTACCTCTCAAAGCCTCAATTGTAAAGTTTGAGATTTTTCCCTTTTTTACCATTTTCTGGGATTTTTTCGATTTTTGAGAGTATTTTTGTCTTTTCTCGTTTCGCGTGCCGGACACCGTGGGATGTGCCGGATATGTCCGAGAGTTAGTTGGGGCATTCCTTGAGTTCAGAACTCTTGGAAATGCACTGGTTTCTATTTTGGCATTTTTCTGTTCTTCGGGCCAGGAGGTCTCACGTGGGACCTGCTATCGGAATTGTTGTGTACGGGGGTTGCGTCTTGGGCCCGTTGTATTTCATGCATAATTATTTTGTGCATAAGTTATTTGTTTAAATGCTAAATTGTGGTTATAATATAATTAGTGCATGTATATGAATTTTATGGTGGAGAATTAAAGTTGAAAGATTTTTTTTAGTGGGACCCCCCGTTATTGCTTTTAATGGCTATAAGGCCATCACGCCATCACCACTTCCTCTCTCTCTCTCGGCAGAATCTCTCTCTCTCTCTCATTTCTTGCATTTTTCTTTTTCTTTTGCCACAAATTCAAGGCTTGATCAAGCCTAGTCCTTTGGGAATTTGATAGTACTGCCTTAGGCAAAGTTGGAGAGCTCGTCGAGGCCGTCGTTTTGATTGGAGCCAAGCACCATTTAGCCAACTCTTGGATTTTCGAATTTTTCGGTATAAATTAGGGCTTTTTGCATTCTTTGAGGTAAGGGTCTCTAATTCACAATCTCATGGGATTTTGTGAGTCAGTTCCTCTAAATTGTGATTTACCATGCTCAATTTGTGAATATTTAATGCAAGATTATTTATGCGTTGTGCTAAGTGTGTGATTATGTGTTATATGGTATATGATATTGAAGCATGCCTATTTGATGGTAAAGCTATGCTTATTGTGCCTTAGTGCTGAATTTTGTAGTTGAAATCATGAGTTATACTTTAGAAAATTTTGTAAAGCATGTGTAGCGTGGAATGTTGACTTGAAAGGCATGAATTCCCCTAATTGCACGACATTTAAATATATGAGACATTCATGCACGGCATTAGGTAAGAAAATGGGTAAGTTATTTTTGGAAAGAAAGGAAAATAATTTTGGGAAAAGTTTTGATGAAAGGTTTTGCGAAAACCGGTCGCCCAGGAGTTGCGTAGGGACCGCAGCGTTAGTGCGACCTAGAGGGGACTAGGGAGACTGCCCTAGCGTGGTTGAGTTACCTAGGCCCCAAATGACGCCATTGAGTTGCCATGGGTCAGGGACAGTTAGCCAATCCTCCTCTCGTGCCGCCATGGAGTTGCCATGGGACGAGTTTCACTAACGGTTTGGAAATGATGACGGAAATGGTTTTGGAAATAAGGAGCGACATTGCATGACATCGCATCCCATTGCACGGCATAGTTCATTCACGACTTGGATTTATTGATGTTGATGTTGTGGTTGTATTCTGCCCAGTATGGCATGATCCTGTTTCCTTTAGTTTCTATTCATTGTATGGATTCACGGGGTCATAAGAGGTGTGTCTTAAGCACCTCCTACTGAGCCATTGTGCTCACCCCATCATTTTAACATTTTTCAGGTACAGGAAAGCAGTGGCGAATGACGACCCATCACAAGCTTAAAGGGGATTAGAAGTTCATTTTATTAACTTTTATATATTGGACCCATTCTTTTGTAAAGTTTCAATCTTTAGAAAAAATGTATTCGTTTTGTAGAGCTTAACCGTGAACTGTAACTATGACTTCTCCATAGTAGTTTGATGTAAATTGAGACTATGTTAATATTGTATGTTGAATGGGGATATAACATTATATTTTGAGTAATCGTTGATGTTTATAACCATAGGATGTGGTTTATCATTTTACAGCTTGTTGGGATAGGTTTAGATCAGTTTTCAAATCTCCTACATAGGCCATTACTCATTTTCTCACTTGTAGTAATCCAGAAGCAAAACCCCAGCTCGCAGGGTCATTTCGGCCGACCGAAATGACTGCTTCGGCCGACCGGTCACATTTCATCCAAATTCCAGTAACCTCATCTCATTTTTGGCCACAACTGGTTAACCGGTTGGTCTATTTTGGCCAACCGGAATAGGCATTTCGAACAACCGAAATGCCATTTTGGCCAACAGAAATGCCAGGCCTTCATTGCTCTTGTTCCACCATCTTTGGAGTTATTCCCTTATTTATTTTGTAGTTCCTTAGCCCATGTAATGAGTTGTGGTGGTACACTGAAGGTGTCTTGACATGTAGATTGACAATGGTGTCCTTAAGTGACCTCGGATTCGGGTAAGGACCCGGTTAACGGTTCGGACCCACAGGTTCGGGTCGTTACATCAATAATAACCCAGAGAATCCCAAACAAACCAATCATCAAGTCCCAGCAATCACGAGCCATGGTACAATGAATAAGAAGGTGATCCACTGTTTCCTCATCTCAAAGGCACATATAGCAATGATTGACCACCACCTGGTTTCTCCTTCTCAAGTTATCCTAAGTTAAGATCCTTCCCAGAACAGAGGTCCACGCAAAGAAAGCCACCTTAAGAGGAGCCTTAGAGCGCCAAACAGACTTCCAAGAAAAGCAAACTCTAGGATCATCCGAGAGACACCTAAAGAAAGATCTCACCTCAAACCGCCCCTGAGAGTTGGTAGCCCAAGCCCAACTATCAGACTCCTCAACCATAATCCTCTGGTGATACAGTAACTCCAAGAAACGAATGGCCTCTTCAATCTCCCATTCCTGAAACAATCGCCTGAATCGAACATCCCAAACCAGTCTTCCACTATCAAGATGATAACAGTTGACCACCAAGGCTTGCCTATCCGAAGCAATTCTGAAAAGTTGAGGAAAAGCAAGAGCAAGAGGAACATCCCCACACTAAACATTCTCCCAAAAACTAATCCTTCTCCCATCCCTGAGTCGAAACCGAACATGTTTGGAAAAGAGATCCCACCCCTTCCAAATAAAATTCCAAACCCCCACCCCCCGAGACCCCCTCACTCCCAGAGAGCTCCAGCCACCTCTCAACTCCCCAAACCGGCTCGCCACAACCCGCCTCCAAAGCCAGTGTCTCTCCACACCAAACCTCCACAACCATTTTCTAAGGAAGACCTTATTGAAAGGCACCAGTCTACGAAGACCTAAACCTCCATTTCGAATCGGCTTACAAACCTGCTCCCAACAAACAAGATGAAACTTGAACTCTTCTCCTCTACCCCCAACAGAAATTTTTTAACGTTTAGTTTGGGTTGACAATTCTATTACGACACAAGCAGAATTAGTTTCATTACATAGGGGCATTGCAGATAATTTACAAAAACACTTACATAGGAGAATGATAGGTAATTTACAAGAACACAAAGTCATTTTCAATTTAATTCTTCTATTTTTGTTTTATGATTGTATGAGTCTATAAGTATAACCCCCTACTTTTCATCCTGCATTCAACGGATAGTAAATTTGACATCAATATAACCAGTTGGAATATGAGTGGAGTGTCTGATCAAGGAATTTTTTGCTAGTTAAAATAATGGGCAAAAATTTTGCACTTTTTTTTTCTTTTTTTTTTTTTTTTTTTTTTAAGTAAAGTTTCATAGAAAACACACTAAAATATCAAAAAAATTTAAAAAATCATTGATCAGTTAAAAAGGACAAAATTTTCCCATTAAAAAAATCAGATGAAAATTTTACAATTCAAATTGTGGCATTTAATAACTACACAATTTGCCCTAACTATTGCCTATTGGAAACTTGTAGCCCCTACAAAAGCCAATTATTTCCTTTTACTCTCTATCTTTTCAACTAGTTGTGAAGGGATCGTTATTATCAAATTGATGCATCCGAAAACTATTTTGATGAACTGAACAAAAACCACAATCAACAGCCAGCATCGGCCTTCTTACTGGCTGTCCTATTGTTAGTCATAAAAATCACACACTCATCGAGCCCTCTTCTTTAAACTTCATTGTAGTCTTTTCTAAACATTCTAATGATCTTGGTTTAGCTTTTTAGCACATAGTTTAGAGCTTATAGTAAATGCTTTTTATTTATTTATTATTATTTTTTTTTGTTAAGTAAGATTATATTAAATGTTGTACCAAATTCCATCTAGCAATCAAAGTTATCAAACAATTATAAGGCAAAACGAACATCCATAGTTGGACATCAATTGGGTAATTGGCACCAAAGTCATGCTTGACAAACAATTGAAAATTAAACATTAAATTCCAATATATATATATGTACATGCATATTGCCAGAGTAAAGAAGACTACTCACTTTCTGGGCCACCAAGCTTGGTGACTGCATCAACAAATCTGTCATGAAGATCAGCCGTCCATCTCAGCCTTGGTTTCTGGTCACGTGTCATCACCACCCCACTCTTATACCCATAAAAACCTCCTCCTCGGCCACTATCGCCACCTCCGTCGTACATTCTCTCTCTGCGAGTAGAAAACTACTGTGTACAAGAGCTACTCTGTTTCAGCTCTGGTATGAAGCTTGGATATATATGTGAGGAAACTAGAATTGAAATTTGTAGGAGTCAGACTTGCAACAGACACAAATCCGAATTCAAACAGTTTAATAATTTGAATCAAACTCAATCTTAGAGAGAGAAATTAGAGTGATTTCAAATTCCTAGAACAATTCCGTCTTACATTTCAACTCTTCTTTTCATGAGAGATAGTATATATATGACTATATGTATAATATATAATATAAATATATAAATGGAGTTAGTAGAAGAAACACGGAGAGAAAAGATCGGCGAGGAATCTGAAGAAACATGTTGGCCGAAAAATTGATTAAGAAAGGGAGCAATTACAGTGCATTCTTGTAGAGTGCGAACTCCACCTTCCTCTACCGTTGGATACCGTTGGATTGAGTGCGATGGATAGAGATGGAATTTCGACGGTGGGATGGAGGTATTGAGAGAGAGTTGGAGGATAGGGAAGGAGTGCCAGGGGGATGACAGCGTGGAATATTCGCCGGCAATTAAGGGGATGGGAATATTCTTGCCCTCACATGTCACGTCCTCAAATGGGGACGGATTCGCATCCGGAGGGGTCTTCATATCGAAAAGATAGAGAGAGAAAGAGAGAGATGTGTGTATATATATAGAGAGAGAGAGAGAGAGTGGAGTGATGGGGTGGGACACGTTTCGACGTCTTCGTTGGGGGCGTGGGGTACCGAGGTGACTGGCAGAATATTCTCACACCACAGCGTTGGGACCGAAGGAAGGTGTTGGGTCTTTTCCTCACTTCCTTTCGTTTGTCACCTTCTAACTTTTTTCTTTTGGGGTAAATAACCTTTGACTATTTTTTTTTATAGATTTTTCTTTTTTATTTTTTTTTTCTCTTTCTCACAAATTGTAATTTAGTTTCGACATATTTTTCTTTTTCAGGTATTTTTTTTTTTAACTTTACTTTTCGATGACAAAATTCTAGTTCTAAATTGAAGTCGAGTTATCGAGTCGGACCTGTAAAATAATTTGTTAAAAATTAATGAGTAAATCATTTTTGTTAGATTTTAATATTTTTTTTTTTTTATAAATATTTTACGACCACCAGACCAGAAAATAAATTAATATTTTTTAAAAATTAAGAAAATAAATTAATATTTTTTAAAAATTATTATACACCCAAACAAATGCAGCTTAGTGTCTTTTCAGTTGCCAAACCAGGACTCGAACTCGGACACGGTCATTAACGGACACATTCATTCAAGTCTTGACCAATTAAACCGCTAGAAGAACTCAAACACATTCATCAGATTAAATGGACGCTCTAGTGTGTTCGTCCGACTAACAGGAAAATATTAATGCATTACAAGAAAAAACTCACCCAAAACCCTTTGATAATTATAAGGGTTTTTAGAACTCAATATCCTACCCAACTGGATGGGTAGGGACCCACAGCTACTAGATGTATATTTGTGTGTGTATCAATGTAGTTGCATTCCATTAAACTTCTGTTCTACTATATCAGGTGGTTGCTGTTCTGAACCCTATAAACCTAATAAGCCACCAATTATGGGTTCAGATACTAAATGTTCATATTATAAATAGAAAAAATCGAGTTAATTAATTTAATTTAGCCATATGATCTTGATGTTTCCTTTAAAATAATGTGCAAATGATTTTCTGCCCTCCACAAACATTGGAATAATGTATCTTGTAGTGATATGAAATCCCACAGTACAAAATAGTTGCCACTTCTTGAGTCACCTCATTCAAGCACCACTTGGTAATACAGATTGTAAAATTACTCGACAAAAACTTCATCCTGCACTCGTGTTAAGTTTGGGAGCACCGAATCCGTGATTTGGATTTGGAATTAAAAGGACTTTAGTTAAGTTTCCTCCAATTCCAAATCCACTGATTCAGTGCTGGCATTACAAATTATGTTATTCAAATCACCTTCCACAATAGAAGGAATCATATGTGATTCATAATATCCACATAATTACTAATAGAGATTGTCATACATGATAAGCTGTGATGGCCTTCAACCATCCTGATTTTGGCACCTCCACATTTAGCAATGCTCGCAAATGTAAACTCACTTGCTTTCATGGGGAAAAAATGATACTTATAAAATCAACAATGTCTCAGCATGGTGGCATTCTGACATCTTTCAGTTTCGGCTACTGAAGATGACTGAAGAGTTTACAACACACTGGAGCATTTAATAATGTCCATGAAAAGGTTTACAAATGAAAAGTAAGCTCGGCACCAACCGGTTGGTGCTATCAATGTTGCTTAAGAGCAATGAAAGAACACGAAAAGAAATACTGAACTGTTTTCATGAGACTGATTTAGTCGATTGAAGGTCGCTGGACTGAGAATTTGGGTGGTAAGGTCATGAGCGGTTCATTCCCACCCAGCTTCTGGACGGCCATCCCAAGGGTATATCCTAAGGCTCGTGCGACTGGGATTGCCACTGCATTTCCAACCTGACGGTACCTGCACCAAAACACACGGTACTTCAATGTTCAAGAAGATATTACAACATCATTTATGTAAAAGGGAATGCAAAGAAATAACAACAATAACAAATTACACTTTGAGAATTGATTTCTTAGTGTCTTTTGTGGAAGGCAAATGTCCTTTCTACTGTACATGCAACTGAACCTAAATTATATAGTCGTGAAAACTAGGCATATATTTGGAATCCAAAGTTCAGCGACACTGCTCGAATTATATATGGGAGAGGCTGACTACCAAGTTTGATTTTCTTTCATTTTCATTCCTTTATGCTACATTCGGTAGGAGGGAAATGCGAGGAAGTTTTCATCGTTTTGTACAAGGGAAAGTAGGAGGGAAGGGAAAAATGGATGAATGAGGCACCCTCCGGGACCACTATTTTTTATCCCTCCAAGTGAATAGAAGAGAGGAGGGGAGAGAAGGATAAGTATGGCATATTATGTAAAGTGATGTTATTACCCTTCATCAAGTGTTGTAAAACTATACAACAAGGGTATAGTGGTAAAAAAAAAAAAAAAATACAACATACTTTATTCCCTTCCCTCTTACCAAACAATAGAAGGTGTCACCTCCTACTCCATTTCACTCGACCAAACAAAAAGATGGGACATATTGTCTCATCCATTCTTCCACCTTCCCTTGTACCCATTTTTTCATCCTTCTTACCAAACGAAGCATTAGTTATCCATTAGAAAGAGCCAAACCTCAACACACTTCGGTCTCAAACAATCAATTACATAATTGGACCCTCTTCCAATCTTTCATTATGTGAATTTTTTCCCTTCATACAAAGCATATGTCAGGGCTTGTGGAATATATTACAAAACGGTAATGTCAAAAACAACACTTCAAAATGTGTTCCTTATTTTCTGACCACTACGTTCACTATGTGCATACAATGTTGTAAACTTGTAATCACTAAAAGAAGTGATACTCTTCGGTCAACCTTGAATTTCAATAAGCACGTTAAGTATCTGTTCTCGAAAATAATATTCATACCTTTTTTTAACTGTCCCACAGAATCTATAAAAATCAGGAAATCCTTGCAACCTTGCATACTCACGTAGTGTAAGCACTCTATCTTGCTCTGGATGTAATGCTGCCTACAAAAGTTTTGAGGCTTACAATAAAATAAAAAATAGGTGTCTAACTCAATTTTTTAGAATAATATTATTAGAGAAAGGACATACCTGACTGTGAAGATTTGGAAAAGTCACTACAGTTGCCACCGTCTCATCCCACCATAACCTTGCAAATGGTCTGTCCATATAACAGGAACTTCAGTAAATTGGCATTTAAAAGGAAAACAAAAAGTAAAAGGTAAAGCATCACACCTTTTAGACTTTCCCTGTTCAAAAGTGAAGACATAATCTGGTACCTATAAGCAAACAAAACAAAATTTTGATTACTGCTGGTCCGAATCACAACACCCGGCCTATTCTGGTCAAATTTTGTCTTCCATGGGAAACCAGGACATGGATGCTCTGGTTTTGTAAAATCTAATATACAGATCAAACTTATTACTCTCTCCTACATAGCGTTCATATGGTTTTTTCCAGTTTCCTTATTATTCTAAAATGCCATGTAAAGCAGTAATTAATTTCTCGCGTTCTCAAATTATTTATCTATACACACACACAGATACATATCTACACACACACACGTAATCAAATCTAATATTTGTTATATTATACGTATATAACTCTGTGATATTGTGGCCCGAATTTGGTGCCGGGTTATGACCCGATGACAATTTTTTACCAGTTTTTGCTCATGGATCGTGGACCCTAATTAGTCTCTTGTAGCCCGATATATAAGGGCGCTTAGGGTTTGGAGTGGTGGATAAGAGAGACTCTGATATTCGTACATAAACAGAGTGACGGGCCGAAAACTTGTAATCTCCGATTTTACACATAATGAAAACTTTCGCCGGATCCCAACCGTGGACGTAGACTGTTGCCGAACCACATATAAATCTTTGTGTTCTTTGTGCGACGTGTTTACTTTTCTTTCGTGATTCTTGGTTCAACTTGGGTTCGTTACGTTTGTCATAACAAACTCTAATATCTAACTCCCAATATGTAATCTTAATATACTAAATAACAAAATAATAGCTATATGAGCATGACTTTAGTTTGTAACTCCCAAATAAAATGGTGTTGCCCTTCATCAAATTGTAAAAAGTCCTTCCACTTAAAACGCATAGTTGGATTTGAATTAGAAGAATTTCATTTCAACCTTTTATCTAACATCTCCAATTTCTCTCATTTAGCTGTTATAGTTGGATTTGAATTAGAAGAATTTCATTTTTTTATTGGTTAAGTTTCTTTACTTTACTTTTCATTATGTTTGATTCAAAGAGAAATATTCAACATCATTTTTTTTGTTTTGTTTCAACATACATAAGATATCCATCGTGCAATGCCTTAGAAACGAGTATTAACATTCCCCTTTCTACATACGATTGGAATTGCTTTAGCTGAAATACTTTTATAATCAATGATGTAAGAATTCATTCTAATGACCTCCTTTCTCTGCATCAACAGCTTCTTTAAAGTACTCACCTATGTTACTCTCCGGGTTCCACTATTTGAGACCCTCTCCCATCCTCTCCCCATTTTTACGTCTCTCTCGTCTTATATTTCTAGCACATTTGAACCCCTATACTCCATTTCTCTCTCTTCCTCTCCGTTTAAACCCAGCTATGAGCCACACTAAGAGGCAAGCTGTTACATATTGCCACTCTCACTCTTTTCATCAAATCAATTAATGCATTCAGTCACTACTACTATTTTAATGCATTCATTTGTTACTACTATTAATCAACTTAATATTTTATAAATAAATTTCAAAAATAACTTAACAAAATTTGAAGAGTCTATAAAACTTGTAAGATTTTGTATCTCTAGTTAAATACTAAGATTTTACGGTCCATTACTTGATGCACCTGTAAAATGCTAAAGCTCTCAAACGTGCCAAAGTAAGTTAGAATAATGAAAACAGTCACTTCGTGCATATTAATTTCTTCACCTAGCTGAATGAACCAAAAATAGTTATTTGGCTCATTTCCGTTTAATGTTTCCTACTTCTGTCAGCATTTGTTTATGAAATTCAATGAAATCAATGATGATTAGTAGCTAAATTTCCACTTAACATCTAAGCATTTCAAATTAATTTTCAATCAACTCTAAACTCTATTGAAATTATCTAGGCAACATATTTTTTCAGTGCTCATCTAAAAGAAATTGTAGCTTAGAAATAAAATAAGGAAATAACTACACTAGGAGAGAGAGGAGGGGATAGAGAGCAGAATTCACATGTATTTTTCCAGGAAGAGAAACTAAAAATAAAATAATGAAAAGCTTCCTTCAGAACACAAGGCCACAAACTGTTTACCATAGACTTTCCAGATGGCAACTTCATCTGCTCCTTTGTTGGATCCCGATGAACCACGTTGTCAGTTCCCACAACTATGCCAGGGAGGTCCCTGAAATTTGCTCCCTGTGAAGCTAATAAATTAGAACCACAACAATATTAGAAGCTCAAATATCAACGTAAATCTCATATCTATCAAACCTTTTTGCGTGGAATTTGACAAACTCGTAAATAATCATCCTCAGACAATTGATATGGCCTGTGGTCATATAATATAGGCATTTTCATTTGTGCAACTCCACTCGGTGCTAAACCCATCATCTCTAGCAAAATGAAGAAAAAACAAAAACAAGAAAATAGATTGTCAATCAAGACCTACAACCATGAACTCTTTTCTTATAGATACACATTTCAGGGTACAAGCTAAAAGTCACTATACAGTCATACACGTCACAGAAGACCAGTCATCTGGAACTATAGAAAAAGATGTTACTATTGTAGTTAAAGCTTCCAACAAGCAATCACCAAATGGAGGTAGAATTGACATAGGTTAAAAACTAATGTACAAATAATACAAACAAATTTCACATATCAACGTTCCTAACATGTAGAAGGCTTTAACACAAGGTCCACCAGCTATTAGTTTGAATTCTATCCTACAATGCTAAAGACTCAGTTGCATGGGTCAAGTGATATGTAGATCAGAGTGTTGTAGTTATGATTAAATGTATAAAGTTGTCAAGTCAGATATAAAACAAATCAAATGAGGTTTAATTGAAGAAATACTATGCGTTCAGTCAAATGGAAATTTGAATTGTATCCTACAACACCTAAAGACAGAGATGCATCGGTCAAGTGGTATGCAGATCTGAGTGTTGCAGTTATGATAATTTGTATAAGGTTGTCAAGTCAGATATAAAACAAATCAAATGAGGTTTAATTAAAGAAATACTATGCATTCGGTCAAATGGAAAAATATTGTATCACAAATACTGGAGGAGCATTATGATTGAAGTTGCAAAACATATTCAATTGGTTAAGTAGCAAATTAGGTATTAGAGATGTTACCACTTCTTACAATTTTGAGAATAAGCCAATTATTAAGTTCATGAATTCCACCTTCATAGAACCAGCAGTTGGATGTTAAGATAGAGTAATTATAAATTAGCACAAATGCGGCCAATCTCTAATTTCCATATTAACCCAACAGATGGAATCACTGACCTCATCCTTGTAGCAATATCTTTATCTACTTTTGTAAACGTTGCTGAAACAACACATAAGAAGAATGATAAGTAACTGAAGAGAGCATAATAGTTCTTCAGATAAACACTACTTTTCTTCGTTTAGTCTTTTATTACAACAACAAGGGCATGCCTCCATCACACCATATTTAACGACTAGTTAGTTTAAAAATAGTCGTTCACAAGTATAATGGAGAACCCTACTGTGCATTAGGGAATTTGTTCAAGCATATAAAAACTGTTTGGATGGCTAAGAGTCAATTCTGTAATGCAAATGGTTGAATACATATTTTTGGTACAGTTGACATGCATGAATTAAATATATATATATATATATATATATATATATATATATTGATTAATGTCATTATTAACATTAAAAAAATTCTCTTCAACTTCCCTAAATAAAATCTCCATGTGTAATCAACAAGATTTCATATGCACCAATGATTAAATTTTTTTTATTAATGCCGTTATTAACATTAAAAAAATTCTCTTCAACTTCCCTAAATAAAAATCTTCTTAGCCAATATACAATTTTGTAACCAACGAGATCTTATGTGCAATTTTTTTTTTTTTTTTGGTAGGTAAATCTCATTTGTAGTTACAAGCATAATTCTAAGCTTCTCACAGAATAATATGTATTTGATCTGAGATACCAAAAAACTCCAAATGTTTATAAATCAAATGAGGACTCTGTTATATTCATTTTATCTTAATTTCTCTAACAGCCTTCATCGACGAACAAGTCATAATTTGCGACAGCATCATCCTCAAATGTACAAATTATGTATATGTCTTGCAGTCAACAAAACCTTTGCTGTTATCATCACTTGTACTTTTTGTTATACTCGATGTCTTTCAACTTAACTTTGTCTCCTTAGTGCAACCAATTCTTCATCAATTGTTAAAAGACTGTTATATTACTCACAATTCAGTAGTATCTAGATATGTACATATATATCCATATATTTCTGTTTTTATGAGTAATAGAACAAAATTAATTCTCAGAAAATTTTAATGTATTTTGTCTAGAAACATAGTGAGGTTGCATTAGCAAGTCTAAATCCGTGCTTATGATTTCTACTTGATACAAGTGCCCTTCCCAAACAGGCACTTTAAAGTCTATGTTACCTGGACTCGGGTATGTGTGTCGGGCACGGGTATGTATCTCTAAACAGAAGGACACATGGACACTGCTAAATATTCATTTTATTTCGCTTTCTACAGTAAAGCAATGTTTTAATCTAATATAGTGTTCAATATAGGCATTTAACTCATTTTATATTAATAATATAGTATAATTGAATGATTGAATATGGTTTTTAACTACAAGTCCACCCAAAAGATTCGGACACATATCCCATACGCATGTCCGAGCAGAATGTGTCCGACATGGGTACTTCACTCCTTTTGAAGAGTCCATGTAACATAATTCAAATGGCATCTAATCTTTGCTAGCAGTTATCATCCTTTCACAATGCTTCGAACAAGAAAAAACAAGTGTTCTATTCTTGAGAACATGAAAATTCCCACATGCTGGAATGCCAACATTCATCTTCTTTGCAGTTTGCTCTCCTATAAATCACATTCGGTAAGCAACGTGAGAGGGTGATCTTCAAAAGATTCCCTTGAAAATAGCAGAGTCTCCATTCATACATATGAATTTCAAAATCTATAATATTTACATAAGAAGATGAACAAACTTGTTGGCACTAGAAGGCAGTTACAGGTACTCAAATGATTGTTCTTATAGGACAGGTACTAACCTTATTGATTATCAAAACCGAGGATTAGGTCCTCCAGTTGTTCATGATTTTGTTTTGTATCACAAGGTTGTTCATCATTTTGTGACATTTGGCGAAGTTTAGATTTCGTCCTTGGTTGCTTGTGCAATTGTAAAAGCCAAAGGAGTTCATGGAATGTTGAGGAGTTCATAGGACCGTTATTAGACCAACTATATATTGTATGGAGAGGAGTGTTGGGCCCTAAAATGGAAACAAGAACAACACCTTCATATAGCGGGAATGAGAATGTTAAGGTGGATGAGTAGAGTTACTAGAAGAGATGGGATCACTAATGAAAGTGTGAGAGAGAAATTAGGGGTGGCACCAATTAGTGAGAAAATTAGAGAAAGTAGACCTAGATGGTTTGGACACTTCCATTGGAGATCTAGTGATGAGTCAGTCAAATGAGGAAGACTAGTTGTAATGGGAGGTAAAAGACAAAGAGGTCAACCAAAAATAACATGGGATGAGGTTATTAAAAATGACTTTTAAAAGTTAAACAATGTAGGTGAAATGGCATGTTATAGAAAAGACTGGAGAGAGAATTCATGTGGTTGACCCCATTCATAATTTCGCATAGGATTAAGGCAACGATGATGATGAAAGGAGTTTATGGAATATCGGTAGTGGCTCGTTTATCAGGAAACATTCTTAAGATCCATATGCAAGTAAAGCTTCAAGAGTTAAATTAAAATTTGGTTGCAGATAGAGTCAATCAGCCAGCTTGTGTTTGATTGCATTGCAAAAGTCACAAAATGGTCAATGTCCTACACTCTGGAAATATTTAGCCGAACAATTGAAAGATTCAGATAAAGTGGCCTGAAATCAAGAACTGCGTGAATTTGACAGATACCATTCATGTGCTGAAAAATGGTTTTACGGCCTGAAATTAAGAACTGCGTGAATTGGACAGACACATTCATGTGCTGAAAAATGGTTTTACAAGTTGTCTTTAGCAATTAGAGGGTAAAACACTGAAGCCAGGAGCAGCGCTTAAGAATTATTTTCTCCGAAATACTTTCACATTTCTTTATCACAAGATTTTGCCTGTGGAGTTTGCCAGGAAGTGTTTTTAAACTCCCTAACTAGATTTCTTTCCATAAAATTATTCTAGGTCAGAAAGATCTATTTGGGTTTTACAGGCCAAAAGGAATTTGTATTCCTCCTATAAATGTATGCTTAGGTTATTGGTTGGCATGTACAGGAGAAATGTCAGTGAGGATTCTCCTCACATAATTTTGTCAAGAGGTGTATGTTAAGAGCGAGGGAACACAAGAGTGAGCGTGGCCTCAACACCAGCGGGTAACTTCTGAGTATCGTGTATGCCTCTTCTCCACCTCGGTAATTTGGCCATGATAATAGTAAAATAGCATCTGTTTCTTTGGAAATGAACCTCTCATAATAAAGGTGCAGCTAAAGTCCAATGGAGTAGTCTTTTTCCCTACTATAGAATGTAGTCTGGGAATCAAAGCATCCAGTTTGGAGCAGAGCTACTATTGTCAGATATATATATATATATATATATATATATATATATATATATATATATATATATATATATTCTACTCCACATTCTATGTGGTTCAATTGGTCAAAGACTTTCTCACCAAGCACAGAAAATTGTGGAGTATTTCAACCCTTGTAGACTCTAGTTGGAGTTGGAGTTGGAGGAACATCTTGAAGGTAGGGGGTAATGTTAGGAGGTTCTTTGTCCAAAGGATTGGGATGGCAGAGACACGTCACTGTGGCATGACAATTGTCTCCCCAAGGGCCACATCATTCTCTCTACAGGAAGTAGAATCTTCTAATCTCAGGACTTGGTAATACGGCAAGAGTTTCTGATATTATAGCTTATGGTGAATGGTCCTGGGCTTTGAGAGAGTCCTCCAAATCAATTGGGCAGCTAAAGTTAGAAGAGAAATTTCTATTTCTGCCCATCCTCAGTGAAAATTGCGGATACTTCCACTAGTTGGGTAGAAGTTGGCGACCCTAATGAATCAACTATGAAGGCCTCACAAACCTGACCAAGTTCTATAGAAGTCCTTGAATCAACTTCTCATCAAACAAGTTCGGATTGAGCTAATGACCCCAGAGATGCTCTTTGACCTGGCCTGGAATTGTGTGGCTTTCTGTTGTGCCCAAACCCTCATTCATCCTATGGCCAATGATGTTAAGGAAAAACTTTGAACATTGGAAAAGTTCAAGGTGTGGAGAATTGCAGCATGACACTTGCCTGTTTTGCAAAAGAGCAGTTGAAACCCACAGCCATCTATTTTTCGAATGTAGCTTCAGCATGCAAATCTGGGACAGCATCAAAACCAGGCTATAGCCCGGTCTACTGGGAGTTGAGACCAAACACTACAATGGGCTTGTACTCATATTTCAGGCAAGAGCTTTGCTAAACAAACAACAGAATTGCCGTGGCTGCTACAGTTTATGGCCTCTGGAGAGCAACGAATGCTAGAGTCCATGAACACAGCTACCATGATGAGAGTCACAACCCCAAGAACATCTAGAAGGCATCGGATTGAAGCTATATTGTCAGATATTCCCAGATTCTAATATCGAGAAAATGGAATTTGCCTGATTCCACCTTTGAATGATGTCTACTCCCTTCCTACTCTGATTTTATCTTCAGGTATCCAAATGAGCACCCCACAGCCCTGCGTTGGCAGTTCTTCTCCTCTAGTCTGTTTCTTCACTCCAGAACAAAGGTCAGTGGTTGCAAGATTTGGAGCTGAACCACCCTCAATTTTCTTCGTGCTTCAACACTCTATTTTTATGACTGACTAAATAATTAACTGCTGTCCATAAATTCATGTATAGAGTTGCATCATTTATTATATTAGTGTTAGATTAGTATTAGTTAGTGATCCCGGCTTAGAGAGTCCTTCCTTCCATGATGAATTGGCACCAGTCCGACATTTTGTCTCTATGGACCGAGGATGCACTAAAAACGATATCATGTAAATGCTTTGGGCTGCCTTTTTCTGTATTACTTCTCGGACAACTAGTCAGTTGATTGGTGGAACTGGGGATTTTTTTATCAGCCCTTGTACAACCCTGGGGTATGCCCCTTTGTACATGCCTCCGGTTTGTTGATATATACCAAAAAAAAAAAAAAAAGAAAAAAAAGAAAAAAATACTCTCTTACTTGCCAAAAAAAATAGAAGAGTCTTCTCAACCATGGAAGAAGGTATAGGTTTTCTGAACTAAGTTAAATATTGTTTGAAGAGTGCTTGATTATTTATTCTCAATTATTGCCATTATTTGATCATTACACGAGTAAGCTTCCATGACCCAGTTTAGATAGAGACAGCTGTAGGCCACTAGGACTGCTTCCATGACCCAGTTTAGGTAGAGACGGCACTAAGACAGCAGTTGCTCCTTGCTGGCATTTTTCAGAACATTGCGCCAATGTGACTACATAGTTTGGGACTAGTTGCACTACTTTCCTGTTATCTTACTCTGATATATAACCAATAATGGTTTCTTTCAATTGATACTTGTAATTTTTCAGTTAAACCGGTAATAATTTACATAGCTTTTAAGCCCAACTGTATCGTGCATGCAGTCATTACATACAAAAAACTGTTCTGCATAAGATGGTTCAAAAGCAAAACAGAATCAAGAAAACAAAGGCTCCAATCTATACCTGAAAACTTGTAACAACTCAAACCTGCAACAATCAATTCAAACAAAGAAGTGCATAGAGAGCCTCATAATTGAATTACACAGTACATAACATCAATGGAAAGCAGAACTATTGCAATGCAAAAACTCAATGAGACCAACTAATTATCTAATGAGACGGGTTACATAATTGATATTGTTATTAGTTAGGAAACAAAGTAACTAGCAAGGGAAAAGTAAATGTCCAGATTCAAGAATATCTGCAGCAGAAGCAAGATAGATAAATAATAGGTATGATATAGACATTACTTCCACGTTATGCTACCAAAGATAATATCATTACCATATTTAGTTAACCTTATATATTTTTGAAATTCGGTTTCCGGAGGCATTTGGTATGTCATCTCCTCACGGGTTTCATGGCTCGTCACCTATAGTAATAATTTCTATGAGAATACAGACAAATTGTATTAAAGCAGCAAACCAACCAAAATAAATATGATAAGAATACAGCTGGAAGATCAGATATAGCATCACGAAGAATGACGGCTTCTTCAAGTTGTCGAGGTTGGTCTTCATCATAAGCAACAGTATTTCGCTACAACATTAAGGAAGATAATAAGAAATACAGTGACTAGGGAATTTCACTTACCAATTGAACTCACAGACAATTGAAGTAGTACCTCAAACTCAGGTGGAGGCCAATATCTAACAACAACATCATGTGTTGGAAGTGGAAATTGGGGTAGTTTCTGCAAGCAAAAGAACATTCATAGCATGATTGCTTGGACACCACATGGAAACAATCTGCCTTATACAGAATTTTAAGTTAAGTCTAATTTTTTTGTAGCCTTTTGAATGGACACCGTTTGGAATTGCAATCATCCAATGCTACACTTCAAGCATTTAAAACGCTGTTATTTTTCATCCCAATTAAAACAAGTTTGTTATAACTATCACTCATCCAATGAGGAAAACATATTTTAATCATCAACAGTTCTAGTGATGACAATCTCAAACAGCCCCAACAAATACTTCATTTATTTATTTTTTTTTTTTGATAAGTTAAAATTTTATTTTAAGCACAATAACCTCCACCTTCACTAACTTTATGTGACCATTAAGTATATCTTGAAATTATTATTTATTTTAAAATTTATCTTGAAAAATAATTTCTGATCAACACAATAAGAAGACATTCACCTCACTGGGAAGAGCACCCCAGAGGAAAACGCGCAACCGAAATTGTGGAAGACCATAACAGCCAGCAGCAATAGTTCCAAGCCTTGCTTGGTATTTCATATGCACTAAACGACTTAATGCATATCTTCCAAGAGAGGCTTTATTGAACCTTAAGATGTCGGACACATTTTCCATCAATACATACTTGGGCTTTAAGAATTTTACTATGTCCATGAAGACAATTATTTGACGATTTCTTTCATCATCCAATGGGGCATCAACATTTCTAAAGCGATTATATCCACTAATCCCTTGACATGGAGGACCACCACATATAACATCAACACCACCCTGTAATATAAAAATTGTAGAGTTTGGGAAATTAAATAAAAGAATAACAGTAAAGTAAATACTTCAATTGTACGAAGCATATAGATCGTACAAATTAGTAAAAGCAACTTACTGGAAGTGGTAAGAGTTTAGATTGGAATCCACTTCTTACAAAATCTCGTACTCGTTCTTCACAATTGCTGAGGAAAATACACAAGGACAAGTAATATGCACAAAATCCCAAAAAATATATAAATATAGAAGGCGTAATTATTTTATAATAGACAGAAATTACAACCTCAATGATTGAACTGGTTCCCACGTATCTTCACTCGAACTATATCCCTTCCAACGTACCTAATAAAATAGTAATAAGTAACGGATATGTTCACAGAGAATTTGCAAACGGGATTTGATGAACATGAATAGAAATCAACATACTACATGAAAAATTAAATAGGACACTAAAATTTACTTAAGGAGGATGAATCACAATACTTTACTGTGTCTGGCAAGACTTTGCTAAATGCCACATTTGGCAAAGAATAATTACATATCTTTGAAGTTAGTTCAACCTGGATGCTCATTTCTGACAGAGCAGACTTACTGTACATGTAATAGTAGCCTAATTACTTCAATTATAGGCAAATAATCCACAAAGGTTATGATACCGAACAGTTGATGGTACTTGGGAAGTTAATGGGATCAGCATACAATAAAATAAAAATAGCTAGTTGACAGCCTTGTACTCATTTGCTTTTAAGAATATAATATGCTGCACTAATGGCAGATAGAAAGCATGAGATCTTGAAGGACTGATACAATGATAGCATGTGGGACATAGTATTGCCACAAGAAGTAATTCACATAAATCATAAGAAATCATATGGTAATACTTAGCAAGGATTATCAGACACCAAAAAAGTTTATCATTACAATAGGTAAACCTTTAAATTATAAGCTCTTCTTTAATTTTGACCTGCAATTTATGATATTAATTTCATATCCATCCCTTAAATGTAGTTAAAATTTGGGTAAAGTACATCCTTAAGGTTTTGTCAAATTACAGATCGATAGAGTGTTGAGGGTTTAATATTTTGACCTCCCCTGAGGTTTGACGCAAGTGCTCAACGACCTCCCTCCCATTATCCGTCTGTCACAAACATTAGCAAAAATTCAAAAATGACTAAATTACCCTTGTTTTGTCTGAAAAGACAGAAATAGTCCTATTACTTTGCCCGTATGACCGAAAATGAAGGCCTAAGCCATGTGCTTCTCTCGAACATTCTCAATTGTTGCCAAATCTTCTCGGTTTTCTATCAATTACTAAACCAGAACAAATCAATTAATTCTTCCAAGTCATATCTTCAGTTCCTCATTAGACCATATTGCATCATTTTATATACATACACGTGTATATATATATGTATATTACGCATATGCTTATATATTCAAGAAAAAGATTAAACTATTCGAACCGGACTATTGAGAGTCGATTCAAGTCCACCAGCCATAAAATTATGGATTTTTCCATTTATCTCAATCAGGTTGTAACTAGGCGGTTTCTTAACTCCTTTTTCTTTCATCATTTGCCTCATTATTGTTGCATTTTCCCACTGATTAGCACGAGAATATATGTTCGAGAGAATGTTTGAGAGAATCACGTAATAACCGCTGTTTTCTGGCAGCAATTGGATCAAAATACATCATTATATATATATATATATATACACACACACACACACACATATGTTTGGCACTCTGCATAGACCCAGATCCAAAACCATTGCTATCGTTTCCGGTCGGGCGACCCATTCCCCGCTCTATTACCTAATGCTTTATGGTGAGTGTGGTCGATCCATGAGAGACCCATATATATATATATTTATGTAATTTGTGTGCATATATAGAGAGAGAATATATATATATATTTAGAGAGAGAGCCAATCAATGGTTGAAACCCACTACTGGTAAGCCCAAGCCCCACCATTGGTGGAGGCAGCAGGATGTGGTGGTTGACACCTCCACAGTAGATGCTTTTGAACAAACCCAAAATGGGTTTTTCTAAAGTGAGAGATTATGTGTATTTTGAATATATAACTTATATCAAGAACCATATATATTATGTGTGTGTGTATATATGATTTGTTGTTGATAGAGAGGTGGTTTAACAGTGTTGGACAAGGTGGCTGTGGTGGGATGAGGACTGGAGGTGGAAAGGGGAAGAAGAGAGAGGAGAGAGGAAAATGAATATTTTACATTATAATAATATTACAAATATAATTGACTTTTCAACCAAACATTTAACATCCTTCAGCCAATTAACAGTCTCAGGGGAGGTCAAACAATAAACTACAAACACTCCACCCACGTGTAATTTGACAAAACCTCAAGGGATGTGAGTGTACTTTACCCTTAAAATTTCATGTATGATATTAAAGATCATTCGTCTGCCTTATTGAAGAAGAATCCATATTTTGCCTTGCATCTACTATCTACTTAATTTAAGCTCAATCTGCAGATGCTAATAACAAAAAGACTTCAAATTACAAAACCAATCAGTTTATATATGACTATGTCACTGTTCAACTAAGAAGCAGAAGGAACCATATCCGTGTCGAGTACCAACACTTCCCGGACACTCGTACACATGATCCAGTGATCAACACATCTTGTACACGTCCATAATCTAGAGTAGAACTCTTAATTTCAGTCACTTATCTGACAATTAATAAATATAGGGTAATATGTGATAAATGAAGCTTGAACATCAAATAAGATTTTCTTTTTAACATGAAAACAAACTATAATTGTAAGAGAAACAAAATTGAAGGTTTTGACAAAGTTAATATAAAGATTGAAGTAGTGGACATAGACACGTAGTAGTAGGAGAAGTCATCAAATAATTATGTGCATCTATATACATATCTATATATATATATATATATATATATACAGAAATGCATGTGCACACACACATGTCGTGACTTGTTGATAGTGAACTTTTACTAGCGACCTACCCCAATTTATTGTCGTTATGTCTTTCTCTATGAGACAGAATATTACAAATGTATAAATTATAGATTACATATTTCATGGTACTGCCACAAAATGTTTATTTACCGTACATAATATAATTTTTTTAATATATATATTTTATTTACATGCCCATTTCCAGCATTTTAGAAATTTATTGCATGAACATATCCTTGTATCACATCTGTATCCCATCCCATATCATGCATCTTAGCTATTCAATAAGTTCATTCACTAAAAGAATGATATAATTCAATAAGCTCTTCAAAAATAAACTAACACAGGTAAACACGAGTATATTTATTGAGTACCTTAAATTTTAACCCACGCTTTCCTGAATTGCTGGGATCACCATAACAAATATCAACTACGCATGAAACTTCATATTCTCCTGCAGGAATCTTAAGATCTGATGGACGATTTGTCTCATCTTTGGCCTCTCTCGTGTCAGTTGCCCCAGACTGGAGTGCTCTTTCTAAATCATTGAACACATACTGGTTGCACAGCTTTTTCCATCCCTTCAACAGTTCTAGAAAATCCTCGGCGCTTTCATTCCTAACCTAAAGAAATGAAGCATAAAAGCATTTCATATCACCTCCAAAGATTTGTGGACACCATGAGATTGGGTGTAGAATTATAGAAGACAAGGAGCACTCACCTGTGTTTCTGGATGATTCAGTTTCAAACTGTCACATGCAAAGCTATCATAGTCAACTGCCCATCGCTAAAGTAAAGGGAATAAAATTGAACAATATAAGGACAAATCAAACAACTTAAAGATAAATCATCTTCACAAAAATGAAATTTAGTGAATTGAAAAATTACCGTTACAAGATTAACATGGGAAAGTTTGGCACCGAGACACAATCCAGTTGACATTCCACCACAACCAGAATAAAGATCTAATAACCCCAGCTCCGCTTTATAAAGTTCACAACTGGGTGTATCCTCCAAAGAGGTCGTATTGATCGTTGTATGGGAAGTTTCAACATAATTTGGTGAGGCTGAATCATGGCTCTCTACAGAATTATCTGAAGCAATGTAGAAATCTTATAAAGTCAAGTCAAGGATTTAAAATAGGTATTTATATGAACTTCAGTCATTTGAAGAAGTATTCATATTTTGTGGAAATTCAAAGCATAGGAAATAATGAAAATATTAAGGAAAAAGAAGACAAATCAAGTTTATTATTTATTGGAAATAATTATTCTCTTGATACTAACAAAAAAAAAGTGTATATATATATATACATAACTGGATGAATAGATAGACCCTAGTAAAAACACAGAAAATATAATAAGTACAAATGATTCATGAGGAAAACAAAAGGATTTGAGTTTAAAAAATTCTTTACCAACCAAGGGAAATTTATAATGAATAATCTCCATATATTACTTGATGATTGTCAAAACAATACAATTAGTCCAGTATCTCAAATAGGCTCAATTATTCATAATGAAGGAGTAATTGGAGATGATGTTAATCATAAAACCAAGGCAAAATGGCATAAATGAAGAAGTGCTCCTAGTATAAGTGATCGGTGTATCCTGTTAAGATTGAAAGAGAAGTTCTATAGAACAGTAATTACACCAGCCGTATTTTATGGGACAGAATGTTGAGCAACTAGGAAATAAGTTCACTAACAAATGCATAAAGTGAGCATGGTGGAAATGTGAATGTCGAGATGAATGTGCAATAAGAGTAGAAAGGATAGAATTAGAAATGATCACATTCGTGAGATGGTTGGAGTAACATTAATTGGAGATAAAATGAAAGAAAATTGGTTAAGGGAAGAGGAAGGACAAATTTAACATGAGTAGAGTTAGTAAGGAATAAATCTACCTAGTGGTTGTGGGTAGGAGTGGGAGTGATAAAATCCCAAACACTATTGAAGATTCTGCCACTGGAGGACATTCTGGCAGGGCAGGGGCAGGCATGGCCGAGGAGCAAGGCCAAATCGGATAGTACAAAGCTGGATATCTGGACAAGTTGATCCTAATGCTTCACCTTGCCTAGTGGAGCATGGACTTCATGGTTTTTATAATGATGATGAAATTGAAGAAATTCCACCATAGCACCACAGCTCCATAATATGGGTGGGTCAAGAAAATTTAAATGTCACTCATCAAACAATAGTAGCGATGAATATTATACAGTGCACTATATTGGAGAGCCGGGTTGGGACAAGGGCACCATGGGGGTCCTCCTAATTACTCACAACCCACGTAGCTCTTGTACGATAACCAACCACAATAATTCCACTATCTACCACCTCATGTAGCACTCTCTCAACCTCATTCTTTTGACCACATTATGGGTAGTGACAGCGAACTTTCACTTCCTCCGAAGATCTATGGATATGGTAATGTTCAAATGTTTGTGCCTTGTGGTTATCATGAGCAAGAACAAGAAGAATTTAGTAGAAGCAAAAGTGAGCAGTGGTAATACTGTGGAGACAAGATCTTCCAATGATTTCGAACAAGGACCACATAAGGCTTCATATAATGATAACGATGCGGCAATAATAAAGATTATTAAAAACCTTAATTCTTTTTGGTGGCTGAGTCATGAATTAATGAGGTATAAAATATTTTGCATTTTTTTCCCCGCAAAAAAAAAGTATATGATTTGTAGCTGCAGATATAACCTGTTAGCCAGTGCAATGTTCTTCACAATAGATGATAATTCGTTTTTAGTTTTACTTCAAACAAATATTAAGTCCAATGTAACAAGAAACACTTCATCTTAAGTGTCATATAATTGACAAGGAACAACACACAAATCCAAGAAGTTAAATTTTAAAATAATAATAATAATAAATAAATAAATAAACATATAATTGACTCGTTAGTGGAATGGTAGTGATTTTTAAAAAAAAACATGGCATTGATAACCAATCTGGATTAGAGTTCAACCACTACTCCCACAAATATAAACCGGTACTGGGATTCAAAATTATGTTGTCATGTTACTCAAAAGTACTATGTGTAATACTAGTTTTATTATATTGGTGTTTCCTTGCAGCCATTTAGCCCTAAGAGTTAAACAATAATCATATGGAATTTAGTATGTCTTAATTAGCACTCATGCCCAGAATTTTGTTCCGAATATGGAATTCTTATTATTTTGAAGTCTCGAACAAATGGTTCTGAAGAATTATAAAGGTCAATTGCAGCCATGGTGTCCCCAGTTGTATAATATTGATTGCCTGACCTTGAACTTGTAGTGTACATTCATAGTTGCCATATCGGCTTGATACAAAAAATGCAAATTCTCCCGAAGAATTCATGAGAAAGTTCATATGCAGCTGCCTCCTAATTCTTTTTCTCTGTCTCAGCATGTCTACAGTCTGTCATCCTATTTATGTTGACTGCAAAAGCACTGCCTCCACTATCTTGTTTGACCACTATCAATTGCTGTTTGGTAATGAACTTTCAAGTGTAATACATACCAAGTTGCATCATATAATGTAGCCTATATTCAAAAGGAGGGCCAGCCGACTAAGGCATGCAAAATACTCAATAAAATGAACCACCGGTATGATCCAAATTATGAATTTTAATTTTATACAGAAACTTTAACGTATAATAGGAAATCTAAAAATCCCATGCCATAGCTTTATAGAAGTGTGTATTATTAAATACTGAGTGCAACCATATAGTAATCATATCACAAATTTATTGGCGTAGGTTGATGTGTTATAAAAACACATGCATCGCATAAATAGCATGTTGTATAAGTAGTCCAAGTACTTCTTATTTATGCATATATGTGTTGTTGGTATTTAAATTTCTGTAATGTTTTAACTGACTATAAGTTGTTGTGATTATTTGACATGCAAATTTGGATAAATGGCATAAATAGGATTAATTATCTTGTGAGCGGCTCTACTAAATGCATAACACTAAAAAATAAATAAATAATGCCAGGAGTTATCCCAATATTTTTGATGGCACTAAGGTCATGTTCCTTTTTCTTTTTTTCTTTTTTCTTTTTTCAGTGCTACTAGGAACTAACAACCTAAAACCATGACCAATATCAACATTCTTACCGTTTAGCAAGGTGCGGAATGTAGAATATTCCACGCAATACTCCATATCATAATAAAAGTCAGATGGTGGAATAGAGTTTAAGTTTAAACCTAGCTGCAACAATTACGAAAACAATCAACTCAACAATATCAGATGCAACATTAACAAAACAGGAAAAAGATAAAGTGAATGCTCTGCAAGCCTTCTACAGAATTTGAAAACAGGAAACCAGCAAAGAGAAATGTAATAACCCAAAATTTAATATGCTTAATTTATATACTTATTTTTCATTGGTGAATACACCAAAAAGTGCAACCCAACACATAAAATCATAAAAATCATAGTACACATATTCCCTTTTAGGTTTAAGACAAGCCTAATGGTAGATAAAATAAATAAAATAAAAGGGAGGGTAAAAGAGAGAATCAAAGAATAGAGGAGGTCAGAGAAGGCCACTGATTTTTGGGAACAACAAGGTGAGTAGATATACTTCCTTTTACCCTAGGATTTAATTTTGTGAAACAATATTTCTATTCTAGGTTAAGAGTAAACTAAATAAACTTTCAATTGATTATCATATTGGGATGAATTAGCTGAATAACATCCTAGGTTAAGGGTAAGTATATCTGCTTACTAAGTTGTTGAGCTCATTCCATTCTATTTCTAACATTTCAAGCTGAGGGAAGAAAGAATTGAAATAGCATCGAAATTTCTGGATTTGTATTGTGGGAATTTGTACTATTTAATGCACAACATTTTTATGTATCCATGAGATCTCCAACTTATTTTACAGTGAGATAGTAGTTGTTACATGGGTTTCAGGGAAGTTTTCACACACTTCGTTTATGTATAGTTGTTTGTTGGTGTTCCAATGATATGGAATTTTATTCGGAAGACATCTATTGTACCATAAATTGCTATAAAGCTCATATGGACAATGAGAGTGTGCTTTGCAATCAGTATGTGCACTTATAAGTTGCGCCAAATGGAATTTGGGGTATGATAAAATGGAAAAAAGCAAAATAATTATAATGATGATAATAATAATAATTTATTTAAGAGTTAGAATTTAAGACTGAAGCATACCGTGGGTCTAATTTGTTTGACGCCAACTTTTGAAATAATGCAATCTAATAAATTATCATTCATTACAGTGGAATAAAATAAACGCCTCTTGTCATGGAAAGCAGCTGCTTCTTTCATAACCTGAAAGGAAGGAGAAAAAAAAAGGAAGCACCAAATACTTGGTAAAATAATATGTCATTAAAGAATATTAGAAGATTTGAGAATCTACATACCGTATCCTGAGCTCTATAAAACCACTGGACCCTAAAATAATCATCTCCTTCTACTGTTTTGAAAAACTCTATGATCCTGCCCACATATTTTTGTCGTCCATCACCCTGAAGGAATTGCTTAAATTGTAAATTTTACCTTGTCATAAGGACATAGTCAGATGATTGATTCTTACAATTGAAATAGCTGATATAGAAATTCGAATACAATGCACCAGTCTAAATAAGAGAAGCCCTATTAAAGAGTTAAGAGTTGATTCAAATAATTTAAAATCTATTCCATTTTTCATCTGCAAATACAACTAGCATCCTTTTACAATATTATACAGCATGTAAAACAAAAAAAAAAATAATTACAATTTGAAAATGCCAGAATTAAAGAACTTATAAAATAATAGGGAGGAATGGTTGCAAGTTATATGTTTTGGACATCATCTGAAATCTCAGTCAAATTGACTGGATTCATCCAAATTAGCATTTAATATATAAACTTTCAGATTTTATATTCTTTACATAAGAAGAAAATTCTGTATTAATAGGAGAATATGTTGATTGGAAGGTGGAGGGGCGTTTTAACCCCCTGGAGGCCAACCAACCTTACAATAAATAGAGAACCCCTTAAACAACAGCTGATAAGGAATAACTGAATCCCAGACATCATATAATTATTTATTTAACCACCTTAAAATGGTAAGAATAGAAACCCATTAAAAAAGGGAAGTATAGACTACAGATTCAACTGTATATTGACAACAACCTGTGTTATGCAGGCTTAGGTACATTGGATGCGGATATAAGTTTAAACATCAGATGCAATAACACAGCTATATATTCATATTCTTAATACGCTTATTTTATTTTTCTAGGGTAAAATGGTGTTTTATGTAGTGTTCAAAATCCGCACTTCAACTTGTTTTGAAACAATAATGCAACAAAGGGAACACGACACGAGAGTATTCATGTTCAATAATACATTTGACTTTTCAGTTATACCTTAATTTAATTCCAACCAAACATGAGTGACACACATCCCACCTGTATGCTAGTGTCCTATGACTAACATGGGTAGTTATATGTATCTAAAAGAGTCCATGCATAACGTAGTTCGACCAAATCTTTTCCAAACAACAACAACAACAACAAGCCTTTTTCCCAACTACTTGGGGTCGGCTACATGAATACTATGTTTCCATTCCGCTCTATCTAAGGCCATAGCCTCAGTCAAATCACATGCTATCATATCCTACTTTACTAACTCCACCCACATTAACTTTGGTATTCCTCTTTCCCTGGTATTACCCTCACTGTGGACTATGTCACTCTTCCTAACCGACGCATTTAAAGGTCTTGTTTGCACATGCCCAAACAACCTTAACCCTTTTTCTCTCATTTTACATCGCAACCCGCCCCACACCGTTTAGATATTGTGTGCTTTTCAAACTCTTCGTGCTCCTCAAAACACGTCTACACAGTTAAGGGATATCCACACATATAAGTGTCATCAAAACTCCCCCCCACCCCCCGGGGTGATATGGAAGTGGAAGTCAGAAAATCACAATCACCCCCTTGGAACCAGCATCCTCGCTCGCCTGAGTGCACGCTCCCCCATTTTCAGCTTGTAATGGCTCTAATACCATTTGTCACTACTTGCCTCGCACTGTGTACATAATGTTTGCTTTCCACATTCTCCATGCTCACGATTTTCCTCAAAATGCATCTACACGGTTAAAGGATGTCCACGCATATAAGTTTCATCAAACCTCTCCCCCAGGTGATGTGGGATGTCACATTTTATCTCTAATTTGTGCTACTCCAACCATCTCCCGAATGTGGTCATTTCTATTAGAATGTATATTCTTTATAGTGTTGGGTCATTATGTAATTACCCATAATAGTTAGGGTTATTGTGTAATTATGTAATTAGGGTGTCTAACCCTTGTTCTTATATAAGCCTTATTTAGAGGGCTGCAGATAGACAAGATACACGAGGATACATTTTTCTCTCTATCTCTCTCTCTCTCTCTCTCTCTCTCTCTCATGAATCTGAACATGGTATCAGAGCGGTATAAATTCATGGGTGTGGGAAACAACAAGTGTGTTGCCCTTGTATGAGAGTGACTGGAATCGTGAGTATGTCGTCAATGTCTTTGTCGGAAGTTCGTGTCGCCGGTAGGTTGAGAACATCACCTATAATCGCCATCGTCCTTAGTCGCCGTCAGATCTGAAGCCCGTAGTCGTCGTCGTCAGATCTGCAGCCTCCTTCGTTGCCGTCAGATCTGAAGCCCCTTGGCCGCTTGTGTTGTTGCCGCATCGATCGTCAGCAGGCTCGCCGACACCCATCGTCGTTGTTGGCAAAGGTGAAGCTTCATCGATTCGCCCTTTTTTTTCTTAGTCGGAAGTTGCGGAGGTTGTGTGGTGTCACCGCTGTGTGCTCGCCGGAGTCTGTTGGTGGGGTTGTGAAGAAGAATAGCCCTGTTTGGTTGCGCAGCTACACTATTCCAATCCTGGTTTACTAAAACCGGGATAACAAAGACTTGTTTTGATCCAATCCAGTTACCCAGATCCGATCCGGTTCTAGATCCGACCCCGCTCCGGATCCGAACCAGATCCGGCCCGGTTCCAGATCCGACCCGGTTCCAATTCTGCATTTTCCCCAGGTTCATTTTTTTTAAATCTTCTCCATGGCTTCCAGTTCAGATCTCCTATCTCCTGCATCCCTTAATCCTCCCATGACTTCAGTCAAGCTTAATGGAAAAAATTACATTTTATGGGCCAAGTCAGTGGCCATTTTCCTGAAAGCCAAAGGCTTTGGCGATCATTTGGTTCAAGATAAACCCAAAAGCAGTGATGCTAATTGTTCATGGGAACAAAGGGATGCTCATATCATCTCCTTAATGCTGAATTGTATTGAACCTCATATTAGCTCCAACCTGTTATATCTGGACACTACCAAGGAGATATGGACCCGACTCCAACAGTTATATTCTGGTGCTGGTAATATAACCAGAGTTTATGAGGTGTGTAGACAATTTTTTGATCTCCAGCAAGGGACTCACAGTTTAGAAGAATACCTCTCACGGGCAATGGGACTGTGTGAAGAAATGAATATGTATCAACCCATCACCTCTGATGTGAAAAGCATGCAGCAGCAACGTGAGGATTTTAATGTTGTTCGGGTTCTCACAGGATTGTCACAAGAGTATGAACTTGTTCATGCACAGATTTTGGGTAGCCCTACACTTCCCTCTCTACCTGATATGTTATCCAGACTCTAGCGTGCCACTTTATCTAATGGCTCTTCAGGCAGTACTTCCAGTGGTGTCACTGCTCCTTCTAACAGTGAACGTTCTGCCTTAGTTGTGAACCAGGGTGGCTTTCAGTCTTCTCGTGGAGGTGGTGGTGGTGGTCGTTTCGGCCGTGGCCGTGGCCGTGGTCGATGCAAAGGCAGAGACTCAAAAATTTGCACTCACTACAGTCTTACTAATCACACGGTCAATTACTGTTGGGATCTTCACGGGAAACCGCCATCTTCTTTCTATGCACATCAAGTGACTGCGAGTGATGGGGATTCTTCTCTTTGCCACATCCACTGCTCCACATGTGGCTGTTGAGACTGCTATGGTCACGATTCCCCGTGATGAGTATGCTCAATTTTTGTCTCAACAACGGACTTCCACCTCATCTTCCATGGGGTCCTTGGCTCAATCAGGTAATGCCCCTGCATGTCTTTTGTCCTCTAGTCAGAGTCCCTGGATTCTTGACTCTGGCGCATCCGATCACATGACTGGTAGTTCTCATCTCCTATCTGATTTTCAGTCTGTTCCTTCCTCTCAAAGTGTTACTCTTGCTAATGGATCGTCAACTAAAGTCTTGGGTTTGGGAACTGTTCATCTTACCCCTTCTATGTCCCTTTCCTTTGTATTATATGTTCCTCAATTCCCTTTCAATTTGTTGTCCATTAGCAAAATTACTAAATCTCTTAACTGTTCTGTAACATTTTATCCCACATGTTGTCTTTTTCAGGATCTCAAGACGAAGAAGAGGGTTGGTATGGGACATGAAGTAGGTGGCTTGTATTACTTCGATCTTGCACCATCTCCCACGGCTCTTCAATCATCTTTGTCTTCTTTCCAGTGGCACTGTCGTCTCGGCCATCCCTCACTATCAGTTCTGCAGCGTCAAGTTCCCGGTTTTAGTCATGTTAAGTCTCTGTCTTGTGAAACATGTCAACTTAGTAAGCACTGTTGTGTATCTTTTAAGCCAAGAGCTAATAATTGTGTGGCTAGTCCTTTCCAATTAGTTCATTCAGATGTATGGGGACCAATAAAACATATTTCTATTAATGGATTTCGTTATTTTGTGACGTTTGTGGATGATCATTCTCGGATGACTTGGTTGTTTTTAATGAAAAATAGTTTTGAGTTGTTTTCTATTTTTCAAATATTTCACAAATAAATCAAAACTCAATTTGGGTGTTCCATTAAAGTTTTACGTTCTGACAATGCCAAAGAATATTTCTCGGACCCTTTTGAGACTTATTTTCATGCTAAAGGTATCATTCATCAATCCTCTTGTACTTATACTTCGCAACAAAACGGAGTAGCTGAGCGTAAAAATCGTCATCTTCTAGAAGTCTGTCATGCCCTTTTATTTTATATGCATGTTCCCAAACGTTTTTGGAGTGATGCTGTTCTTACGGCATGTCATCTTATTAATAGGATGCCCTCGTCAGTGCTACATGGTAAATCTCCTCACTCTGTTCTATTTCCCGACTCCGTATCGTTTAATCTAACTCCTCGGGTCTTTGGCTGTGTGTGTTTTGTCCATAACCTTGGACCTGGTCTTGATAAACTCGACCCTCGTGCAACTAAATGTGTTTTTCTTGGGTATTCACGCACTCAGAAGGGCTATCGTTGTTACAGTCCTCATTTCCAACGCTATTTCACTAGTGCTGATGTAACATTTTCTGAGTCTATCCCATATTTTTCTGATTCTACTAGTCCTCTCGATATTACTTCTGAGCCACCTCTGCCATCGGTTCCTTCTCAGTTTCCTGTTTCTGCACCTCCTCAGTCTGCTGTTCCATTGTAGGTTTATACTCGACGACCTCGACCGCCTACTTCGCTCCCTCCATCTCTTTCAGAGTCTTCGGATCCGACGCCTTTACCTGATGATTTGCCTATTGCCCTTCATAAAGGTATTCGGTCGTGTGTTACTGCACATCCCATTTCTAACTTTGTCTCCTATCGTCATATTTCATCCTCTTTATCTTGTTTGTTATCCAAAGTATCTGCTACTTTTGTTCCAAAGACATTGCAGGATGCTCTCTCTGATTTGGGTTGGCGGCAAGCCATGGTAGATGAAATGGATGCCCTTCATCGTAATGGAACATGGGATCTTGTTCCCTTACCTCCGGGCTCCAAACCGGTTGGTTGTAAGTGGGTCTACACAGTTAAATACCTTCAAGATGGATCTATTGAGCGGTTGAAGGCTCGTCTAGTGGCAAAGGGGTACACTCAGACTTATGGTGTTGACTATGATGAGACTTTTTCTCTTGTTGCTAAGATTTCTTCTATTCAGATTCTTATTTCCGTTGCTGCCAATTGTAACTGGCCGTTGTTCCAATTGGATGTCAAAAATGCCTTCTTACATGGTGACTTGGTTGAAGAAGTTTATATGGAGCAACTACCTGGGTTTGTTGCTCAGGGAGAGTATCGTCACACTATTTGTCGCCTTAAAAAGGCCTTGTATGGATTGAAACAATCTCCACGGGCTTGGTTTGGGAAATTCTCTGAGGCGGCATTAGAATTTGGTCTTAACAGATGCCAGACCGATCATTCGGTATTTCACCTGCGCACTAAAGCTGGCTTCATCTTTCTTGTGGTGTATGTAGATGATATTGTGATCACAGGTGATGATTCTGCAGGCATTGCTAAGTTGAAGTTGTTTCTGCAAAATCGGTTCCACACTAAAGACTTGGGTAAACTTAGATACTTCTTGGGTATTGAAGTTGCTAGATCCAAGGAAGGTATAAGTTTATTTCAACGAAAATATGTGTTGGATTTGCTAGAAGAAACGGGTATGTTAGGTGGTCGTCCAGTTGATGCTCCTATGGATTCAAATACAAAACTTGTGTCTGATAAGGGTGATCTATTTAATGACCCAGGCAGATTTCGTCGCCTTGTTGGGAAATTAATTTACCTCACTATCACTCGACCTGATATTTCATATGCAGTTAGCGTTGTAAGTCAGTTTATGGGAGCTCCTAGAATGCCACATTGGATTGCTGTTCTTCGGATTATCCGATATCTCAAGCAAGCTCCAGGTTTTGGGTTACTATACCATTCAAATGGTCATCTCAGGGTGGAAGGTTTTACAGATGCTGACTGGGCTGGTTCTTATTCAAATAGGAGATCTACTACAGGCTACTGTACATTTGTAGGAGGAAATCTTGTTACGTGGAAAAGTAAAAAGCAAACGGTGGTAGCTCGATCTAGTGCTGAAGCTGAGTACAGGACAATGGCACATACCACTAGTGAGTTGACATGGATACAAAATCTTCTAAAAGAACTTGAGTTGACAGTTGAAACTCCTACTCCATTGTTCTGTGATAACCAAGCAGTAGTTCACATTGCATCGAATCCTGTGTTTCACGAGAGAACCAAACATATTGAGGTTGATTGTCATTTTACTCGGGAAAAAATATTAAGTGGTAGTATCTCTACTCCATTTGTGAAGTCTGAAGATCAACTAGCTGATATGTTTACCAAAGCACTGGGTCATAATCGGTTAAGGACTATCTATTCCAAGCTGGGATTATTTGATATATATTCTCCAGCTTGAGGGGGAGTGTTAGAATGTATATTCTTTATAATGTTGGGTCATTATGTAATTACCCATAGTAGTTAGGGTTATTGTGTAATTATGTAATTAGGGTGTCTAACCCTTGTTCTTATATAAGCCTTATTTAGAGGCCTGCAGATAGACAAGATACACAAGGATACATTTTTCTCTCTATCTCTCTCTCTCTCTCTCTCTCTCTCTTTCTCTCCCTATCTCTCATGAATCTAAACAATTCCAATTCTATCCTTTCTAGTCTTACCACATATCCATCTCACATTCACATTTCCGCCACATTCACTTTGTGCATATGTTGTTTCCTAGTTGCCCAACATTTTGTACCATTAAGCATGGCTGGTCTAATTGCAGTTCAATAGAACTTTCCTTCAACTAGTTGCCCAACATTTGTGCCATAAATTTTTTTCCAAACAAAAGAACATAATTTACAATATGACCATGTCCTTCTCAATCGGCACCCCAACTTTATCACACCCAAAAACTAATAGCATCCTGCTCATTCAACAAATGAATTAGTTAACCAATACATGCAACATATCCAAAGCACATCATATGTAAACATCATGCCCACAACTCACCACCCAAAACAAGCTGCAGTGGAAATTCCCTTTCCATCATAGACAACAATCTTGACATTATTTTCAATGCCAAGAGCTGAAACAACAGCAAAAGTCTGATAATGTAGGCATACGGCCCCACCTTAAGCCACATGCGAGCCATACAGACACTCTCACAATAGTTGTCTTGACACGTCACTTGGGGGAGGTTGTGATTTGTGGAATTATAAGAAAATAAGATGATTATCCACAAAGGTAAAATAAACTCATGGCAGTAGAGCATGCATGTCACGGATGCTCAACTCACCCAACATGAGAAGAAATGGATCCCTTGGTAAGGATGTTGGCCTTCTCTCCATTCTTCACTAAAAAGAGTGAAAATCTATCCAAATTGAGATTTTTCTTGATGAAATTCCCACCTCAATAGGTTTGATTCTATAATATTGGAATTGGTGGAGCAATGTATAACAAGTCACAATTGCCTTATCCTGGTAGACATATTTTCAAGTATTAACTCATTGGTAATGGCACAAAAGTATCAAACTCAAATCCCACGCACTTCAGGTCCCAGAGCATGAAATATACCACCTTTACTCAACCAGACTATGGCAATTTGGTTTTAAATCTCTGGGCTAAAAAAGTACAAATGGTTACTGTACATCTCCACTCATGAAAAGCATGCGATCTACTAAATTTAAGCAAAACTGAATTTGACAAATGCTTAACTGCCTACCAAATATGTGTGTGTGTGTGTGTGTGTGTGTGAATAAAATGAATGGCTGATGAGCTTAGTCCCATTCGTCTTGATCATTCCGGTATTTTGATAACCAAAGAAATGCTAACAATTTATCCCGTATCCTTCATTTTCTCCTCAAAATATGTTTTGATAAAGATGAAGCTTCAATGTGACAGTTACATAAACATGAAAGCCAGTGTTAGGAGAAATAGAACCTCCCCACCCCCAAAAAATAATAATAATAAATAAATAAATAAATAAAAATCTAATGAGAAATTATAGGATTCCACAGTTGATCAAAATATTTAAAATAGAATAAATGGATCAATCATGCAAGCATCTTAACTGTGGGATAGCATCACCCAGAACTACCTAAATGTTTTTCAAAAGACAAGACTTTGGAAGATATAAAGTCAAAATTTAACAACAAAAGGTAGATAGCTAGGTATATATATATATATATATATATATAGAGAGAGAGAGAGAGAGAGAGAGGAAGCAAGGCAACAATTTCAATAAATAATCAACGAAAAGGTGGGATTACCTTTATATATGCACAATCTCCAAGATTGTAAATGCAGCCATCAACTTTAGCTTGAGTAAAATGGCATTCCACATTCAAAATTATTTCATCCTCTTCATCAGCACTAAAACAACAAGAATTCACAACATTAAAGGGTAAAAGAGAGATTAAAAAAATGTAACACACTTCTAAACTAGGAATTGGAAAGAGGCCACAAGGGTAACTACCAAAGAGACAAGTTCGTAGACTATCACTCACTTCAATTTCCAGCTTTGACCCTTAGATTGTTGGCTTTGCAAACCCTAACAAGTTCGTGCTCAGAATTGAGATATTGAATTGCAAATAAGTAGTGAACAAAACTGAAGATGTAATAACATGTAAGTATGTAACAAATATAATAGCAAATGAGCAATGTAGTGGCAAAAGAAAAGAAGAAGAAGAACTGTACAGTAAAATACAAGTCAATTAGCCAAGTCTCTCTGGCAAGTAATTAGGTGACCACGAAGGCATGCAATGACTGGTTAGAGGATCATTTCAATTTCCTACATGAAATGAAAAGAGCTCTCTCCCTTTTGATAAGACTCATAGGAAGCTGAATATCCAGTCTCTCCCAGTTTTTGTGCATAGCTTATGCAGGTAGAAGACCATCTACTACTCCATTGGCCATTTAACCTGCCTTCTTGGCTTGGGAAAATAATTAAAAAATAATAATACTAATAATTGACATACAGCTACAAAATCTCTCTTAATAAATTTTCTACACTTATTGAACTTTGTCATGCACATCTGATTTGATCAATAACAGAACAAAGAACACGGAAGCAAACTCATATGCCTGAAAGGCTGAGAGCTTACCACTGGTCCAAAAATTGTTATGTTTTGACAACTAATGGAATGGCGAATTGAATTACACTCAAATATAATTCCATAAGTTGAGTGTCATTCCCATAACATAAATAGATAGAGCCCATCAATTGAGCAAAAACCAAAAAAGCAAACCATAATTGCGTTCATCAAGAATAAAAAAAGAAAAAAGAAAAAAGAAATCTATGAATATGCAAAATGCAGTTCAAGTAAATAAAATGCAAGAGTTAGACATGCACCTTCAATTCATAACGCCAACGCCACCTTTCTCGAGCTTCCTCCTTAGGCACCGGCTCTCCAATGAAGGAAGCTTTATTTTTCTGTTCTTTCTGTTTTTCCTCAGGCGATGCAATCAATTCCAACTTTCCTTCTACATTTTCAGTCCCAACCAGGCGAAATGGTATTTTTCGAGATCTCAAGCACTTTTCACCAGACGTATCCAAATCACGGCTTCCAAATGTGGTATTAATCTTCTCAGGCGCCTCATCATCCATTGAAACAACTTCTTTTTTGGTCTCAGAGGGCGACGGTGGTGTTTGAAATTTTAAGCACTTCTCACCCAACACATCAAAATCACAGCTTTCCGAATCATTTTTAATAATTTCTGGTGCCCCATTATCCACTAAAGCTTCAGGCAATTCTTTCAAAGCAGACTTCACTTCCTCATTTTTCGTCCCAACTAAACAAAAAGGTACTTTCCGAGATCTCAAGCTTCTTTCACCAAATGTATTCCTATTGATTTTCTCCGATTTTGGCTCAGACAATGCCAACAAATCGGACTTCATAGTTGCATTTTTAGCCCCAACTGAAGACGATGAATGTCTTGGCGACTTCCTCAAACACTTCTCATGCTTCCTTTCTACATCAGACTTACCCGGTGTCGTCTTCACCTTCTTCGAAGACCGCTCATCCTCCGAATCACACCATGCAGCCCCAATAACACTCCCCGGTATCATCCGTGATCTCAAACGCTTCTCGCCGACCACCGTCGCACCAGTTTCCCCCATAGAGCTCGGACTCTTCTTTTTCGAGCTCTGCCTTTTATCTGACAAATCCGACCACTCTATCAAAGCCAACTCAGATTTGACCAATTTGACATCTCTAGCATCACTTTGGCTCACTACCAAAGCCGACGATAGTCTCGGCGATCTTCGCACGCAATTGTGCTCAGCTGTGAGAGGCGATTTTAGGTCAACTGAATCAACAATTTGCTTACTAACGCTTCTACACTCATTTTTAGTAAATCTGGGCAAGCACTCGTGCTTAGCTGAAGATGAATGTACGTCAATTGACTCATTTTTTGTAAATCTCGGCGATCTTCGCTTGCACTTGTGCTCGGCTGAAGCCGAATCAGCAATTTGCTTAACACTCGTACACTCATTTCCTGTAAATCTCGGCGATCTTCGCATGCACTTGTGCTCGGCTGAAGCCGAGTCAGCAATTTGCTTAACACTCGTACACTCATTTCCTGTAAATCTCGGCGATCTTCGTAGGCATTTCTGCTCATATAAAGCTGGAATTAAGTCAATTGAATCAGCATTTTGCTTACCAACACTCGTACACTCATTTCCTGTAAATCTAGGCGATCTTCGCCGGAATTTCTCTCCGGAGAGATTCGGATCGAAGATTTTCAACGGCACAAACACCTCGCCATCTTCGTCTTCTATCACGTACAACGACAGAGCTAGTTCTTCCGATTTCGACTTCCGATTCTTCCCACAAGGTTTGACGGCAGAGTCTTCTATCTTGGACGGACTTGATGACCGTCTTGGAGATCTTCTCACATTCTTCTCGGTCGGAGACTTGGTTGTTGAGTGGGTTTTGGCGGAGAACTTTTGAGTTTTTCCTGCCATTGTGGTTGAAGCTAGAGCTTCAGAGGAATAGAGGATGGACAATGAACCCCTGAATCTTTGACTGTGAATTGGAGTAGGGTTTAGAGTTGTTAGTGGAGTTAAACATGTAATTTTCTTGAAGTTAGAGGACTGTGGAAGAAATTAGTGTAGTGGATCTCAGAGCACTAGGTGATGGGTGTGGATGACAAGGAGAGAGATCGACTGTTACTGACACATGGTGAAGGAGACGAGGTCACGAGTGACGAGTGTGATTGAATATTTACTGACGGTTTATGTGTGTGATGCATGGACTATTCAGTACAAATTAATACTTAGAGCAGTATTTTTTATCAACAGGAAAATAAGTTGACTACAAAGTACATAAAATAAAATAAAAATGTATTTGGTGATTTTTGTTTTTTTTTTTGGGTTAAGCGTAAAAATTTCATCACCTACTATCGACATAGTTTATATCGATTCCTACGTCATAAATAATTTTTTTATACTATTAATTTGGTGTAAATAAATTTCTGTGTTGTGTAAAATGATAATAATACCCGCACTTCAGTTAAATAAATTAATTATTATAAATACTAGCTATGTAAAATGATGATTTTGTCTAAATTTATATAAAATTGTGTTTGTTTGGGATAAGAATAAGATAAATCTCAATTTATATAAAATTGGGATAAATTAAACCAAAGAAACCTAAAATAAGATATAATAAAAACATAAACCAAACACACACACTGTAGTACTATTCCTCCCCATGTGCCGTTTTCCCCCACTTCCTCTTAACCATGCTCGTTGCCTCTTCCCACTGCCCATGCCACCTCCTCCCCATCATGGCCGCCCCCTCCTCCCCACTATAGCTGCCGCCGACTACCCATAACCATCTCTTTCATCATTATCTAACAAAACCATCTCGTCTTCGAAGAACCCGGATGCTGATACGTGTACGATCTCAACAATGTCCGATTCTTCCCGTTCGCCATCTCTGAGAACTGACCCTATATGTTGCATTTATTCTTCAACCCAATTTGGCATTTCAAACCTGGGTATGTCAAAGAACCGTTCCGGCCACGAACATGAAGAAAACGAGGAGTTTGAGTTTCTCTGTCGTCGCTCCACGGCAGCGTCGCTCCATAACTTAACCCATCTCAGCTTTCGTCCTACGGGTGCAATTTCTAGGCTTTTTCTAAACAAATTCGAAGAAGACCCAACCGATTTTCCATTGATTGATTGTTTGTAGAGAGAGAATATAAGAGTCTGTACCTTGAAATAATGAAGATTCATGGTCGAAGAAGTCGGAGAGATCGAATCCACAACAAAATATTCGGTTCTGGTCAATGAACACAACGCTGCAAATAAAAGCCACAGACAGATGTTACACGCGCCTACACGTGCCACCTGAAGTTCTGCGCGTAGATCTCGCGCACTGTCACGCGCCCCACGCGTCTTCTCAGACAAAAATCCGATTCCAACGAATTTTCTGGCGATAATCCGATCACATCTCTGGCGAGCCGAGCCATTCAACCAGTACCAACGAGCCGAGCCGAGCCATTCAACCAGTACCAACAAGCCGAGCCATATAAGGGGTTATATGCACATATGGGTGAGGGGCAAAATAGGAATCAAAAGGGTAAAATAGGGTTCTCATATTTAGTTTTTGTCAAAAAAAAATAGTTAGATGGGCTTATTTGCCTCTTTTTTTAATTTTATAGACTAACATGCACATTTTTAAAAAACTGAGACTAGTTTTGCACAAACTCTATATATATCAGTGGTTTTTTTTGCACTTAACCATTTTTTTTTTTTTTACTTTGAAAGTTGAAGGAAATAGACACTCATTGTATATTTTTTATCCTTACCAAATTTCAATACTTAATTTCTTCACAAATGATGAGAGTTTGTATCATTTAAACTACCCTAATAGAGTTATAATACTTACATATTTTTAATTTGTGATTAGTGGGATGGTAAAAATTTAAAGAATTGTGATACGAAGGATTAGGGGAACGGATTCTCTTTAAGAAAATTTATTTCCTATCATTTTCAAGTATTTAATCTTACGGATGTTATAGCGCCACATCATCAACTTACCATTCTATCATTAATTTACCAAACTTAATTAATTAACTTATAAATATAGTATATTTTGGACTAAAATTTCCAATATAACAATTACAATTTCGCTAAAACTTTCAGTTTACTTTTTGTTTTTAAAATTTCCAAGATAACAATTACAATTAAACTTCCTTCTTTCGATTTCCCTCTACTATCATCAATCTTTATTCGTTACAATTTAGGGTTTGGAAGATTTAACAGTTTTTTCTGGGTTAATAAAGTATTTTAAGATCTTGGTACATCAGATAACTCAAAGCTCATCTGGATTTCTTCTACCTTTCAGAGTTTTATAGTGCAACAAAGATTTCTCAATTTTTTCTTGATTAATAAATATGGTATTGTTTGGACTAAAAATGTCATTGTTCTTACTCATTCAATTAGTTACTTGCTACAATTGGATTAGTTCCGAAATTTACAGTTGAAAATAATTTAATTAAGGGTGTGAGTAAAAATTTGAAAAATTTGGGTATAATTTTTTTTTATTTTAGAATTTGTGAATAAGAATATAGATTTCGCTGCATCAGACAACTATGACAAAAAAATAAAAAAATAAAAATTTCTTTTCCTTTTAAAATTGAATTTGTCAAAAAATAAAATGAAAGTTTTAGCACGATGGAAAATCGCCTTAATTATTATCTTTGGAAATTTTAGTTCAAAAGATAGTATATTTATTAGTTAATTAATTAAATTTAATAAATTAATGATGAAATGATAAGTTAGTGATATGATATAACAACTTTAAGATTAAATACTTAGAAATAGTTGGAGAAAATTTTCTTTGGAGAGCATCCTTTCCCGAACGATTATAATTGTCAAAACGTACAAATAAATATCACCTTATTAGTTAATCACATGAGAAAGAGAACAAGTCTTGGAATACCCGTAAAAGTGGAGAAGCAGTTCAAAGCAAGAAGTTCACATGTTATCCGTCCAGGCTCTTTTAAAATATCACTCTTAAATGCAACCGTAAATAATGTTTTCTTAAAGTTGTGAAGAAAATATGAGAATTCATTCTAACTTATAAATACATAAAGGTGTCAAAAAAAAAAAATTTAATACGAGTAAATAAATACATAAAGAGTAATTTATAATGAAATTTAGTTAAAACATAAGTTGCAAAAGACAAATACTACACGGAATGTTTTAAAATTTATGTAAAATGACATTCACAATTTGATTTGTATATTTTTATTTTAAAAAATAAAATGACATGGGTTACTCTTCAATTTTGCATTTCACTTTTGAAATTTTTTTTTATATATATATATTTCCCAATCACATCCTTGCTGGCACACGTGTGTCTATTTTCGTGATGTATGTAGGAGTAGCAATGCAGTACAATTATAGATTTACTACAGTACATTATTTGAAAGGTATTGATGGTCATGTTTTGTCTTGTTGTGGTTCTTTATATAAGAAACAAAGAAGCAGGGTGTGGTCACACTTCAAAAACAGCTTTTTCCAGCGGAGTTACGTTTATCGATACCCCACTTCCACCCTGACCGTGAGATCAAACGCCTTCAAATTTTTTATTTTTTTTTATTCTTTTTTAAATTTTGGGTAAAATATCTAAGTGTGGTTTAGACACAGGTAGAAAAGAAAAAAAAAATAATAGTATTAGTTAAGAAAAAAAAAAGAAAGAGAAAAAATAGTAATAATTTTTATTTATGTTTGAATAAATATGGGAGAAAATAAAATTAAATAAATAATAGTCATTTTTATTTAGATAAGATAAAAAAGAGAAAAGAAAACAAATCATTCTTATTTGAATAAAATAGAAAAGAGAAGAAAAAAGAAATGATAATAACCAAATTACTGTCTGATCATTTTATGAATATATGAAAGATAATTTTGATATTATCAAAATACCACTAAACCATACTACTTTCTCTCCCTCTTTTCTCTTTTCTCTCCATTTAACTCACCCAAATATATTTGACCTCTATCATTTTTTTTCGTTTTTTTTTTCCTCTCCTTGTCTCTTCAAATCATCCCATCCAAACACATTATGATTGTCCCTGTTTGTTTATTTGTGTTGATAAAAAAGAAACAAGACACTTTTTTTCTTTTCTAATTTTTTTTTTTTTTTTTCATTTGCTTGAAATATTTTTAGATTAATTTGGATTGTTATTGTTAATTTCTGTACATAGGTTGCTTATTACTCATTTTACTCAAATTCAGGGCAATAGTAGGAGTTAATAATTACTCAATTTATGCATAACATTTTCAATAAAAGAGGTTTTTTTTTTGGGTCAAAAAATGGTCAAGCTTAGTACTGTATTTTATAATGGTCATCGTCTCATAATCATAAACTTGATTAATTCAAACCGAACTTGACCAACCTTGATCTTACACAAGTGTAAACTGTGGTCAGAATAGGGATGACAAATTCCCCATTCCCGCCGGGACCCCGCCCCATTTATATCAAGGATGGTGATCCTTTTAGCTAAACGGGGATGGGGATGGAGACAAATTATGAATCCCCGCTGGGACTGGGGCCGAGGGCAGGGGCGGAGATGAGGTAAACTCGCCCTGCCTCGCCCCGTCCCGATTAAGCATGGAGTTACTAATATACCTTTACATATAATAATTTATTACTAAATTAGATTTATTATATATATGACAATAAGAAAAAAAATGTGTTTTTTTTTTTTAATAAAAAAAATTATGAGGTCGGGGGTAGGGGCGGGAATAAGGTGTCGAGGGCGGGGGTGGATATGGGGATTCTGGCAAAATTTTAAGCGGGGATGGGGACGGGAAGGTGGAATGAAAAATGCATCGAGAATGGGAATGAGAAATGGAATCCTCGCCTCACCCCACCTTATTGCCATCCCTAGGTTAGAATGATAAGTTCAAGGTACAATTGTCCACACAAATTGTCATATTGGAGCTCGGGATTAAAGAAAGGAAAATGATAAAAGAACCGAACCACACACCCGAATTATAGACCGAATCTAATGAGGCTTATCCACGTCAGGTTATATTTTCTAATATTGTACCGCACGTGAGATGATACCTCTTTGTTTCTATCTCCTCTATTACTCTTCCTTTCTCTCTCCTCTTTTCTTGTTCCCCTTCTTGGCTCTTCCCTCTCTTCTGGTTCACCTTGAAGAGCTAGTCTAACCGCAGATAAGGAAAATGTTAGAATTGATTCCAAATAAGCCCTATACATACACAATTTGTGGTTTGGTTTCATATTCGTCAATAACACGTCCGCAAGAAGAAGCATCAAAGGGAAGGACCAACGACGAGCATTATAATGGCGTAGGCCAGGGGGATCTCTCCTCCTTATTCAATTGCTTCCTGGCGAAGAAGAGACTGCTTCAGAAGAGAAATTTCTCAAAATTGAAGGTAAAAAAATAAAACCATCAAAATTTCTTCCAAAACAACCTGCAAAAAAAAAAAGAAGAAAAAAAAAGGAAGAAGACAGAAAGAAAAGAAGAGAAAAGAAAAGAAGAAGAAAAAAATAGAACAAAAGGGAAAATTTTTTTGGCTGCAACTGTTGTTTCTTTCTTTTGGATTTTGTATCCAAACAAATCAAAGGAAAATTTTAAGAAAATTCATCCGTTTCTCTTATTTTGGGTAGTTTTTTTTAAAAATATAAAACAAATTGGTTTTCTTTCCAAGTATATTTTCATTCTGTAAGAGAATAAATATCTCTTGTAATGAAAACTCTTGTGCATGACCACTAGATTTTGAGAGAGATGAATTGTGAGAAGAATTAATGAAACAGACTAACAATCAGATGATCCAGATAGAGAGAGGAGAGAGAAACAAAGAGATAGAGAGAGAAAGGGAACATGGGGAGAAAAACGTAAAATAAATGATAAGGAATTATTTCACCTCTAATGAGTTTGACGTGATAAGTTTGGTGTTTTTTCAATAGAAAGCTCCGGTTTCTCTATCACTGTTATTAAAGAAATTTAAATCTCAAGTTGAGTTTGTTTACTCTTTCGGCTTGTGTGAGTAACACACAAATTTGAACAATCTGTTTTGAAAACAGTCCCGTCATAATTATGTTTCTAACTGTTTTTTTCTCCATAATATAAGGAAAATGCTTTAAAAAGTGAAACAACCAGCTTCCAACTCGCACCCAAAACAGGCCGACAATTCCATGCACTGTTTTGGGACATGCGTATGGCACGAAATCAAACGGCTGGCACTGTTTTTATTGGACTTTTATTGAATAATCAATTAAAAATATTTTATTTAACAATTCACTGCTACTTGATTGAGATTAATAGAAAAAATAAACGCGAGTAAACCTCGCTGTATTGTGAAGCCCATAGGAGCAAGACGCTAACCACTTACATGAGCATGTATAAACCTCGATATATTATAAAGATCACATTTTATGAGTTGTCGGGAGAATTTATTAGTGTCAAATATAACAATACACTTGATAGAGAAATTTTTTTAGCTATCCTGATTGTAATGATAATTTGATATCACGCATTAATTAAACATACTAATAAAATACATTCATATAAATCTTTTTATATATTTTTTAAAATTTATACGCACAAGTTAATTTGGATTTGTATTTTACAATAACTTGTGATTTCACGTGCTGGTGACAAGAATAGACAAATTACGTGAATTCATGTCATCATTATCAAAAGATATATACATACACCAACACAGGATACGGGTACGATGTGATACGGACAAGGCGATACGGTAAATTTCAAAAAAATAGAATACGGGCACGGCAATAAAATAATAATATATATTTTTATTATATATAAAATTTTAATTTCTCTTAATTTTTAATTTACATTAATAGACATGATCCATTTAAATAAAGTCCAATCCAAATTCTATTAATATGTAGTATATCTTTATATCCATTACTAGAATTTGTATCAATACTAGAATAATTTTAACTCTGTAATCAAACACACTGAACAATCTCATCTTCTCGGCTTTTCCACATTTTACTGATCATATTTTCTCTCCTCTAGAGAGAGGTCGTCTTAACTTTCTATCTTCTTTCTCCTCGGTCTTATCACGTTTTCTTCTTTCATTCTGTCTTCGATTGATCCACACATCATTTCTTTGTTGATTTCCCCTCTCTCTTCCAATTTCTCCGTCATCCCCTCAATTTTTTTATTTAGAGTTGCTTTTGGTTTATTGTATTCGTTCGGTCCACACAAAAAAACACACATATCCCTTCATCCTCTCTTTCTTTTAATTAAGAATCTGAACTGCAGTGTCCTCCGGTGTGTCCCTGCCGTATTTTATGGCGTGTCCGACTTAAAAAAATAAATAAAAAAATAAGACACGGATAAAAGGGTGTTGGACACGTGTTCGAGGCCGAAACACATGTGTCCATATCAAATAAGTGTCTGATAATGGTACGTCACCCCCTACCAGGCATGTCCGTATACCATATGGAAGTTCCAAATTAGCAATCCAAGGTACGTTGGTTCTTTAAAGTGAGTGAATTGATTGAACACTCACAAACTCGGTTTATCATTTTAAAGAAACTTATACATTTAAACAAACTTATTTATTGCATTTTAAACAAACTCATTTCATATCATTTAAACAAACTTATACACATACTCGTACAAACAGAATTAAAAAGAAAGCTTGACAGAACAGAAAACTTACAAAAGAAAGCTTGATAGAAAGCTCTCTAAACACCAAACTATCACACTGCAGACTTCACTCTCGAACTTACAATATAGAAACAAACTTTTGAAAAAAAAACACCCAATGCCTAATTCTAAAGAGACTAGTTCCTTATATAGATCAAGAGTCTCGAGCCCGATCTTGAAATTACGCATAAAAGATAAAATAGATAAGAAAGAATCTCCTTTACAAATAGCAAGAAATCAATATTACAACTTTGATCCAAGTCACTTTATTAAAGCAAACATCACATGCTATTAGCATAGAAAGTCTCCAATGTGGGTCATCGTATCCAAGATAAGGATGAAGTCGGTTAGGACTCATGTGCTGAGAAAAGTTATAGTGAGATCCCATAACTCATAGACTTAACTTTATCAGATTCGGTATTATCCTCAGATTCTAAGTAAGAAAGAACAGCAATTAATTCAATAGCAATTTGCCTTTTCAGTTCTTTTGAAATATTTTTCTTTAAAGAGGATAATTTATCCAGATTCTGATTCAGACTTGGCAGGAATGTGAAAATCAACCATTTTCTGAATTTCTTCTACAGATATATTGGAGAAGTCAAATCTTGACCACCATTTTGAGGCCATTTGCCTACACAAAATTGGAGCATAATTATTTGAATCGTCAACCACATATTGCCAAGCTATTATCCATAGAATAGCAAATTTTGCCATAAATTTCATAAAAGAATCATCATATTGAGAACAGCTATTATCGAGAAGATGCTCGTAAGCTTTGTGAGCTCTTCTGAGAGGGTAAGGTAAAATTGCTGGTTCAGGATCAAATTGTGCCCACCAATCAAGGAACCATGCAGGAATTTCCTGAAAGAAACGGTTCTTTGAAAACCATATGAACCAGGAATGTTTATATCTGGGGTTTTGATAAAAAATAAAAAAAAGGGTGTATTTCCAAGCACAAACTTGGTTGAGAGTAAGAAGCTGATAAGGAGTATTCTCTTGTTAAGGATCTCAACCTCTAAAATTGTAAAAAAATAGATCAGTAAAAATCTGAGTTCCAGCTTCAATAAATCTGAGTTCTTTTCTGGATCAGTAAAAATTTGTGCCACAAATAAATAAATAAAATAGATGGTAAAACGCGCCAGAATGCATCACACAAAGTTCAGTAAGTAGCAACATGCATGATATAGAAAGCTTGAGGATCAAATAACTTCCATTAGTATAGATATTCAAGTATCAGATTGTGGTGGCTAAGAGAATACCGATCCACCATTAATAGAGAGGGATTACACATTGATCCTATTGTGGACGAAGCTTTCTCATTAACCATTTCTTTCGGATGGTAACATCCAAAGCCAAAAACATCTTTGCCTTCTGTTCATCCTCCAAAAGATCACAAGCATCCAGAAATAGATCTTCATCTATATCTGGTACAGCTTTGAGCGCATTGACGACTTGTTCAAAAGAAATAGAGCTCTGATTCTCTTTCTTATTATTTGCCAATGACGTGACTGCAAAAGCCATCTGGCGAAGAGCATCCACCATACGCTCGTCAGTGCTCCTTCGTGCTTTCCTAGAATCATGGGAATTTGATGGATCGACAAAAGGCCGTTTTCCAAGTTGATTAGAAGTATCTACACCTCCACCTGAATGGGATGATGATTCTTGGATATCAACAGGATCACCAAATGCAACAATTTTCTTTCCTGATGTGTCATTGAAGTCCAAATTATGACCTGAAAAGCTATGTCCTCCATCAGCACTAGAGTTCCTAAATATCACACTCATATCATTATAGCATGGCAATGTTTTAGTTCTATAAGCCTGTGCTTCAGGATGTGCCTGCAAGTAAGTTTGTAAAGGATCAGGAAAGTAATGGTTAACAATTCGGGAACCTTTTCTGGATAAAAATAAGAGCAATGCTTAGGTCCTCACTAGTGAGGATCTACACCATCCTCACTAATGATGTGAACCAATAATAAATATACATATCATCTTTAATTTCTAAATTTAATATGATGGGTAAATACCCACTTACCACATCACATAGATGGTGATTTATTATTAGTCCACATCACTAGTGAGGATGGTGTAGATCCTCACTAGTGAGGACTTAAGTATTGTTCTAAAAATAATACTCTTGTAGTAATCAAAATCCCCCAACCCCGAAACCCCCACCAAAAAGAAGATGAAAAAACCTCTTTAACTTGAGTAAAAATAACAGGGTTCAGCTGGGACAACACTGTCTTTCACTTAGAGGGGCATTTGGTGGCGAAATAATTTTCTGTATGAAGTACAAATGAAACGATTATAAAGAGTACCTTGAGATAGTTATCCCATACAATGTCACTTGCCACCACCATTTGTCGTGTTTCATCCCAGTGAAATCCACCATGGTCTAATAGAATCTTCACAGCATTGTACTGCATCCTCAATTTTCTGAACCGAACTCTCAAAGTTTCCTTGTCCAATTGTAACCCGAATTTTGAATTTAACAAGTCAAGCATATGTGTCCATGCTTCTTTCCGAAATGAAGTTCCACTAGTATTACCTCGATGAATTTCCTCTAACATGATCTCAATGAAATAGCGATCCATAGGAGGTTTCCAGTTAGTCTTTGAACGTTCAGTAGTAGGGGTTTCTCTGTTATCCACTCCCTCCACAAGTTGAGAAGACTGCCAATGGATATAATCAGTAACTAAATAGCACAAAAAATCTTACTGCTCTTAATAGGCTTCATAATGAACACTTTATTGCTTCAAGAATAATTTGGTGTGATAAATATTTCAAAATCCAAGGTTCAATTAAGATAATATCATGTAAAAAGATAGGATGCCAAACTTCACAATGAACTAAAAAAATTCAAGAATCAAGGACATCATTCAGAGAAGCTGAGAACGAATTTCAGTGTGCGGAAAGCAATGCACTTTGAATGCCATTATAATGGAATCACTGATTTTTTTTATTTTTTTATTTTTTTTTGATAATGACACAAAATATTGGGTTTTATCACCTTACCCCACATTGATCTCCATGAGCAGCAGATATGGTTGCAGATTGTGAACCTCCAGACTCTCCACCAATCTTTCCTTCATGCATTCCATTAGTAAATTCAACAGTGTGATCTAAGCCATTATTTCTTCCTTTCGAATTTTCATTTCCAAATATAATGGAAAGATTTGCAAAATCAGGGACAGTTGTGGTTCTGTAAGCTCGTGCTTCAGGATGGGCCTTAACATAATAGATGTTAGCTAATGGCAACGTGTAAAATCAACAGACTAATAATTAGTATTTTTTTAGAGTAAATTCACCTTGATATAATCATCCCAGACTTGATCATCTGCCGTCACCATTTGCCTGGTCTCATCCCAGCAAAATTCACCATGTTCAAGAAGAGACTTCAGAGTAAAATACCTCGTCCTTAGTTTCTTCAGGCGGTTCTTCAGAACATCCTTCTCCACACCTAATTCAAATTCCATATTGAACAAAGTAACCATATTCTTCCATGCTTTTTTCCGAAATATAGTATTATTCTTGTGACCTTTCTGGACCTGTTCTATCATAATCTCAATGAAATATCGATCCATTGTTGGTGTCCAAGTAGTGCGCAAGCGATCACTGCTATTTGGGCCTTGTTTCTCCATCCATTCTACAACTTGTGACGGCCTGTGGGAACAAATAAATAATTTATGCACTTGTTCCTGATGTGTATTTCTGAGGAATCTGAAGACAAATGGAAAATAATTGATTTTTCCTGATGTTCAGAAAAAAGGATATTTTAATTTCTATTTTCAGTGCACTTGAAAGAACAAGCTTATTCTGTAAAATAAGTAACCAGACAAATAGTTAAAACTGATTTATGTTAGAAAAAATTATAAGAACAAAGACAGGACAGAGGTTATATACCAATACCGTAAAGTATCATTAATTTAAATAGGGAAAATTACGATGCTGCCTCATTTTATGAGAAACATATGGAATTACATGTAGCTGCCACCTTTTTGACAGCTGCTTAGGTTTAAGGCTGGAGAAATGCTATTTACTCTACGCACTATTTTGCTTTCCGTGGTAGATGTTAGAGTTGTGGCTCAAATTCTGGTGAAGAATCCCATTCTGGAAAAGTGGAGCTGGTTCCGCTTAAATGGAACCGGTTGCGCTTGGGCAGAATGGTCGGAACAATGATTCAAAGAAGTGGAACCGGTTGCACTTATATGATATTGTGGTGAAATGAATTCAATTATATTGAATCTGTTAATTTTTACAAGAGCCTCTGTTGGGCTATATATAAGAAATTACAGAGAGAAAAATCATCAACTAACTAAATTTTGAAAACCCTATAATCAGGAATCCCTGATTCTCTATCAATCAAATCCCTAAACTCTAGGAAACAAATATTTACACAATTCTAGTGCTAACCTACCACTAATCAAGGAGACTAACTCGTATTTTTCCACACTCCCCCTTAAGCTGGTGAATAGGTGTCAACCATTCCTAGCTTGGAAATAATTTCTTGGAAGATAACATGGTTGAGCCCCTTTGTAAGAACATCTGCCATTTGACCTCCCGTGGGAACGTATAGTGTGCAAATTAATCCGCTTTCTAGTTTTTCCTTGATAAAATGCCTGTCTATCTCGATGTGCTTAGTTCGGTCGTGTTGCACTGGATTATGCGCAATGTTGATTGCTGATTTATTGTCACAGTAGAGTCTCATTGGCCCACTCCATTTAATCTTCAAGACTTCCAGTATAATCTTCAGCCATAACAACTCACAGACACCTTGTGCCATTGCTCTAAACTCGGATTTTGCACTTGACCGGGCTACAACATTTTGCTTCTTGCTTCGCCATGTTACCAAATTGCCTCCAAGGAATGTACAATAACCTGAAGTAGACCTCCGATCCATAGGGGACCCTGCGTAATCTGCATCTGTGTAGGCTTCAAGGATAAGCGTAGAGTTTCTCTTGAACATTATCCCCTTCCCAGGATTAGCTTTCAAATAATGAAGCATACAGTAGGCAGCTTGAAGATGAATCTCCTTGGGGTCATGCATGAATTGGCTGATGACGCTAACAGAATATGCTATGTCCGGCCGGGTGTGGGCAAGATAAATGAGTTTTCCAACTAATCTCTGGTATATCTCTCTATCTACTGCTTGATCTCCAATAGCTTCTCCAATTCTATGGTTCGGCTCTATAGGTGTTGCAGCTGGTTTGCTTGCGAGCATTCCTGTTTCCTTAAGAAGATCGGTGACATACTTTTGCTACGAGATGAAGATACCTTGTCTAGAATGAGCCACTTCTATCCCTAGAAAATACTTCAATCTCCCCAAATCTTTTATCTCGAATTCTTTGATCAAACATTGTTTCAAGGCTTGCTTCTCCTTCTCATCATTCCAGTCATAATTATGTCGTCCACATAGACTATTAAGGCCGTGACTTTCCTTGAAACTGAGTGTTTGATGAAAAGAGTGTGATCTCCCTGACTCTGCTTGTATCCTGTAGCTAACATCACCTAAGTAAATCTCCCAAACCAGGCACGGGGCGATTGTTTTAAACCGTATAAGGCCTTCCTTAACTTGCATACCTTGTTCTCTTCAACTCCTCCAAATCTTGGCGGGATGCTCATATAGATTTCGTCTTCCAGGTCACCATGTAGAAAGGCGTTCTTCACATTGTATTGCTATAATTCCCAATTAAAATTGGCTGCTAATGACAACAAGATCCTCGCAGTGTTCATTTTTGCAACTGGAGCAAAGGTCTCTTGGTAATCAACTCCATATGTCTGAGTGTACCCCTTAGCAACTAGCCTTGCTTTGTAGCACTCTAATGATCCATCAGCCTTATATTGCAAGGTAAAAACCCACTTACACCCTACTGCCTTCTTTTCTTTTGGTAGATCAACCACCTTCCACGTCCCATTTTTTTCCAATGCGTCCATCTCAACTCTCATTGCTTTCCTCCATTCTTCATTGGATAATGCTTCAGATAAAGTGTTTGGAATAGTACTTATAAAAAAAAAAGAAGATAAAGTGTTTGGAATAGAGATTTCATTTAGACTCGTGAGAAAACTCCTATAGGCTGGTGAGAATTTCTTTAAGGATACATAATGAGATAGAGGGCATAATGGTTGTTTGGTACACTCTCGAGTTCCTTTCCTCACGGCTATGGGCAAATCTTGGTCAGTTATTTGAGGTCCAGAAAGCTGGTGTTCTATAAGTGGAGTAGGTTCAAATACCGTTACCTCATTCTTAGGAGTCAGGTTGGAGGTTTGGGCCTGCACCAGATCAGGAGTTGGACCTTGCTTCCTCGAGTACACCCTCCCTTTCCCATACCATACGTGATCAAGAGTCATATTATCCTTCACAGGAGACATAGGTGACAAAACAGGAGATTCGGGCTCAGGTACTGAGTTGGATTAGAGTGTTTGATACAGGTAAGAGAGATGGTAAACGAGGCAAAGACGGTAAAGCGAGCTGGAAAAAATCCTTATCTTCCATGATAGATGACTCCCCCTGAAGATAAGGTTCAATAAAATACGGTTTCCCTTCTGCAAATGTGACATCAGCTGAGATATAAAGTTTCCTGGTAGGAGGATGAAAACATTTGTAACCTTTTTGTGTGGACGAATATCCTACAAACACACACTTAATGGCTCTAGGATCTAATTTGCCCCGGTTGTTGCTATGGACATGAACAAACGAAGTGCACCCAAATATCCTAGGGGTAAGGTTGTTTGTGGCACTAAGGTCGGGGTAGAATTTAGAAAGGGCTTCCATTGGACTTCTTGACCCTAAAACCCGTGAAGGAAGTCTGTTTATGATGTAGGCAGATGTAAGCACTGCTTCCCCCCAATAGTGTTTTGGTACATTTTGATGAAATAAGAGTGCTCTAGTAGTGTTTAGAAGATGACCGTTTTTTCCTTTCGGCTACTCCGTTTTGTTGTGGAGTATTAATGCAAGATGACTCATGAATAATTCCTTCCTTTTGAAAGAAGGGTGACAAGACTTGATTGAAGTAATCCCTCGCATTATCAGACCTAAACCTCTTTATTTTGGTACCAAACTGATTGCGGATCATTGTATGGAAATTGAGAAAGATATTACTCACATCTGATTTGTTTTTGAGTAAAAATATCCAAAAGACTCTAGTGCAATCATCGATAAAGGACACAAACCACCGTGAACCAGAAACATTTGGGACTGTGGAGGGTCCCCATATATCACTGTGAATTAAATAGAAAGGGGAGGAACTTCTTTTATTGCTAATGGGAAAAGCTGCACGAGTGTGTTTTGCATACTCACAAATATCACAATGAAATGTCCCAATATTTAATCCCTTAAACAAAGAAGGAAACATGATTTTTAGAATTGCAAAAGAAAGATGTCCGAGACGAAAATGATGCAACCATATGACATCTTTATTGGAAGAAGCGAGAAACGAAGAGGATAAATTTGTCCTGATCATACTTGGAAGGCTCGGTGTCTCAAGGTAGTAGAGTCCTTCCTTTTCCTTAGCACGTCCAATCCTCCTCCCCGAATCCTGGTCCTGAAATTCACAGTAAGAGGGATAAAACGTAACATGACAATGTAAGTCTCTAGTAAGCTTTTGAATGGAAACAAGGTTAGCGGACAATTTAGGAACATGTAGAACATTTTTTAAGAACAAGACTAGGGGTGATATGGATATCTCTAACACCAGCAACCGTGGTTGTGTTTCCATCAGCAACAGTGATTTCTCTATTGCTAGGACATGGGGTATAAGTGTTGAACTGGTTTGAGGCATGTGTCATGTGGTCTGTGGCTCCCGAGTCTATGATCCACGAATCCACAAACAATTTATAAGAAACATTTAATCCAAGGGAGAATAAAGACTCACCTGAGAGGGCTAAAGAACAAGCACCAGAAGATGGTTTCTCAAGGGTTCCCAGCAGGTTTCTTAACTTCTCTATTTCTTCACCGTCGAATCCTCCATATTCTTTTGCTTGGTCTTGACCCACCTGTGAGGTCATATGGGCTTCTCCTTGTTGTCGTTGCTGCTGTCCTCCTTTGTTTTCCCATTCTCGGTTGGATGTGGGTGGTCTCCCGTGTAATTTCCAGCAACGATCCCTGGTATGTCGCGACTTTTTACAGTATGTATACCAGAGATTATCTCGGTTTGCCCCCTTTGATAATTCCACCTTTCCATGTTCAGCATTTTGCGGTTGTTCTAGAGTGAAACCCCGCTTGTTGTCACCAGAGACTACGAGTGCTGAGCTATCAATCAACTGAGGTTCAAGCATGATTCCTCTTCGACTCTCTTCAGCCCGAATCAATGAAATCACCTCATTAAGAGATGGTACTTCCTCCTTGCCCAAAATTTGAATTCTAACTTGATCAAATTCAGAGTTTAGGCCAGCGAGAAAATCATAAACTCATCTTTTTCAATGAAATTTTTGATAATTACAGCGCATTCGCTGCACTTCAAATCAATCACCCGGTAGTAATCTAGTTCTTGCCACTGGTTTTGCAGAAAATTGGCATACTCAGTCACGGACTTGTTCCCCTGTTTTGTAGACGCTGTCTTTGTCTTGATCTCGTATACTTGTGCCACATCACAAACCTTGGAGTAAGTCTGGTTGAGAGCGTCCTAGATGGCCTTCGCAGTTGGTAGGAACATGCATTTATCGCTGATTTCGGGTGTCATGGAATTCCACAACTAGGACATAACCATTGAGTACTCCTCGTCCCACGCTTCAAAACCTGCATCACCTTTCTTTGGTCCATTCCCAGCAAGTGACTTAATTTCCCTTTTCCTTTCAGAAAAGTTCGAAACAATTGAGACCATTTCAAGTAGTTTCTTCCATTAAGTCGGTACGCCAGTTGAATATTCTGCAGTTCACTTGTGGAGCGCTGAACCTGCTCTTCCTCGGGTGATTGGGAAGGTTGAACCATAGTTTCTGACATTCTTCAACAATCGGCTATGAAGGCCGGACAAAAGAGTTATGCGAAAATTGGCAAAAGAAATTGCCAGAAAATGGCTGCGATGAAGGCGAGTCACAGAGAAAATTGGCTATGAAGGCTTGAACAAAAAAAAAAAAAAAAAGAACCGCTGAATTTTTTTTTTTCCCAGGAAATCCAAGCCTTACGGCTCTAATACCATGTCGTGAAATGAATTCAATTATATTGAATCTGATAATTTTTACAAGAGCCTCTGTTGGGCTATATATAAGAAATTACAGAGAGAAAAATCAGTAACTAACTAAATTTTGAAAACCCTATAATCAGGAATCCCTGATTCTCTATCAATCAAATCTCTAAACTTTAGGAAACAAATATTTACACAAATCCCTAAACTCTAGGAAACAAATATTTATACAATTCTAGTGCTAACCTACCACTAATCAAGGATACTAACTCGTATTTTTCCACAGATATGTGTGCGAGACCGTTTCCTTTTCCGTTTTAGAAGACCGAAGACTTGAGGAGCAAAGCTGAAGATTTGGGAAGGAAGTTGCAGAATATTAGGATGCTATTTTAGAGTTGAATATTTATACGGTGACTCCTAATAGGCAAGTTATGGAAATTGAGTCCAACAAGGAATTGGGTTTGAAGACTTTATAAATAGAGATGGGTTGAGAGGTAGAAATTGAGAGAGAGAAGAGAGTAAAGATGTAAAGGGTTTAAGGGTTAGTGTTGTGAAGAGAGGGAAGAACATATGTAATTCCCGAGTGCATAAATGTAGCCTCAAAAGAAACAATGAGTAAGTGAGTGGGACATTTGGCTGTGTATTCTCTTCCTTGATACATAATGTGAAATCTCTCTCTCTATGGAGTAGCTCTAGAGTTGGGTGAACCATTTAATGGAACCGGTTGCACTTGGGCAGAATGGTCAAAACAATGATTCAAAGAAGTGGATCCGGTTGCACTTGCCATGTGTGGGAGACCGTTTCCTTTTTCGTTTTAGAAGCACGAAGAGTTGAGGAGCAAGGCTGAAGATTTGGGAAGAAAGTTGCAGCATATTAGGCTGCTATTTTAGAGTTGAAGATTGATATGGTAACTCCTTGTAGGCAAGTTGGGGAATTCTTGTTCAACAAGGAATCGGGTTGGAAGACAGAGATGGGTTGAGAGGTAGAGATTGAGAGACAGAAGAGAGTAAAGATGTAAAGGGTTTAAGGGTTAGTGTTGTGAGAAGAGGGGAGAGTATATGTAATTCTCGAGCCTCAAAAGAGATGATGAGTTAGTGAGTGGGGTTTTGACATCTGGTAGTATATTTTCTTCCTTGAGACAAAATAGTGAAATCTTTCTCTCCATGGACATAGCCTTAGAGTTGGGTGAACTATGTAAAATATTGTGTTGTATGTGGATGTGTATAATTGTCATCTCTATATATGTTCGTGTTGATGTGATGTGATGTGATAACGCTTCCACTGTGTGTGATGACAGAGGGATTTAACTCTCAACAATAGCCAACCATTGAGTGGGTTGGAGGGAGTTAATATCCCTAATAGTAGAGTACACTAAAGGATGAACCACTGAAATAGGACATGGGAGATTATGGCCCTTACCGAATGTCTAAAAGGATGAACAATTTCTTTCCATAGTGTATGTTATTTGAGGTTGACATAGCATTAATAGATACTTCTAAGGAAGCCTTAGCATCGAAATTAGAAATATGGAGGAAGGTATTAGAAACAAGAAGCCTAAAAATTAGTAAAGCTAAAACCTAATATATTGAATATAAATTTGATAAAGTAGCAAACGATGATGATGAAAATGTTACAAGTCAAGACCAAAGAGTTACTCAAATAACTATTTTCATTACCTAGGATCAATGTTACAAAAAGATGGGGAAATAGATGGTGATGTAGTAAGTAGGATTGGAGCAGGGTGGACAAAATGGAGGCAAGCCAATGGTATCCTTTGTGACAAACAAATAACAATAAATTAAAAGAAAAATTCTTTAGAATGGTTATTAGGCCAACAATATTGTGTGGCGCAAAGTGTTGCATGTTGAAAAAGACACAAGTATAATGCACTCATGTAATAAAAATGAGGTAGCTATGTTGGATGATGGGAGTAAATAGAAGAGATAAGATAAATAATGAACGTGGGGAACATTAGGTATGGAGCCTATAAATGATAAAATTTAGATAAAGTAAAATTAGGTGGTATGGCCATATTCAATCCGATGATACGCCAATTAAAAGAGGAAGAGTTGTTTGCCTAAATGGTGTTTAACGATTTAAATATTAAAGTTACATCCACTCTTACAGCTTAAGCTTTAAGAGTAGATGGTGATTAACGTGGTATTAGAGCAGGAAATGTCCAGTGTTTAAACCTCACCATCACCTTGTTAATTAAAATTAAAACATGTGTTGAACCAAAAGACAACACATGTGAGGGGGCGTGTTGAAGGATTTAAATATTAAAGTTACACCCTCTCTAAAAACTTAAGCATTTAGAGTAGATGGTTGTTAACAGATGGTAAGGGACAAAGAGGCCAACCAAAGCTTACGTGGAATGAAGTAATTGAAAACAATTTTAAAAAATTAAATCAAACAGAAGACATGATGTATAACAAAAAAGAATGGAAAAAGAGAATTCTTGTGGCCGATCCCATCCATGTGGGATAAAGGCAAGGATGATGATGATGAAATACATTAAAAAGATTTTATAGCTAAAAGTTTGGATTAAAAAATAAGAAAGTAAGTTAGAGTGACAGTATCAGTAACAAAAAATAAATTAAAAAAAGAATCCAAGAACCCCTAAGTGAGAATAAAATTTAATCTCTGTCTATTTCCAGATTCTTTCCATCAATAAAAACCATCCTAACTCTCAAAAACATCAGGAGCAACAAAATTATAATAAGAAGAAATGGCTTCAGGAAAGGACAAGATAGTTGGACCTTACTTAGATATAATGGTAAAGTTATCTATAATATGGTGGTAAAGAGAAGAAGAGATCAGTGTGCAGTCCAAATGTTCAACAAAATGGGAGTGTGTGCACCGTAATCTTTATCTGAAATTGAATGGAGAGTTTACACTTCAAGGAAAAAGAATGCACTGAATGAGGCGTCTACCTTTAATTGTTGAACTTTGGGATAGCTCATTAAAAGCTGCTTTCAAATAAAGCAGTCACATGAAATTTTCTTCCTTCTCAGAAATACAAATAGATTCATTTCAAATGCTAGGAAACATGAAAAATGACATCTTCTATAAATGATCTACTTACATTATGAAATTTACAAGGATTTCAGTTTGCTATACCTTACCCCACATGGATCCTTGTCATCAAGAGATAGGACTGTTGTGTCATTGGAAAACTGTACAACTTGACCAACAGGTTCTTCTCCATATATCACACAGAAATTATTGTAATGTGGAATACTTCTAGTCCTGATTGATTTCGCTTCAGGGTGTGCCTACACATTAGATATGTAAGCTGTTGGCATTTATCGATTGATATAATATGTTTAAAACCAGAATAAACCCATTGATTAAGGTCCACATCTTTTAACATCACACTCAGAAAATGTACATATGAAGCTTATATAATACATAACAGATAAAACTAAGTGAAAACAATATAGTACTGGGAAATGGAACCCCTAAGTTCACCTTAAGATAATCATCCCATATATTATCATCAGCAACTATCATTTGTCTTGTTTCATCCCAATTAAACCCATCATGCTGAAGAAGAACCTTACTAGTATTGTACTGCTGCTTAAATTTTTTTGATCGATTCTGCAAAATCTCCTTCTCAAGTTGTAACCCAAATTTCTTATTTATCAAGGAGACCATATCATCCCAAGCATTCCTGGTAAATGAGCTGCGATGTTTAAACCCCTTATGTACTTGTTCAAGCATAATGTCAACAAAGTAACTGTCCATTGCTACCGTCCAAGTAGTCCTCGGACGATCACCACTAGAATAGCCTTGGTTATCCATGCCTTCAACAGTTGAAAAGTCCTGTCATTTAATTGTAAATTAATTATAAGAATATAACACGGGGAAAGTTGAAAATGCGCAGCTATTAATCAACTGCAGCAATCGAATCAATCTACATATGTAACACAAATTCATGTGTTTGCTCAAGCAAGGAAGGTAAAGTAGCTGATAATAATTACTTCTCATTTTTATGTAAATAACAATCACAGCACATAAAATATTTAGATGATTCAAGAGTTCTGAGAAAAATTAAGTAACTTATTTGGGGGTGTGTGTAGTTTGTGGTGCAAATATGCTCAAATCAAAATAGTTCATCAAGTTTCCGTTTTTATAGCTTTTTATCATCACATATTCTCACTTTTTGTGGGCAAAGGAAATAAACTCCGTTGAAAATAGCTTGAAGTGCAATAAGAGATACACCTCTTCTAAGTTATATCCTTTATAACTTTTTTTTGGCTAATTGAACCTTTAAAACAATTCCACCAATGGTTCTAGCAAACAATTTAATCCACAATTGACAATAATCAAACCCATGATACATAATGGCTAAAATATCAGCCACTCTACGACGCTTTTTATCCCTTTCAGGAAAAAATTCCAAAGAGATGGATGTCCTACTATTTTTTTAGTTATTTGGTTATAAATTTAGACCAAAAGTTTTATAAAATTAGTAAAATTGGTAGGGAAAATCTGAGCAAATAAACATAAATTTTCTGGGCTACCATGAATCATGATATGATGTGTACAGACTTACTATTTCCCTACCGAATAAGTACTCTACAACCATTTATCAAAAATATACTGGATGCATTTTATACATTTTCAAATGCTAAAGACAGACTTAAACCCACCAATGCTATTGGCGAGGCAAATTAGCATAAACCCAATTCTAATTGGGCAATCACAAGCATGAATCAACAGCTAAAGCATAGCTATATAATATATTTTCTAGCTGAAAAAAAAGAAAGAAAGAAAAAAAAGTATGAAATGAATACAAAAAAACCATTAAATGTAGCAGTTTTTATAATATTTGTAACATATCACACATACATATATTTATGTATATGTATACATTTGCATGACTAGAGCGGAATGAACCAATTTGATCCTGTGTCATATAATCGGAAATAAAATAAGAACAATAACAAAGTATCTACATTTTTCCAACCTAGAATCGGATTTTCTTCTGGAAAAAGATCATTCGCAATCCAGAGAAGATGTGATTGCTTACCTTGTGTACGAAAGTTTGATCTGTTAGTTTTCCGGAGTAATCAAAGTGGAAATTAAATTTCCGTTGATGGAGGAAAAGGAATTCTCTGAAATTTTATGCTGAGAAAAAACAGAGGGATTTCGTAGAAAATAGAGTGTTGCAATAGAAACAAATTACATGCATAGAAAGCGTTTGGAGACAACGAGGGGAGAGAAAGACTTGCCAGGGGGAAACGGAATGTAAAAGGGTTTATTACGAGGATCGGTTGCAGTTGAAATGGAATCGATAAATTTCACACGTACACACAGTATATTGGCTTTGGCTTAACATACATAGTTTTAGCTATTTAATTACGAGTCGTAATTAAATTTTTTTCCTACGAATCAGTAAATACGACCATAAATACGAGCCGTATGTTAACTTTTTTTTACCAACTAACCGTGCAGTAAAATAACAAATCCAAAACAATAAGGTTGGAATCTAAATTAGGTTATTTCTTGTTAAGATCAGGGAAATAAAGAGAAGAATGGCTTCACTTATTAGACTAAAGATTTTATTTTTATTTTTTTCAAAGAAGAAGAGTAGATATAGTATAGTAAGTATACAGCAGCGTACCAATCATACAAAGGCTAGTAAATATATGCATGCACTATGCAGAATCGGTTTCTGGTTGATTTTTTTTTTTTTGGGTTTTTTCTAATAGTAATTGAACCGGTTCATTCAAAATTAATTCTAATCGATTTGACTTTAAAACTGAACGAATTTGTATAGATGAATTGAATCACGATTTGAACCAAATACCTGTACACCCTTATTTGAGGGTAATACATATTTTTTATCATTTCGGAAAGTTTTGTGGAATAAATCTTAAAAATTAATTCAATGCTAGTTAGGCTATGTGTTTTGTTTGCAAACTTTAAATTAATATATATATATCTTTAAATACGCATGGCAAATTGCAGTTCTACTCTCAGAATATATGGATGTCAACAGCCATCTTTCAATCACTTCAATTCAGTCATTGCACATGGTTTTCAGCAGCAACTTGCTCTTTCCTTATCCTAAAGGAATCCAAGGCTCCCCCGAAGCCCTATAAATAACGGCTTCTCATGTTATATTGAGACGCATTTTTAATAGTAAAATGTAAATCTGGGAAGGTTTGAAAAAAAAAAGAGGGAATAGCAAATTAGGGAGAGGGGATTCGGATGTGAATACAATCCCTTTGAGGCCCTTTTGAGGAGCTAGCCGGATAATGTGAGTGGAAAAAAAACAAAGAAATTTTTTTAAAAAAAAAAATAAATAAATTTGAGGAAGATAGGATATGTCGAAATGAATTTACAGTCAAATTGAGTGCTCCAATCCACCAATCATCAAATTCCAAGGATGCCCCAAAAAGCTTGGGCCCTTGATAGGGTTATAGGGATTTAGGCTCATACCAGACGGGTCTAGCTCGAGCTCAAAAGTTGCTGGGTGGTATTGGGCCTGAATTGGAGCCCATATCAGCCCAAACTAGTTGCTGTAACGCGGCCTAATATAAGTGTTGAGTAGAGTGTTGCCGATGTAACACTTTGCAGGCCGATAAAGATTGGGTTTACATTTCGAATCTGACACGACCCAATATATATCACAGAAGAAAACAAAAAGCAAACGGTCGTACCATTCAAAAATCAGATAATGAAGCGCCAGGATGGCTCTGTCTGCATATACCCCAGTACAGAGCACACAAGGAAAAAAAAATCAAAAAAAGAGCACAGAGCACACCACGAACCCCCCAACAGCTAAAACCCTAGCAATCGAAACCCTAATGGCGGTTTCTCTCCCTGTTTCGTCTGAAGCTGAGTTTTCCCAGTGATTCCTCATAACAGCCACCTTCAATTTGCATTTTAGAGAGAGAGTGAGATATATATGGGGTTCATGGGGATATCGGAGGTCGATTGTAGTGTAGGGACGATTGTGTGGGTTCAGAGGAAGAACGGGTCCTGGTGGCCAGGGAGAGTTGTGGGTCCCAATGAGCTTTCATCTTTTCATTTTGTTCACTCCAGAGTCGGAACTCCAATCAGACTTCTCGGGAGAGGCTATGCCAATTTGTAAGTTGTTGTCTATTTACTTTATATAAGATATGTGTATATGTGCTTGTATTTGTTAAATATCTATTTGGTTGCTGAAAAAACAGTGGAAAAGGCATAAACTAAAGATGTATGGTATACATATATGTGTGTGTAGGATTATATATATATATATATATATGTATGAGGTATGTGTCTATATGCGTGTATTGGTTAAATCTCTGTCTGGTTGATGTTTTGGAAAGGGTATGTTATGGAGATATAAGCCTTATCTTGTTTGATGTTTTGGAAAGGGTATGTTATGGAGATATAAGCCTTATCTTGTTCTGGATTGTTTTTGGGCTTTAGAAAATGGGATTTTTTTTTTTTTTTTTTTCTTCGGGGGGCGGGGGGATTGAAATTGATTTTTTCATTGTTTTGTGATATTTTCTTCACAACCAAACAGAGAATTACAGTTTCTGGCTTTTGTGTATTTATATTATTAGTTTTTTTATCCTTTTTTCTGTCATTTTTTATAGTGTTGTTGTATTGAGCTGTGAAGTTAGCTGGCTTGCATGTGCATCTATCTTGATATATTCACATGCTTTTATGATTTTATTAGATGCTCGTTTATTATTATTATTTTGTTATTGTTTTAGCGGTGGTAATATCATATGAAATTATGCCTTGTTTTTGGTCTACTGATCTGTGAATGTTTCTTTTGGTTTTTGTCAATTTGTATACTAACATTTCCTTTAGTTTTTAAACTGTTTTTGTTGTTGTTGGCAAATAGGGCAATATCAAAAGCTGAAAACAGAATTGTCATCTTATTAGGCATTGGGAATAATTAATAATGTAACAGACAATCTCAAGTGATGTAAATAATAGTTTAGCAGGTTTCATGGTGATCATTAATTTGACACCTAGGTAACATTTTTTTGATACATAAGATGACCCATCATCGATAATATTCTCTAACTAAAAGTCATTCTTAAAAGTGTAAGACAAACGAGTCATTGTCCATGGTAACAACTTCTTTAACACCATCTTTGTGCAACTTTTCAGCCCATGTTTCACCTAGCACACTCTCATTGAAAGTTGCCTTTCTTTGAAACCTCTGTTGGTACATCGAAACACCATTGAGAGCCCAAAACGATGAATTTTGAGTTTTTGTTTTGGTTGGGAGTTCCTTTTGAAATCTCAATTAATAAATTATTGTCGGAATCATAATGGTTCTTGAAAATGTTATAAGGAACTCCCCATGCAAGAGAAAGTGAACGAGAAAATGACAAACCGTTTGTTTAACTCAAAAACCTTCAACTCTGATGTTAGAATCAGTGGAGCAATTCTTGGTGCTGCTATCCAGTGAGTGCACATGTGTCTTATAACATGTTCAGAGAAGATAAAGTGAAAATCCTTGAGTTTGTCAGTTAATTATTTGGATGATTTTATCAGATGGTCACAGGTTTGGACCTTGCTCCTTTAGTCCTCTACAGTCTTTTATTTCCCATTCATTTAATCATTTTCCAGTGCAATTAGGAATTATAAATCTTCTTTAATCTTATTGGTAAAAAGACTTAGCTGAACCTGGCAGGAATTTTAGAAATCCCACCTTAGAGGTTGCAACTACTTCCTCCCCAACAAAATGATAGGGAATATGAAAGCCTCATTGTTTGACAATTGTTCCTTGCGTGATTTGATTAGGCACCTTCCTGATAGAAACTCACATGGCTAATGGATGTTTGACTTTTTTCTTCGTACAAGAAAGATGGGTATGTGATTTCATGTGCACATATCATTGTGTCATTGGCCAAGGATCCTCATAGCATAGGAATTTGGAAAGATATGTAGATGAAATCATCATTGAATTGAATGCTTTGTATCCGATACCAAGAGGTGGACATTTTTGTTATTTGAAATGATGCACCGATCACTCTTGCTGCCAGCCTCCCAATAAGAATCATAAGCAAAAGAAAAGACATACATCTGTTGCCACAAATGTGAATCCATGTGCTGAATCAGTATCAAATCTTGCTGCTATTGTGGAACTCTTTAATTTTATTCTTCCCAAGCTTGATTTGAGGTAGGGATTGAAAAAGGGACTGGGTTTTAGAAATGTTATTGGAAACCTCAATGCATGACCTCATGTTGTGGAAGTAATTAATTTGCTTCGGGATCAGGAGGCACATTAAGAATTCTCTGTTAATGAGATGTGTTTACAGAGATAAATACCATTTAAAAGGTGCTTGATATTCTTGTAATATAGTTGCTTCAGAATATTATCAAGGGGTTCTGTTTCCTTTAGGCTTGTTACACTTGAGCAAATCTTTCCTGCCATAAAACCCCACATTTTCTGTTTCCTTTTTATATAAATTCTCTCTTTCAAAATTTAAAATAATAATATGGTTATCATCAACATTTTAGGGATTGGTACAATCTAGAGCAATCTAAGCGTGTAAAAGCATTTCGTTGTGGTGAGTTTGATGCTTGTATTGAAAAGGCTGAATCCTCCCAGGCCAACTCTTCAAAGAAAATTATGCAATATGCACTTCTAGAAGATGCTATTCTTCATGCTCTTGAGCTTGAGAAGCAAGAACCATGGAAGAAGCGTAAAGAACCAGGTATTTCTTCTAAGTGTTCTGCCAATGAGTTTCTTTGTTGTTTGAGAAAATAGATGGACCATATCTTTGTTTGTGAAATGGTAGTGGAAATTTTTTGCTTGACAAAGCATTATTTATATATTTTGTCAAACATTATATTTCTCCATCGAGGATAAGGGCAGGCTGCCCTTCACATATGGCAAAAGCAAAACAGGGAAAGCAACTGAGCCAGAAGGATGATAATTCTAAAGTCAAGCCTCAGATTGGGGGTTTGCAAGATTATGGGCCCAGGATTGCTATTTAAGAACCAAAGTTATCTGTTGTTGCTTCTGAGTGTTTCTGGAGATCTTACTATCTGAAAATGCCATTTTCCTTTTCAAGTATTATGGAGTAGCAAACATTTACCAGTTTCTTAAGTCTCTTGGTACTGATGTTTCTATATTTACATCAGGAGAGGAGTGGGCTGAAACTATTTTCCGAGCGAAGAGAAGCAGATGTGTTTACTTGCCAGCTGAATCAAAAAATTACGTAAAGCAGATAGTTCCTGAACCTCTACAGGTTTCATCCTCCCAGTATGAAATGGGCAGCTTTTCTCTTCATTCTGATCAAGCTGAAGAAAACACTTCTTCCAGTTCAGCAGAGTCTGATTCTTCTGGGAGTGATTATCAAGATGCAGAGGGAAACAAAGGGGTGACACGACTTTCAGGTTAACAATCTCGTATTATGTATTAACATCACATTAATCTAGTACTTCCATTTTCTTGAGGAAGCCAGGTTTGTGCACCTTAGCTGATAGTAGAATTTCAAAATTAGGTTTCTGCTGCATGTTGGGGCATTACTATCATTCTAGATGAGGTTGTGCATCCAAAATTCTATACAGTATTGCAATCAATTTAGTCGTATACTTGTTTTATGAGTTCTATATCCATAAAAAAGATTTAACTCGAACTGTTGCCATATCATTGATGGCCTAATTTTCAGGAAAGAAAAGAACAATTATATGTATTACTGATGGCCTATTTTACAGTAACACTGGGCAGGTAACTTGCCTTTCGCTTGTTTCTTGGCGAAGATACTGCATTAGTAATAGGTACCTGGGGCAAAAACATGCCACTTTCATAGAGTGCAGATGCGCATGGCCTAATAAGCAAGGTCACCTTTTCCTTTTGTTGTTTTCTCGTCTTATCTTCTTTGCTCATTGTTTTTTGTGATTCTTTATGAACATTTTGTAGAAAAAGGATGGAAGTTTTTAAGTTCCACAATGTCAATAACTTCTGTTCTATTTCAGGAGACAGCCATAGCTCTAGATAGAGGGAGTTGTTATATAGAAATTATGTAGTTGTCCCTAATATATATTTGAATACAACTGCAAAAAAATAATACTCAGTACCATGTGTACTTCAGCTGATTTTTGCATGTTACATCTTAGATTCTTATGTTCTGTTGTGCTGATGATCTCAAGTTCAACTCTATTTAGAATATTTGCACATGGTTTGCATTTTGCAGTTCAAAGTCTGCATTTTCAAGTATAATTTTGAGTAATATCATCCCTCTACTCAATTCATCTAAACAAAGCCTTTTTCCAACTATTTGAGGTAGGCTACATAGATCTTATTTCACCCTTCAGCTCTATGCAGAGCCATAACCTCAGTTAATTCACATCATATCCTTGAGTAATATCATGTCTGTGACACAAATAAGGGCTTTGGCATTGGTAAGGGCACTTCAATTACATATTCTTCTAGGATTGTAGTCCAAAATAACTTGCTGTGGAAGCTTCAGAGTCAAGTTGCTTGTTTCACAGGCAGACTGCTGTTTATCCAGGAAGGCAGCTACAGAACTGGACTAAAAAGATTAAAGAGGAAAAAAATAAACTTGGAGCTGTGCATAAGCACATCTGGCAATTGCTGTTGGGAAGTCCTAACTGGTACTGCCACAATGCTAAACTGAACCATAGTAATTGCCGCATATTGTCTCTATACAATTTATATCACCAACTTTTCTGTTCTGTTGGATATGTAACAATTCTTTTATCATCAATTAGTACACATCACAGAATTAGACAATGAATTCTTTGCGTTCTTTGGCTGTCAAATTTTCTTATAATCATGTGGAGTTTTTGAATAGTTTTGACCTTCACAGGAGTTATAATTGTACATGCTGTTTGATCATATTGATCCTGCTATACTAAGAGCAACTAAACTGAAAATTTCAGATGATTATGATGGGCAACCTAAAAACATGAACTGCAACAAGCATTATGAAGTCAAATACTTGTTTGACTTTTCTCATAACGACCAGGACATAGCTGATGTTGGCATTCAGAATTGGAAGCTCAAACACACATTAAACAGCTGCAGTCTACCCAAAAGGCTTGGAGATGTGGTTGATGGAAAGAGTTATGTCGAGTTCAGAAATGGAACTGCATTTGACACCAAATCAGAGAAAAGCATGATTGGGTCAGCCAATTCACTGTCTCAGTCAGCTCCCAGAGTTGGTTACTTGGAAGACCATGGCAATAAATGCTCTGATCCAGTCTATATTGGTCATCATAACAGTTTGGATACAACATTGATAGATGTGGATTTGACAGTCCAACCAAGCTATGGAGGAGAGAATGCCCCTCTGGTTTCTCTAGTTAGTAGATTAAATGGAAATGCAATAATAGGGCACCCAATCAATATAGAAGCATCAGAAGACGGTGCTTCAGAGATTCTACTACCTAAAGATGATGATATTGGCCACAAGTTTGACAATGACAGGACTACAATGCTTCCACAAGTATGGAAAACTTCTAAAAGGACTCCTGTCTGTTATGCCCCACATCCTCATCCTTCCACTTTTGAGGATGATAAATTTGCAAAAGCTTGTCTGGATTCCGGCCATTCAAGTTCTAAAGTAATGGAAAAAAGTTTATCCCGAGCACAGGAGTTCCCAAGGAAGCCGATGAAGATGATTGGCATGTCTAACCAGAAAATGAAAACACGCGCTTCATTTGCCACTGAAGAGATACCTGGTGGAAAAGGGGGCGGTCCTCAATCTGCTAGGCAGATCTGCATGACAGACAGGCCACTGAAACCAAAAGACAGTCTTTCTACTGTAACAGAAGTCCCTGTGAAACTAATACTCAGCAAGTTACTAGGGGCAATTGCTGGGCAACAATCTTGAGCAACAAATCCTGGAGTTGTAGCTCATTGAAATATAGAAAGATACCCAACATAGTTTTCAATGTAATCATTACATGTAATTAAATCACTTTTGTAACTTTGCCACAATCCAACTTGGTGAACTACAAAACAGCTTCAATGCTGGGTTCTGGCTTTGAATTCTAATGCAATCTAGTCCCAACTATTGGGGCTTTGTTAAAGTGAGTCCTTCCATTGTGCATTCTCAGTGGAACATCTGCTTGGGAATTGTCACGCAAGTTATATTCATGCAAGTCATGTCAATCTATATAAATCTAATGTGTTTTATTGTCAATTGCAATCTGCAATTATGGAAAATGAAGCTGATGGCTTTTTGCTAATTGCTTTCAGCAGATTAGGCAGGTAGTAGGGGATAGACACTTAAATAAATCTTCTGATAGCATTTATTTGCCATTAAACAGGGATCTTGGAGTGGAGGAATTTCATGTGATGGCTCTTTTTAGAGTATTTGTTTGGTATTTATAAAAAAGAGTCTTATGGTGTGTCCATTATTTAACTAGATATATTCTTTCTCAGTTCGCTGCTAGCATGGATGTTGTTGTGTGATTTGTTTTCCATCTCAGTTTTTTTTGGAGGTTTTGATCTTATATGATGAAAGGCTGATTCAACCCCAAGCATCAGGTGCTCCTTTTCTTCAGTCCAAGTGTTCATTTGTAATCAACTGGGAGGGTCCGGTGCATAGTCATCCAACTTTAACAGCAAGATTATTTTAATTCAACACTTCAGTACAAGTTTTTGGATCAACCCATCTCTTTTTAACCTAGATACTTGCAAGGAGCACATTAAGTTTGCCACTACCTTTAGATCCAAGTACAGAAGTTTTTCACTGACAAGCTTACCCTGCTCAACGTTCTCATGCATCCTACAAGCATTATTAAGGAGGGCATCCAAGCAGCCTCATTTTGGTTCTATATGCAATGTTGATTATCTTCTCACAAATGATGCGGGCATAATCCTCCACTTCTGGCTCCATCCCGTAAGCACTTTTCATGTTTCTGAAATGTTTCACGCCTCAGATGACTAATCCACCATGACTGCAAGCTGATAGCACAGTTACAAATGTGATATCATTGGCTTGAATTTCTTTTTTCTTTTTTCTTCTTTTTTTTTTTTTGCTCGAAAAGGAATGATGGCCTTCTCAGCATGCTCACGAGAAGCATATCCAACAAAGAACACTGCATCCAGAGACACCAGTTCTCTCTCTGGCATAATTGGCATTCCATATGGAGTGTGCAGTCATCTCAATGCTCCTGCATTTAGCATACGTGTATGACATGATAAACTAAGTTCCAGAGTTTCCTTTCATTGATCAATTGTTGAACAGCCGTTAGCATTGCATTTCCAAGTTTTTTTAAAAAAATTATTTATTTATTTTTATCAAGTACTCACACACACATTGCCTACTTCGGGATTCGCAGGGAGGTTGTACCGTTGGACTAATGGCCCATTGTTCATTGCATTTCCAAGTTGCCGCAACAATATTAAGATGCAACTCAAGTCTGACTGCTCTCCCTCTGAATGTGCTTGCAGTCTCCTGGAAATACTAATACCACCTTCTGTGATACTTCTAGTTACAGTTTTACTTCCTGCGGCTCCAATTATGTAAAGAGTGCAAAGAGCTGCCACAAGACACTTTTTATCCAAATCTAAACCCTCATTTGAAAATACTAATAATCACTGATCATAATTATACATCCCTATATCTTGTCAAAAGTCTCTCTACAAATTAAGTATCAAGCAATGACATTCTACATGGTAGCCACTTTTTGATATTATGGTAAAAGCTTGAAGTGGTAAAACTAATTACATTTTCAAGGTGAAATTTTTTCTTTTTATAGGGATTTATTTATTTATTTATTCCTAATTGATATAATAAATACAGACCATTAACGAGAATGAATGAATTAAAGTATAAGAACAAAAGCATCACAAACAAATTGCAGTTTACAGAAAGAGAGAAAAAATTTCAGTTGAAGGATATTACATTGTATTGTCCCTCTATTAAAGTTATAATTTTCTATTAGGTGATTGGGTATTATTGTTTTGTATCTAGCCAAGGTTATCACTTTTTATCCAATTCAACAAGTTTATATTGGAGAATTTTTTTATTTTTTTGCTTTTCCACCAAAACCATGACCCTTTATCCAAACATACACTAACCCCCTCCTTCTTCTGAAAACTTGGTTTACAAGTAAATTAGGAACCGACCCACCCTTTCCCCTGTTTAATTGCTTTCTCAATCAAGATAACTAAGACTCTATATATATAGACACATTACACATAAGTCCACTTACACCATCTAAAACCCTAGTTTAATTCTCTTCTCTGATCCATTTGTTGTTACTGATTGTTCGTTCTTCACTGGTTTAGTTCCCTTTTATCCATTATTACTCATATATCGTTCTTCACTAGTTTAATCAATTCCCTTTGCACCGCACACAACGAATCATGTTGAGAGACATATGCCTTGAAGATGTGGTCGATAGCAAGGCGAAGAAGAAGAGATTGACTCCTATGGACTACTTGACTGAAGTAGTGAGGGTTGCGGTCGACAAATATGACGCAGAAAGACCCCTCAAGAAACGCATCTCTCTTCGACGTCCACAACAATGGCGGATCAAGAATCATCATCAGTTTCTCGACAATCAAAAACCCCTCAAGAAGCGTCGTTCTCTGCTCCTTCGACCCCAGCAAACTCCAATGAGGAAACAGAGACCGTCTCTCAACACGAATCCCGTTAATCTGTTTCTTCACATACCCAATACTCCGATGAAGAAACCAAGGTCTTCTCTCAACAAGAACCCCATTAATCCGTTTCTTGAAATAACCCAGAATCAAAGGTTGATCAGTGATCGAGAAAAACCCATCAAGAAACGCCGGCTTTCTCTGCTCCGACCACAAGAACAGAGGCCGATGAAGAAACAAAGATCAAAACCCATTAATCAGTTTCTTGATATACCCAATAATGAAAGGTTTGCCGGTGGTCAAAACTTGGTCCCCGTCTCCAAGAGAAAGAAGAATGGTCAGAAGAAGAAGGGCATGAAATTGATGGGTAATGGTCCGAACCCACCACAGGAACCAAACATACCTATATGGATGAGAAATAGGATCGGTGAGATGGGTGGTTCTGATATCAAGCTGGTGATACAAAAACGCTTGTTTGCAACTGATCTCAGCGAGCTTCACAATCGTTTGTCGATACCCGTAAGCAATGTGAGGTGCGAATTTCTGACTGAGGATGAGAAGGCACGGTTGGAGATGAAACAAGGAAAGAAATGGTTGGGAGTAGATGCTTTATTGGTTGATCCAGAATTGAATTTATATAGAACAAGGTTGAAGAGGTGGGATATGTCTAGACCAACGTTTGCGTTGGTTAAGCCTTGGAAAGTAATTGTCAAAGTGAATAACTTTGTTGAAGATGAAGTTGTGCAGGTTTGGTCATTCCGATCACCGGAATCGGAACTTTGCTTTGCGCTTGTTAAGGTCCCAACTGAGCATGATGGTGCAATGAATTAAAGTATAAAGACCGACATGGCTTATCATCTTCGAGATTAGGATGCATTCTACTTGTTATGTATATGTTTTATGTACTCTGTATTTGGAATGAATTTTGACGTGCAAACTCAAATGCATATATATATTGAATGATAATATATATTTTTTTTCAATCTATTTTGTTACTTTAATCAAGTTTTCAGTTAGGTGATATATAGATTTGATGTCACCTAATTCCCTATGGAAATCTACGAATTATGCAGCAGCAATGTCAAGCCAGAGCCATGAAAAATACTAAAATTAACAACGTGATATTAAAGAAAAAGAAAAAAGAAAAAAGAAAAAAGAAAAAAAGAACCTTTGATGATGCTCACTTCTGAGATCCAAAGATTGATTTTTGACATAGACCTTGGGATGTTATGATCACTTCTGCTGATCCAATTGGTAGATTGATTCTAGAGTTGGTCTAGCTGTTGGGGTTCTTTAGCTTGCATTTGTTTGTACTCTCATAGATTTGCTCTTCCTAGACTTAACGGCTAGTTTTTTTAATTTTCAATTCATTTGTTTTTTGGGTTGGTGGCAAGGCTTATTTGGGCCTTTTTGTTCTTAGTATTTGTTGCTTGGCCTTTGGGCCTGTTTGCCCTCTAGGCCTTGCAGGGCTGTTGCTTTGTTTTGGGAGTTTGTTCCCCCATCTTGACCACTTTATTTCCTCTTTTTATATATTTATTTTCTATCTACACAAATTTGATAAATTTAGATTGAGGTCACTTGAGGTTTGGAAAATAAAATAGCTAATATTATTTTTTTCTAATTTGAGAGCTATTAATTGTTGCAGTGGTAAAGCTTTGGATTAAATATATATATATATATATGTACGATACTCCATTTTTTTCCTCCCAACAATTCACTGTCCAGTCTATCCTAGTATATGTATGATAGGGTCACAACAAATGGTCCATTTGGTGAGTCGTAGAGTTATTATATACATCACACACTCTCAAGGAATTGTTTGCATATAAGAGACTGAGCAAAATTCTTCCCATGTAAGGTATTATTTGCGTTACAAAAAGCACCTCCAGCTCTTCGCTCATATTTATTAATAAATGAAATGACAAAAATAGCCTTCAACTACACTGTCTCTCCTCCCTTTTCTGCTCCTTTCTTTCTACCCACTTTCATACACTCTTCCATTGGATCACCTTTATCTCCCATCAAAAATTGACATTGAATTAAACCAAAAAAATATCAGCATCATCTCAATTAGAACACGGGGAGATACAAAGGCTAATAGAAAATTAAAGGGCTTGTAATATTATATTTAGTAGTTTATTATTCATAAAACTATTTTAATTATTCAAAATGACATAGTTTTATGTTAAATGAAAATTTTAGGGTTATATTTGTCATTTCAAGTAAAAAAGTAGAGGTTTAGTGTCGTTTTTCTTGGAACGCGAATATCATTTTCTTCTATATTAGGTCACGTTCAAATTGTCTTTTTGATCAAAATGTTGGCCAATGAATAAGTAACATGTGACGAATGACCTATCTTTTTAACAATTACCGGGTTAGTCCTAAAGTTATGGAAGAAGATTATCAATCGGTTATGGCAGAAAATAATTACCTAGGGTTAGGGCAGAAAACAACTGCCAATCCAAATTAATATAAATGGAAGATGGAAGGCTTTTTCTCTCTTGAACACACACACAAATACACAATTCATTTTTAGCACATTACATGTATTTTTTTCAGCTTTTTCTCTCTTGAGCACACACACAAATACACAATCCATTTTTAGCACATTACATGTATTTTTTTCAGCCTTGTACTTGGGTTCAATTAAATGAAATTCTGTTTTCGAGCTTAAAGAAATGAAGGGTTTGCTTGACTCAATTTTATGGAAAACATATATTTTTTTTTTTTAAAAAAAAAAAGCTACGTTAATCTACTCTCTCAGAACAATGATAATAGAAAATTGTAAAAAAAAAAACTTTACTTAATTCAAATTTTATTTATTTATTTATTTATTTTTTGTGTAAAACAATTGTGACTCAATTTATTTGGTGAAAGGCAAATCCATTTCCGTTTTAAAATTATAAATTTTCTTCTCCATCCTTCTTTTATCTACCATGATCATTACTCATATTATGGTAAATAACTAAATGGTTTTAATTCCTTAACTTTTTATTCCTTTTGTTCTCTCTTACCACTTTATTCCATATAAATTTTATAAACATATTTGTGGGCGATAATGATGGTGAATATCATTGAAACCTCCAAAATGGTCTATGTTTTAGGGCCAATAAGGAAACACTACTTCTCCCCTATTTCTCAATTTCATGACCCACATCTTCCTTTATCACTTTAATCTGTTTTGTCCAACCAACATTAATTTTCCTCCTCCTCCTCCTCCTCCTCCTCCTCTTTCTGTGTCGTTCACAGTTGAAACCAGTGACCGAGTCCAACTTCACATGACAATTTTTAAGCCTAAAGAAAAGTATAAAGACAATTTGATTGCTGTGTTAGTGCATCTGTTGTTGTAGGTGGGTTGTAAAGGGCTGTTGAATGGGATTGCAATTGGGTTTGGCAAATAAGGGTCAGATGACTAACCCTTTGACATGAGAGTGGTTGGATGATCAACAGAAAGGGTTTCTCTTACTGGGTTCAATAAATCAAAGATGTGATAGCTCTTTGCAAATGGGTCTCTTTGAATCTTGCTATTGATAAGATTTTTGATTTTGGGTTCTTCTTCAGGTATCATTTTCTAGCATATTCTGTCTATATTTTTTTATGGATCAGAGTTATTTGGTGAGAGCATGATGATATGATCAACTAACTGTTAACTGTTAATAATTAAATTTATTGTTTGATTGAATTTGAATGAAGGATTATGGGGTTTCTAATAGGCAATGTTGTTTTGCATCACGTTATAAAGTTTGATTGAGTGTGTCAATGTGTTTCCTTTCCTTTTTTGTTTGTTTGTATTTTTGGGAGGTGGTATTTATTTGTTAGAGAAATTTTATCACGAATTGCAATAATGGTTCTCTCTTATTTTATGATTTGAGTTTGTCAAAATGGCTTTTTTTTTTTTTTTTTTTTTTTTTTTTTTTTTTTGGGGGGGGGTTTGGTGATATGAATAAAAAAATTATGAAGCTCGGGAAGCTTTTGGTTTTCATTGACCAGGTCAAAGTTTCCCTTTTTCTTATTATAGACTCGTGTTCTGCCTGCTTTATCATATTTGATGATAGTGAAATTGAGAACAAGAACCTCTTATATTAAAGTTAAGATGCCGAGCTGAGTTTAATTTCTTGATCAAATGATCACTAGATGTTTGTTAAAGTATGTGGTGTTAGTGTACCGCATAACTCTAGTTCTAAGGTAGCAATTAACATACCATTATCCTAGTTGAGAAGATATCCGTATAAAGATGTTTCCAGAGAGTGGTTTAGCAATTGCTTTAGGACTTAGATGAAAATATGGGAATATTACAGTTCTTGACTCTCGGGTAAATTGTCTTGGAGGCTTTGATGTACTATGAAGTCCTAAACTGTAAACCCTAAGCCTAGAGATTTTGAAGGGAAGAAGGGGATTCTGGTAATAGTAGTCATATTGGTTCTCAAATTGACATCATAATAGGGGGGTTTTGGTACTTTTGAAAATTTTGCATCCCACGGATGGGACGTGTTAGGCCCAGCATTTCGGCTGAAATTCTGGGCCTAAATAGCATAACTCTATTGAAAATGCATGTTCAGAGTTGGAAGATTTGGTTGATATTCCTGAGGATATTAAATTCTCTGGAATATGATTGTCTTTTCTTTAAGGTCAACTACAATTCAAAAACATTACAACTTTGTGTGGACCATGTGCTCTTACAAATATGATAATATATTTTCATGTACGGTACTATGGTCATTGCAGCCAGATTATCCTTGATTTCCCGCATTGACAACATAACTAACTGATAGGGTCATGTCTCTGTACAAATATATTCTTGCCCTCTGAAGACTAACAAACTAAAAACTTGTAATGTATAGGAACTACATTTAACACTTACAGTGAAGTGTAAATAATGTGTATGAGTTGTATGGGAAGAGACTAAGTGTCACGCACCGCCAAATTTGAGGGAGGTTTCACTCTCACAGGGACGCGAGAGCGGTTAGGGGACTCAGAATCTAGAATATGAAATAATAATAATAAAAAAGATTCTAGAATATTAAAGAGCCTTGTGGAGAGGCCAGGAGTCTGCACCTATTAGAATCTCTTGAATGTTCCAACTGTGACCATGGTTTAGAAGTCAACTGCTAACCTTTTGCAGCTCTACCTTGTAATCTCTTGAATGTACTACTTGGTATGGGTGTGATTAATTCGTAGCCATATTTGGGTACAATGCAGTAATGACCTTTATGACATGTTACTATATATATATTTTTCCCTTTTTCTTTTTTGTTTCAGCTTAGGAATTGGGCTACACAATATGGGTAGTCCTTGTCCCACACATAAACCATCCAATGTGGATGAAGGCGGAATCCCAGGTCTTTGGTGTACTACCCATAATATTAATACCAGTTTGGTTAGCTAGATCTTTATCTGTTACTACCTAATACATATGTGAATCTGATACATAAGATATTAAAATGGATAGCATGAACATCTTATTTTTAATCTAATGTTTTAAGAAAGAAAAAGAATTCCAAGTTTGAGGTTTTGATCTAATGATTCGATCTTTCAAGTTTGGGTAAATTTCTGGTGCCAATGTTCTTCTAGCAAAGCTCTAAACTTGAAATAAATGCGCAGTTGTCCTAGTTCCTTTCCTTTTTTTCTTTTCTTCCCGGTGTCTGAAAACCTCCAGCAGACCTCTATTCAGATGTTTCAAATTTATAATTTGTTTTAGGAATTGATGATAAATGTGAAAATGCTAGTGGACTTGAGGAAAATTGTTTTGGGGTCATTTATGACTTATGAAACCATTAGCTGTAAACTCAAAGGAGTCAAAGCTTGAGATTACTCAGCAAAAGGCAGTGGTAGCTACTGCTAAAGTTTATCGCATTGTTGCTTGGCTAGAAAAAAATTGCTAGTTGGAATTGATGTTGCTAATTCATTAAATTCGTCACAGGTGGATTGGTTAATCATTATGGTATCATATAAATAATCCAGTATGATATGGAGTGGATCATGTGTTCCAACATTTTTGATAATTTATTTATATTAGTGCTATTGCAACTGGATTATCCATTGATTAAACACGGACATTAGTAATTTTACTTTCCTTTACACTGAAAGTGAAAGAGAACTTTACATGGTGTAATTTAAATAATTATCTGATGCAAAATATTTATGCTCTTTTAGAAAAACAATTAATATGAATTTATAATTTAAGGGCATAAAACAATACTGATTTCCTATCTTTGTTGGCGTATTAATGTAGTACAGTTGCCCCTTTTTATTAGGTATGGCTTGCATAAAGGAAAAATAAAGATACACTTGAAAAGAAATTTTGGGTTTCTTGTTCTTTTTGGAACAACAGTGGACTTCATAGCAAATTGTGAAATCAGGATGGATTGGCAAGGAATCAAGGAATCTGCATTCTCGAACTCCTCTAAACATCAATAGAACCTACAACTGTCTTTTTCTGGGAAAGGTACTTAAAAAAACTTTAAAACTGTAAAAACATAACATGAATACGCTTGATAGAAATTGAAGTTGGGATGATCATATTGGGCTAGGGGTGTGCAGTGACTTTTAGAATGTTGATTATTGCCTCAATTTCATAGGACCGAATTAACCTTAATGAAGGGAATCTGATGTTAGTCTCAATTGCACTAGTGATGTCAAGGAGACTGATCTTCATATTTCTATTGAAAATTCCTTGATATATTCTACTTATGGAATTGCTTATTTTTCTGTAGATGTTGTGTTGGTTGGGTTGAGAAATCAGTTTATGTTCTGGACACTGAACTTCTCCCATATTAAATTGCTTGGATTATTTTAATTAACATTCCGAGAGGATCATGTACCCCTTCATATTAGTTCCTTTGTTTCACACGGGTTCCTTTTTTTCCAGCCATATGCCAGCATTAATGTTTTATATGTGCATGTGTTTCATAGTAACATGTAATTTATGTCCAGAATTTACTTCTCCAGCCATATGCCAGCATTAATGTTTTATACGTGCATGTGTTTCATAGTAACATGTAATTTACTTCCAGAATTTACTTCTCTTGATGTACTAAAGCTACCCAATTTGCTTCATGTCAAATGATCTGATACATGACGTTAGGATGATTTGTCAGAGCTGAAGCAAATTTGATTTCTTCACTCACTTTTGATGTTTATACATATTCTTGGTTCTCTTTTGTACTTCACTTATGTTTGAAGAGTCATCTATCAGGTTTATACCAGATTTCTCAGTTAATTGAAATACCAATGATTTTTGGGAAAAATGGTAGTAGGTTTAATGTCTTGAGCTGAGCTTTTATGAAATCTGCAGAAAATTGAAAGACTATGAAATTTTGTTCTTTTTACATAGGTTTTACTTGATATGTGGAGAATTTGATGGTTTATGAAATTTTAGTCTTCGAGTGTGGATCCAATGTTATTGTCCACCATATTGCATATGGCATTATACCAGACGAGCAAACACAAAAAAAAATGGTTACAATACTCTTCTGCTGATAGGTTTTGTAGAATGCAGAAGATGGGTGACATTGATTGTTTTATATCTGTGTTGACAGAAATTATTCATACTAGTCAAGTAGTCAGATATTTACTTCAGGGGTCTCACTATAAATGTTTCTATCATCAATATCCTGAAATATTAGATACAAGTTACTTACCCCCCACCCAAAAAAAAAAAAAAATATATATATATATATAGATATAGATATAGATATAAGAAAGTCACAAGAAATTGGGACGTGATTAGTTTCTACATGGACTTGGCAGAAAACAAGCTGAGAATGTACTATGAAATATGGAGTTAAATCGTTTCTGCAAGTAATCATGGCTCAATGGAGCTCCGGCAGACTACCACTCTCCAGGGACTCTGGATGCATGTAAAGATAGTTTTACTGCCACTGAAAGATTGAGAAACAATAATAAAAATATTTCTCACTACAGAATGAGAAGCCTGGAAAGTCGCCAGGGCCAGATTCCAGGCTTCTCAACAGCAGGCTACTGGCTTTCAACAGTAGACGTTTAACTCATGACATGAAGACAAATTGGAATTTTATTATCTTTTGGAACTTGAGATAATTTTAAGTTCTGGAATTATTCAGAAAGATTTGGTCAAAGGAGAAGAAGAAATTGGTAACAATAAAAAAAATACCAGAATTTAGTATATAAAACTGGGTTGTTTTACATAAATATTTTATCTGGATTATGTAGTTATACTTGCCTCTTAATTCCACATCAAACCTACTGCTTTCTTGGTTGCCACCATTCTTAGGTAAGTTTGTTTTGTTGACTTCTTTACACATGGTATTGGAGAAGGCAAACCTATTAATTTTGTTTAGTTAGGTGGTGCTTTACTGCTTTATGTATAATTTTTCAGGACCTTTTATGTTATCACTAAAAATATCCTTTTTATTATTTATTATTACTCTTTTGGTAATTGCTCACTGAAGAACCTTTATTTATTTATTTATTTTTTTATGTTATTCTTCACTTAAGAACTAGTAGATACACAAATGGAAGGAGTGTTTTGATGTTTTTGTAATTAAAATTAAGTGTGCATTAAGTTGATTTCATGTTTACCAATTCCTTCTGTTGTAGATTGCATCTTTTTTTAATCACTTTTCTTTTATCTCCATATGAGATTATTGTCGTGCAGTTTTTTTCAGGCAACTGCCATTAGTTCTTGGTTGGATCTCAAATAAATTGTTCCTTCCTGCGGATAACTTCTACAGAATCATTTTATTTTCCTTTTTCCTGGATGATAACTTCTGTCATTCCTAAACGAAGAAACTGATTACTTTTTTATGTTGCTATTTTGCCCCCCTTTGGAATTTTTAGCTACAGTACACAATTGCACGCCATCAATTGTGTAGCATTGCGCCGTTGGTATAGCAGTTCCAGTATTATTTTTTCGTTTCAAGGATGGAGCAATAAAATTTATTTAAATACTAATATTTTCTCATTCAATTCGAGATATCTTACTATGTTCAGAACTTCTTTGTTACAGATTGCTTGGTTTGCACCTAATCCAGACTCTGCAGATGTTCATGTCAAAATGGTTTGCTTGTGAGTTTTTGGTGATTCTATGGAATACTTGCCTCAATTGCTTTGCAGATGATCATGTCAAAAACAGTAGGCTATGTGAGTTCTTGCCAACTTTTTGGCATACTTGCCTCAATTTTCTTTAAATGACACACCAAACACAGCTTGCCAGGGTGGGGGCGCGGAAAGCTGAAGAACGATCCGAGTTCTGCAGTAGCTTGTGTTGAAACACACCATTCTGGGAGTGTAAGCCACTGCCAATAGGGGAGGGTCTGGTTATGATTTTCATATTGTGAATATGATTTTAGGAATAAAATTCTGTCAAGGGGATGCTTAGAAATTAGTGACATTGAAATTGGTTGTAGTCAACCATATAATGCAATCACTAAATAAACAGTGGAGAGAGAGAGAGAGAGAGGTGCTAATCGAAGGCAAGCATCATAAAACAATCTTTACAGGGTCACGGTTTATTCATCACTGCATAATTTTACATAAAGCATATTTCTAGTCCCCATCTATGTTACAGTAAAGTAAAATTTTACGCAAATCTCCCCCCAACTACAACCAAAAATAAATATCCATCTAGCTTCTCATAATAAAATTAGAAAAGGGCATGATACAATTTGGGTTTGCCCACTCCTATACACCTACAATAATCACATGCCATCGCCCTCATCTTGCTGGGCATCAGATCCAGCTCTTCCTTCTCTAACCATTTTATTGCCATCGGAACCTTCAGCTGTACCTTCTCCACCCATTTCATCATATTGCCGTTTTCTCTCACCTCGTTCTCGGTCCAGTGACTGCCCCTGTGAGAGTTGATGCTCTCCACCATCTGCTTCAAATTGGATAAAGGAAAAAGGGAAGAGAATAGGTACTCGTGACCAATAAAACCAGATAACCTTTTGAAGGATTTCCATATAACTATTATTGGATGACACATTCATCTATCAAAACTTAAAAGATGAATATAACGTGTTCTAACAACTTTTGAAAAAGAAAGGGCAAAGTTATTTAACTGGGGTATGACTTGGGCATACCAAGTTGTCATGAATATAAGTGAAGTGACATACGTGCATGATTCCACTGACTGACCAATAAATGGGACCACTCTTTAAAATTATAGAAAACTCCAAATGCCAATGACATCCTCCTATCATGATGAGACAATGAGGTCCAATTCTTACTGGTCATCCAAATAAAAAAGTAAGATGATGGGAACCATTTTGAGCTCACTCTTTCAGTGTAGAACTTAAAATAATTGAATTTACAGTTTTTACAGAGCTGTTATCTGTCACATCTAAAAAATCCAAAGGGACCCAAAAAAAATGCAAGATACAAGACTTGACAGTGTGATTAACTATACTGTCATATAATATGGTTATATGTAGTCAGTTATTACCACTTTCACCATCAGATGCATCTTCAAGCCTCGCAATCGCATCAACTAAGGACCGTTCATGCTCCTGCATTTGCAAAGACACATCACAATTGCTATAACAAAATATATGATGAAAATATATTACAAGATACTTGTGTTCTTACTCTTAGCAATTTCTTTGCTTTCTCAATCTCCAAGGGATCCGGCTGGCTTGCACTAAAAACTTTCTCCACCTATTTAAATTCATCATAGTAGATTAAAAAATATTACTACTTTTGCTGTAAGCTGCATGGAGGTCGACTTGGGAACATACCTCCTTGATTAGAGTATCAGTGTGAAATATTTCAATATCACCCAAAGCCTTCTTCCCAATGCCATTTTCTGATGTTGGGAAATCCTTCTTGGAAGGGCCCTTAGATATCCCTCTACCTCTTCCAACACCAACAGCGCCACCACGGGCCATGGACTTCTTAACTCCACGGCCTAGTCCACCACGGCCACTTCTACGAGAAACTCCAGGATCCCCACTTTCCCACCGAATATCTTCAGAAGATATCTAACATATATAGAAACGATAATCAGTAACAAGCAAACTCTAGATACTCAAATGCACTTTGAAAATAAGTTGTAAAGCCACAGGAACGGAAAAAATCAACTGGATCTTGCTTGGTTGAGTTTTGAGGTTTTTGTAAGACTATTTGATAAAGAGATTATTGTTTTGCCTAATTATGGAGTGCTGTGAGGTTCTGTTAAATTTTGTGCTTTTATCTATTTCCTTTTAATCAACATAAAAACAGTGTGCCACAATCGAATTTGTTCGGAAGCAAGGCCTTTGAAGATAATTGTAAGAAGCTGAGTAACATGTCATTGCATGTGTCTCTCTAGTTCTAGAGAGAGGAAATTATCCATCTGAAGAATGAACCATCAACCACAGCCAAACCCAGGATAACATTCCAGGTTCAGAGTACAGTCTTGATCATCGACTGACAATCCTTCTCAAACTACTTGGGAGTAAAGAAAAAAAACGAAAAAGAAAAAACGAGATGAATTAACTCTCCGAAATCTGCCATAACTAGCTTGAACTGAGATAAGTCTTGCAATGAGTTTGTTTAAAGGTAAGGAAAGGACAGTTTTACCGTGTCCGGTTTGGATCACTAGGTAAGCAAAGGAGGAAAGGAAAGCCCCCCACTAATCCTCTTACTGTGTTTGAAAATTATAGCGTCGAGAAAAGAAAGGAAACAAAATGTCTCATCATGTGAGTAACCACTAACAACAATAGTAAAAAAAACAAATGTTTTATCTTAAAAATCATTCACACCATCAGACAACTATTGCTTTTACGTTTTGCCACTACAAGCAATCAAGAAAGACTAGCTATAAAGAGCATTCCTGCACCCTACACTTTAGCAAAGTTGACAGGGAGTACATCATAGAAAATTGTAATATTTGACCACATGTTAATATGCTATTATATTTGTAATCAATGACAGCTAGCTATTTGGGTGCCTCTGGAAAGTAAGATACTGAATTTATTCCATTAAGGAAATCCACTGAAGGTGGAGCGATATATCATATAAGGGAGGCACACATTACTTATTCCAGAAAAAAACAGTGATAAGAGTTAGTCATTATTACAAACTAAGTACTAAACTAGGAATAGCACGTAAGCATGTAAAAAAAATCCCAAACATCAAATGTACATATTGAAGTAAATAACTACTATGACGTACTTACTTTTTCATGACAATTTGCACAATTGTAAAACAAATGCATATGCTTGATGAAAAGTGTAAATGCTCAAGTATGGATGCCAAAATCTTGCAATAGGTTTTAGTCATTATTCAGTGGATATGAATGTTTGAAAGGGCAGCCACTTCATGAAAGGCGCAAATCTATACTTTTCACTAAAAACTAATACTAACAAATATCACTTGATAATAAACATGCAAAAAAAGAGAAAAAAGGGTATTAATGATAAATCACAGGTATCATCACAGCTTAATACATAGTGGAATAATACTACAACTCAAATGCTCTCTGTAATTGTGTATGAATTCAAATACCATTTAAAGCTCATAGGTCAGGAGTTTGGCTTAATTTCTAAGAGTAAAAAATGTAAAACATCATTAACATTTGAACAACAATTATAGACTAGAAAAAGGCAAAAATAGCTAATAGGACACATGGTTTATGATAGAAAAGATTGGAAAAAGAGAATTTATGTGGCTGAACCCCTTCGTACAGCTAAAGGCAAGGATGATGATGACGATGAAGGTAAAAATAGCTCAAAATCTGTCTTTTTCCAGGTACATGAATAAAAGAGGTGTAAGAAATTAAATGACACCCCCAACCCAACAACTATAACTCATCTAGTATGGAAAAATACTAAGTCACAAATAACCCTTTCTTCTCCAGCAATAATATCATCAAGGGGGTTTCTGATCACATATCTAGTGTAAAGTTATGTAACGCCCTGTAGCATTGAGTCATCTCGGGGGTTTCCAAGTTAACAATCAAGAACATGACTTTGAACTATGTCCCCAGAAAGCCATTATTTAGTGTTGGTCCCACAAGCACTAGGTGCTGAAAGGAGTAAACTGGGTAGAACCAAAAAATCGTTGATCATTTACCCTATCTCTTCTAGTCAATCCTATCATCCATCTTAACACTCTCATTTCAATTACAATTACACATTGCTCCCATTTGTTTTTTAACACTCAACATCCTACTCCGTATAAGATAACTAACCTACAGTCATCTAAAGTTTTCTTTTAAGTTATTTGATATTCGTTTATCAAATGGAATCATTCATAGCAACTAAATCTGAAGCAACTTGGAAACCACTATTTAGTACTCAAGAATGATGCAATATAAAGATTAGCAACCTATTCATTCCACAAAATAAAATTTAAAAAAATAAATAAATTAAAGGAAGAAAACTGAAGACGTAACTAGACAATGAAAAAAAAAAAAAATTGGTAATAATAATAATAGTTTTTTATATGAGGTAATGATACTAACAAGACAGTTGTCATGATGACTACTAAAGGAATATGAGGGCTACGGTTATTAAGATAATAGTTAAGATGTAACAATCATACCAACTAGGATGAAATGGTGTAGTACAATATGGTAATGTAATGGTATAGTGAGGCCAATGAAGATGAATTGACAAAAACTATGCCAATTGTATGATGATGAATATATGTGAATACCGAGATGGTAAGAATGACAACTTGACATGGAAATCTGATGAGAACACAGTTGAAAATTATAACTTAAAACTCAAATTAAAACCAATAAAACAGTTAGTGGCATTCCTTCGTTAACAAAAAAAATTGTAAGAAACATAATCAACAGGAAGAGATGGCTATCTTGCATATGAAAAGCTAAATAATAGCCTTATTATCTTGTAGATTTTATCAACCAGACAATGCATCATTGCATCCTAAACTAAATAATGTATGATTTAGGTAAAGTACATAAAAGCAACTAATAAGGCACAAAATAGCAATTCTAGAAAAACAATAAAAAAAACAAACAAACAGTAAACTAGCATCCAAAAAAGCTATCGAAACAAGAGACCACAATAAGTCAACACAAACTAAAAGCTGAAGATACACCCATTTTCGATATTCTATGACTTTCGAACATTTCTATACTATCAAAAGTTTTTTGATGAACTAAAATATGTTCATGATAGAACAAGAAGGAAGTAGACCATATATAATTACAGGACCTACTAGAATATAGATCCATTTTTACCTCTTTGAGATTGACCCATTCCCATGTTTCATCTGCCGTATTAATATCATAAACCAGAGCATGCCGGCCCTAGCAATGTTTGCAAAAAAGGTTAAGCCAAGCGCCAATATATACTGGAATGTTGTGTAGTCAACAGTGAGACATACCTCAACAGGATTATAGTCAGTTATAACAGCCTCATAGAAGTTATTGTCTTCGGGCCACCTTGTCCAAACTTTCCTTCCGATTAGTGGATCAAAGTTTGCTGCTTCAGCAGGTTCGTTTACCGCAAAGGCACCTGAAGAACCATGGTATGGAACTTGGGCCCTTCCAGTGAAACCTGCAGAAGGGAACTGCATGGACCCAATTGAGGATGCAATAGGCAATGTTTGACTCAATTAAACTAATGAGAGATGATGATGAAAGCTAAATGGACACCAATTTATCATCTTTGCAGGGGAAAAAAAAATCAACTTACTGATTTTGGCTTCTTGCCCCTTGCTCCTGAGGCAGGGCCTCGTTTCAATGCCGATGAAGATGGCTGCACAGATGGATGCAACGCAGGAGATGGTGCACTTAGGGTTAAGGAAGCTATTGATTGAGATGTCTTCTGCTTCTTGAGTGATGCAGAAACAGTAGGACTAGGCACGGGATCATGAACAGGTTGGCTACTACTGAGCATGCCGGGTTGGAGGCCTCTTGCTTTCCTCCACTCCCTAATGACAATATTTAAAAAACTCCCATCAAAATGAGCACCCAAAAAATATACTGAGATACATTATAAATCATTCTCAGCAAAAGGATGTCATGATATTATCAGACCTTATCCTCCTAATGATGTCATCGGCATTAACCCTGGATAAAAGTTCTCTGTGTTCCTCGTCTGATACCCTCAGCTCTTTTCTCAATTCAGTTATTAAACTTTCCTTCTCCTAAAGAAAACACGGCACAAAAGGATTTGAAACGAAATTAAAATAATTTATAAAAATTTATTTTGATAAACCATGCAAAAGAGTAACCATATACCCAAGTAATGGCATCAGATTGAGCTTTAAAGGCCCGGAGGACGGAGCTATATGCTTCTTGCTCTATGTGGTGGATCTGGCTCTCCATATCACTATGCATCCGAGGGAAAGGAGCAGTTCCTACAACTGCAGATCTTCCATTTCCAGCAGCATGGCCCCCACTTGCAAATCTATTTCGATGTGGAGGAGGAAGGTCATCATCTGTGCCTGCAATTAAATCAAGGAAAACCTTAACAAATAAATTCCTTGAATATGGTGGGAAATTTGAGATATGTGCGGAGGGGAAAAAGATTTATCTGCAATAGCATAGAAATGACATACATGGTTCATCAATTAACAATTGCAAGGACATGACTTATATAAGCAGCAAGTATAATTTTCCTTTTTTGTAGGTCAGCAATAGTAGAGTTGCTATCTGCAATTGTGTGTGTGTGTGTGTGTGTGTGAAAGAGAGAGAGAGAGAGGGCCGACTTGATGCAGTTTGAGGCCTAATGCGAAATCGCTAAACCAGGGCTTCTAACATTAATTATACTAATACAATACTAATAATTTTTAAATTTATTCTCTCTACTTAACTTGCAATAACTTAATGAAATATAAAAACACTATTTACAATTTTTAACTTAATAGATAGTCATTTAATTGTGCTGGAAATTACGTGTAAGAGAGTCCATAAATTACTAAGTACAAAAGAAATATAATTTTGAACAAGTATTAATAGGCAAGAGAATTTAAAAATTAGAAGTCCAAAAGGTGTGAAATTGTTGAGATAAAAAATGAAGTAATGACAAGATAAAACTAAAAGAAGCTTGTATCGACCAAAAAAAGAGCAGTTGTATTTATTTTGTAATTAATACAATACATGAAGCATAAATAATTCATTAAAAGAAATATAAAACTAATATAATGATATATGGGGCCTCTTCTCCTATTGGGGGCCTTAGGCGACCGCCTTAATTGCCTTATAGTTGAGCTGCCCCTGGAGAGAGAGGGAGAGAGAGTGAAAACAAAAAAAAAAAAAAGTAGCATCAACAAGAACAACTTCTTCACTGGAAAGTTTATTCAGCATGTCGCTCATTGTTTATATACCTCACAATAAGTAGACAATAAAATTTGTCTCTTGAAAAATTATATATTTCAGAAGACTATTAAGAGTACTGTTAACTTTTGGTCCTTTGCATTGTCTAAAAAATATCGCCAAGTGTATAAAAAGACGAGAAGGAAAAACAGACACGCTTTATGCAGTAATATGCAAAACTAAAGTAGGCATTCATTGCAGGTATCATGGTGAGATTAAAATGAATATACTTAACCATAGCTTCTTTTTTTTTTTGATAAGTAAGAATTGTATAAAAAAGCGCTCAAGAGGGGAGCGCATCCTGAAGGAACAACAAGAAGCAATATACTTAACCATAGCTTCAAAGCAAAATAGCCTAATGATAGATGGTGCAAAACTTGGTGCATTTCAAAACACATACAATTGTTCATAACTGTCTATTTCTAACATATGATAAATTTCTTATCCATGCCAAGCCTGGGTCTGCATTGGAATCCAGAATTCAGCAAAACTTCCAAATCGGAGAGAGTGTGAGGAATTGGCTTCAGCCCATAAACTTAAATATTGTCAAGCATAATCCTAAGGGAAGAAAAATAATAATAAATAAATAAACAAAATGAGAACCTTCAAATCCCCTGGTTTCCAAATCTAAAGAGATCCACGACCATTAATTGGATTATACAACCTCTGGGAATTGAGCTATGATATCAAATCGAGACATATACTAAACCGTGATTGACAACGGAGACAATTGATACAGTGGAGACAGGCAAATGTTGGGAGGCAATGCAATTTTAATACATCTAAGGAACCTTTTTAATAATCCACAACTGTATTATGAGTTCCAAGCAATTTTCAAAGCAACTTAACTTTTGAGACCACAAAAATCATTTTCTGAAAGAGCAAACATATGTTTAAATTCATCTTGAGTTCGACTATAAATGAAAATAAGGTCTAAGTAAACCATAAAACCAATTATCATCAAATCAAGCCCTAAACCCTAGTTTCACTGTTGCAAAATGTCTGACAAAGAAGCTCATCAAATAAATGACAAACTCATGGCGATTATAACATAATTCACATAAAAAGCTCTTATAAACCCTAAAAAAGAACAGATATTTGTATACATATACAGTTAAGGATACCAACTTTGATATACTCACCACTACTATCAGAAAGCTCATAGGCCATGGTGGTCTATTCAAACCAGATGCTGAGTCAAATTCATAATTAATTTTCCAACAGAACAAAAAGACACCAAAATCTGCAATTTTATCAACAAAAAAATAAAATTAAAATTAGGGTTCCATAAATTTAAGCAACGAGAAAGCTAAAGATTTTATCATACCTGGATTTTCGATATCCTGAAGATGGGATACGAAAAAGAAGAGGAGGTAGATCAGTGATCGCAGATAAAGAGAGAGTGGTTCGGTGCCCTAGGGTATCGAAGAAAATTACAGAACGAGACTAGTTCGATAGAATTTTGTGGCTCCTGGTGGTTGGGGCCGTTGACGGAGCTAAGACACGGTGGTTCGGTGGTGGTTCGGCAGAGAGGCACAGGGATGAGGGAGGGAGAATGGAAAAGAGGAGAGAGAGTGTGTGAGGAAGAGAGAGAAAGAAACGACGCCGGTGTTTTGAGTACTGTTTGGAATCAAATTCGAAAGGGGAAGGAATTACAAGAAGGAAAGGAATTGAAAGAAGTTGACATCAAATAAGCTGTTTGGCACATAGTTCTTATAGAATATAAATATTTTTACAGCAATATGTTTCTTTTAATAAAAATAATATAAGCTGAATGAAATTCAAATAAACCCAAATCATTTATTAGTGATTTCAAAATAAAATTAAGGGAAACTAATTCAATTACGTTTTGAAATTACTGCATTCCAACTTACACAATCAAAATTAATTTTTACTAAAATTCTCTTTCCTTCCTAATCCATTAAGAAAAAGAAATATATATATATGACTTAGAATAGAAAAGGCATTTTTCTATTGAAGTATGAAGAAAAGGAATTCTTTTACCATATCTGGATGGTAAAAGAATATTTGATACTATAATATATCTAGGGAGGCACTATCCGTACTTTACTTTTCTACGTGAATTATAACTTTAACTTTACAAATAGATGATTATTACTTTTTAAATGACACAACTATCCTTTTAGATTTTCTCTCTTTATCTCTAATTTTTAATATTTTAAGTTTCTTTTGGTAAGATAAAAAAAAAAAAAATTGAATAATATTTTGTTTCCAGGACAATAAAATTTAAATTGTTTCTTTTGACCCGACCAAATAAAAAAACCAAAAAAAAAAATATTTATTGAAGAAATTATTTCTTTTATCAATATCAAAAACAAAAGTACTGGAAAAAGAGGATTAAAAAATATATATATTATTTTATATATAAAAAAGATAATTTATTCAATATATATATATTTCTATTGAATAAATTATTTCTTTTGATGGGACCGTGAAAAATCACAAAAAAAAGTTACCTCTTTTGATAGGATTGAAAAAAAAAGGTCAACTTTGTTAAATAAATTATTTGTTTTGATTGCACCAAAAAAAAGTCACGAATATATTATCTCTTTTGACTGCAAAAAATAAAATTATAAGTATAATATAAATTATTTTCTTTGAGAGAATCTCCAAAAACAAAGTATAGCACATGGAAAAAAAAATGGTAAAGGAACCAAGGAAAGTAAAAAAAAATTAAGTTGTAAAAAGGGTAGTTATGACATTATAAAATAAGGCATAGTATATTAATGAATTGAAGTACCTTCTTGTCACTTTCTTTAAAAGAAAAAAATAAGTGTAGTGTAATTCGAAAAAAGTGGAGTATGAATATTGCTTCCCATATATCTATTATATTATAATATATATGAAAAATATAATCATCTTTATACATTGAAGAAAACTAACAATACATATGAAAATTAATGTTCTTCAATTAAAATTGAAAAACTAAGCTGAATAAAAAACGTTCTCAGAAACAATAAATAGATGACCTTTCATTTTGGAATCTTTTACATTTCATTTTGACATTTTATAGATGTGTATGTAAATTGTTTTTCTTTCATATTACAATTTATTAGAAGGAAAACAACTTATTGAAATGTTAAGAAACAAGATTAAACATCCGTTTTATTAGAAGGAAAAATAAAAAGAAAATGATTTTTACACGTACTTCTTATAGTGAATTGTTATAACGGTTTTGTTATTGATTTTTACACGAGTTTTGTTTTAATTTTTTTTCTAAATCAACTAATCAAGGTCTATAATTCTTGTTCTGCAAACTAAATCCTATTTGGTAAATTTTTTTATGATCTTATATATATATATACACACACACACGTGTGTACAGCCGTTCTTTTTTATTTTTTAAATAGCAGTAACTATTTGTTGTGCCACATTTGGCACCAGATTTAGCAAAGTTAAAAATTGGCCGTCCATTAATTTTCGGTCATGTATTTGGTTAGAATAAAAATAAATAAATAAAAATTTAGAGATTGATGGAGTTAGTGGCTTGGATCATCAATGGGAGTAAATATTGGACGAGTCTCATATCATTATATATTTACCCAATTAAATATAATATATTATCTTCTTTAGATGAATGTACTAATGACGTGACATGCAAAACATACTCAAGATATAATCTATTGTTGTGGTTCAGTAAGAGCGGGATGAAAGATATCGAGAAAGTTGAGTGAGAAAATGGGGACAAGAGAGAAGAAAACGACGCTGAGTTTGACTTTTTGGGGAAGGAAAGGGATTGAAAAACATTGGACATCAAATAAGTGTCGGAAACTAGTTATGAAAACTAGTGTTTTAAGTGTGAACAAAATTTGTCTGCAACTAATTAATAATTAGGTGTTTATATGTATCACATTAGATTACAATGTGAATATCTTAATATAAAGATTGCATACAAAGTCCAAAATTCACGTTATTTAACATAACCTCTGTTGATTCTTTACTGTATTCTTAATGTTTAATATGATTAAGAATTGGTTAGAAATAGTTAATAAATTGTAAGGATGCATTGGATTACGACACATGCGTGATGGGTGTGTTGGTTGAAAAAATACAAAAGAACAGACATAACTTATTGGAGTGGATGTGTCTAGTAGCGAACATTTACCATGTGAACCATTGCAACCTTTTAGCGTGGATGTGTCTAGTGATGAACAGACACCATGTGAACCATTATAATCAATTAGAGTGGTTGTGTTCAGTAACGAAGAAACACATATAAATGGTTGTGTCCAGTGATAAATAAACACATATAAATGGTTGTGTCCAATGATTAAAGAGACATACCCAATTAGAAAAGACAATTCTATTTCTATAAATACCCCCTTGGGCTGCCATTTGCAATTCATTTAATTCATTTTCTTCTCTCTCCCTCTCTAGACTTGAACCCAACCCAAGTGGGTTTAAGCCATAGGTCAGGTGGTCCGAGCTACTTAGACCATAATCTAATTTTACCAAGTCATGTTAAAATTGATTTGAACCATTTGGTTGGGATTACACCCAATTAAGCATTTATATAGTATAGATGCATTTTTAAGTCCGAGAGAGTATTACACAAAAAAAAAGTTTGCCGTATTTACGAGTTTGTAGTGCTGATACTAGTGGATATAGACCGTTGTATCTTAAGGAGACAAGCGCCACAAAGTCCATCAGCATTATGCGGGGTGTAAATTGTTTTAAGGACATCGTATCCTATTTTAGCCTGGGTCCAAGCTATTCATTTATTTATTATTATTTTATTACTTTAATTTGTATGTTTAATTAAATATCGAGTTGGATATTTAATTAATTATTTTTTAATATATTATTAATTATCTCATGACATATTAGTATAAGGTTAGATATGTCTTAAATGTATTTTCCAACAATAAGTTGTTTAGCACATTTATATATACATATATTTAATAAAAATCATATGTACAATAATAACAAGCCCCAAATCTTTTTTCACTTGCTTAGTTTTCTTCTTCTTCTAAATTTATTTTCCGACTTCAGTCTTTCATCTTATGCATTTTTCAAATAAAATTACGTTCAAAAAAAGAAAAGAAAAAAGAAATTCAAATAAAACCTCATTTATTGGCATTTTCAAAACAAAATTAAGAAAACCCAAATCCAATTACGTTTTGAAATTCTTGCATTCCAACTTACGAGCAATCAAACTAATGTCTTACTAAAATTCTCTTTCCTTTCCAATCAAAATTTCTTTGTTTTTCACCATGATGCAATGTAAGTAAAAATGGGAAAGGAAATAATTTTCATACCATAACATTACTCTCTCGATATATATATGTGTGTGTATATATATATATGTGTGTGTATTTCTAAAAGAAAAATAATTTAATTACCCAAGCACAGTTCTTTCCATAATTTGACTTTCCTAAAAATCATTCAAACTCAAACACAATTATTTCCATAACCTTATTATCCTACATAATTCTTTACATCACTTTTTTAATTTTTTTTTTTAAATGTAATTAGTATAATACATAAACAAACTCTTTCCATATAAATTTTTTCATTTTCACAAACTGGGTTTGCATCTCTGAAATGTATTGGAATGAATTCTATAAGAAATTAGTTTTGAATATCATGATTGAAGAATCTGAATTTTTATTTTATTAATTTATTTGTGTTTTTTTTTATTTTTTTTATTTTTATTTTTTTATTCAAATCATAGTTACTGTTTTGTTAAATTTTCAATTGTTACTTTCTTTGATTTTTGTTTTGTTTTTTTTTTTTTTCTTTTTTTAGCAAGTAAAGAGAGTTATTTTTATTAATTTATTTTTGGAGAGTTTTTATTTTGAAAGGCATTTTATATTTTGATTTTAAATTACCTATTTTTATACTGCTCTGTAAAGTATTGATACGTAAAATATTTGTCAGGTCAAATAGCACTACTCTTCCTAAAATTTGAAAATTTTAATTCCGACACTTTCTATGGCTTGAAACATTGACCTTGGACTTTTAAAACAGATTAGTTCGTTTATAAAGTTCCAATTCCAAAGACCTTTTTCTGTCCTAACAAAAAACTCAGACATCACTGTATTAATCTCATGTTTGAAAACTTTCCGCTTTATTCATCTGTGAAATTGATGTATTCATAAAATCTAATTCTCTTATGGGCTTTTATAATAGTAGTGTCAGTATGTGCATATATATATATAATTTAAAATATCTTCAAACCCAACCCCAATTAAAATATGCAGTTACATTTTAGGGTTAATTTCACCTACATCCCTCGATGTTTATTAATATTCCACACACACCCCCTCCACATTTCATAATTCCACTTACCTCCCTTGAGGTTTTGGTTTATGTAGCAAATTAACCCCTGCCGTTAAGTAACTGAAGGTGTCAGCATGAACAAACTAGTATAAGGTCAATTTTGCCCTTATAATACTTGAAATGACATTTTTAACCTCATTGACCAATGCAAAGTTACAAAATTACCCTCAATTTTTCAACAAGACAGATCTTTAAAAAAGAATTATTCTTCTGTACAAAGCCTAATAATCCATCCATAGCAATAAAGAAATAAATCAAATCAAATCAAAATCCCAATCAATCCTAAAATTATTAGTGAAGAATAAGGAGGCAATGCCACCTTAATCAAGCTCTAAATTGTAGTGAAGAAGGATGCTCAAAGTTCAACTCTAGAATTAAAGAGGATTCTCTTTGTCTCACACAGAGTCACGCACACATACATCTCCGTGGATGGTGGGAATGCCCAATTTTGTCCTTGCCGATCAGAACCCCACCATTTCAGGTCGATGTCGCCGTCGTCCTCATGTTCTCGTCGGTAAGAGATGATGCATCTCCGTTCAATCCTCTTCACTGCCGTTCAGTCCAGACCCACTTCTCGTAACTAAGAACAGACCCTCATCACACATTCTTGCATAGCCAGTAAGAACAGTCCAGTCAGAGGTCGCCACCGTCCTCGTCACAACTATTGCGGTCGCCGTCGTCCTCGTCACAACTATTGCGGTCGCCGTCGTCCCTGTCTTGCAGTCCTTTTTGCTCTCCGATTCAGTCAACAAATCAAGTTCTCTACTACAGTCGATTTCGCCGGTCTCGAGGCAACATGGCCTTCAATCGTGGCCACTGTTCCGATTCGGTCCTCCATTAACGCCATATCCCACAGCCGCCGGAGAAATTTTATTTGCCTTTGCGTTTTCAGTCCTTGCTTATTCTGCATGTCTCTCGCCATCTGGTTTTCCGTGGTCACCGATCAGACTTCAGAGCATAGGTTTGTTGTTAGTCGCCGAGTTTCTACTATTGACATCGAAACCACCGGAATCTACCATCACCGCCGTATATAAGATTTTCGTGAACGGCGGGCATGCTTCAATAGAGGACGCCAATGAGATTGCATGTTTGGAGGAATAAAATGACCGGTACGAGGCGAACTGTGACAAGGTCAGTGAAGCTTGTAGTTTCGCAATGGTGATGAAGTTACAAAGCTTGGCTGAATTCTTTTACAGAGCTCTGGCGTGTCTATGGCCGTTTTAAATTGGGTTTCACCGAGGCTCAGGCGGACTTCAACGCCGTCGAATCTGAGGTTCACTTGTACTGCTCACGTAGACTGGATTGAAGTTCGCCGGAGTCAGACCTGTGTGTAATGTAGATGTGTTCTGTGTGTATACGTGTCTATCCGTATATATATATCTGCGTATATGTACGTGGTGGTTGGTGGTCGGCCGTCGTGGTGGTAGGTCGAGGTGGAGAAAAGGCGAGATTGTTTTGTAACTCGCCAGAGATCGCTTCACCCAGTTCAGTCTGGCAATCCCTACTTCGGTAAAGTTCAGTCCAGTTCCTTGCAATTGAACGACGGGCATTAAGGAGAACGGCTCAACTATGATAAGAACCATCTTTTCCTATGGTTGCTGTTTGTGAATTCTATCGGTGGCCGGCATAGTTTCTTCGTCACCGGCAATAATGAAGAAAAATGAAAAAAAGAAGAAGATATATATATATATATATATATATATATATATATATATATATATATATGTCTGTGAGTAGAGAGAGAAAAAGGGTGTTAAGGTCTTTTCCTTCAAGTTATAAATTTTAATATATAATTCAGGGGTAAATTAGTAAAATCACACATTTCCGTTAGTAAACTGAACAGCGATTACTGACAGGGGGTGTAAACGTAGAGGGGGTGTGTGTGAAATATCGGCAAAGTTCAGGGAGTGTAGATGGAATTAACCCTACATTTTATGTGAGAAACAGAGAAAGAGAAGCTTCTAACTTAATACAATCAAGTCTCACCCAAAAGATAAATATCATGAGCATCTGTCAATTAATTGAAAGCAAGAGCAACATGAAAGTTCTACAATGGAAGGCAAAAATGGCCTAAACAACCCAAATATATATATGTGGTTGACCAACTATGCAGGACATTTTTCTATAAAAAGAAAATAATAAAAATAATAAAACAAAAGAACATACTCTCAAGTAGACTAAATTTACAATAAGATGATTATTATAGCAAAAGTATGTGAATGGCATAGCAGTAGAAAGAACCATGTTTTATAATGTCATCTGGAGGGGGTTTCAGATGGCTGACTATTCAAAGCAGAATTTGAGGGAACGGAAGTTAGAGTCCCATTCTCTTGAGGGGCTGAGCCACCCCATTTTGGCTCTCCATCAGACGGCTCAATCACATAGACTGCACCATCACTCATTCCTAGAGCAAGTTGGTTGGATTCAGATGGATGTGCCGCTATCACCACAGGAAAGCCCGAACCACAGCTACTGCAAAAAAAACAATCATTGTCAAATACTTAAAATATTCAAATATGTGTGTGTGAGCGAGGTGGTTGTGTTGGGATTTAAGCCTGGAAACCTAAACTATAAACCGCCCTCTCATAGGAATTTCTAGGACCAAAATTCGACTGAGTTGCCTAAAAGATTTGAATCTTAAAGTACAAAATTCAAAAGATTGTAGCTTTCGGAGTCTTGTGAGTTTCTTATTTGGTTTATTAATTATTACAGAGGAGTTCTCTCTTCAAATAGTTTCAACGGGGCTAAGGTTGTTCAAAGTCTTTCTAGATAGGATATAGCAGGGGAAGTCAGTTCATAAGGATCAAGCTTACCACAACAACAACAATGTGATGGTTGGATACCGTGGATGCAGATTACTGGTTGGGGAAGGGAAGTGACTGAATAAAAAAACATAGCAAAACTTTGGTGGCCTAGTATTGCTATTTATACCTAGTAGCGTGACTAGGTCTGGGTTGACTACAGTCACTCAGTTATGAAACCAAAATTAAAAGGGATGTAGCCATAAAATTACTAGCAGCTCACTCTAATATATATATGTGTGTGTGTGTGTGCGCGCGTGTGGAGGAAAAAAACATATGCAATTACAGAACTATTGAGCATAGGAAAGGCTGTTGTAACATTCAATATATTCATATCTTTTCCTCACCATCATAGTAGGGGAAAAAAAGAGCCACCACATATTCAGTGCAATTTTAAACATTCATGCAAATTTCTTTGTTTATTGTACCTGGCAGCAATTGATGAAGCCGTGTACGCAGAGGGGGCTATTCGACACCGAAGCCTCAAACTGTCAGCATCAAAAATCCCAATAGCACCATCGCAAAATCCAGTAAACACCATCAGACCATCACATGAGTATATTGCAGTTGAAATGGCAGCTGAAAGCGAGTCTTTTGGGGACCACTGCAATAAACAAAACAATTATAAGAAAATTAGACAAATCATGAATTAAAATTTAGGATGATCTACTGAACATGACAAATTACAACATAATAACTTGCCTTTAGTGGGGGTGAGGGGGAGCCTACTTTGAACAACCCCCTTACCTTTTCTGTCCCAAGAAATGAAAACAAAACGACAAAGGCCCTGTTTAATAACCGTTTTCGTTTTCGTTTATTGTTTAATGTTAAACATAAGTATTGTTCATCTTATGCTGTTAATAAACAGAATCATTGTTTTGTAATCTTAAACTGTTTTAAAAAAATTGAAGACAATAAACAAAACCATTTTTAGGTAACATTAAAATGCTAAAAAACAAAAAAGAAAAGCTTAAAAGGATGCCACTGCTAGCTCATTCCACTAACTACACAGGCCCTCCATGAAAATACCAAACATATCCATTCCCTAACCTGAATGCTTTTAATATAGCAAGGACAATGTTTGAAAAATTGAAGTTAACTGCAAAATTTTCAATAATAGTAGATGGGACTAGGACCTGTTCATTATAACTAAACAAAATCTCATATTGTATACTTAATTTGAAAAAGAAAAAAAAAAAAAGTCATAAAAGTTGTCCGATCATTACAGTACTAATTTTCTTTTTCCTAAATTTAGTTGTAATATTATAAAATATCTAAATTTAGTTATAATTTTATAAAATTTGAAGTATATAAATATATATATACATGGTACACGGCCATAAGAAAGCGCATACCCTTACTGTACAATCAAAATCTAAAACCAAGCATGAGAGAACCACTGAGCAATGAATGGTGGACACAGCTCTCAAGTATACACAATTATACACTAGTATATAAATATAAGTGTGCCCGTGTGGAGCTGTGTGTGTGTGTACATATGTAGACCGAGAAACCATATTCTACATTCAACAACTGTCAACAGAGACAACCATAAGCAACGAAGCTAGAAAGAAAGCAACACTTGATATTCATAGTTGGAAAGAAGAGCATTGGTTCGACTGAAATGGAAACACTAGTCCACAACAAGGACAACCACAGCTGCAAGCATATGGATCCAACGCACCATGTATTCTTAATTTCTCTTTTCAATCCACCATGAATCCTTTGGACTGTGTGCCGCGGTAGCTGAACCATGTATATCCTTGTGTTCTTTCATTCTTAATTTCTCTTTAGTTACTAATTTTTTTTTACCAACATATTATCAAAGCTGGTATATCATACCCTACTCTAAGACTCATTCGGCTCTTGTCTGCCTCGCTTGAATTTTGTGAAAAGATTTACTCGTCTCAAACCTTCGAATCTACTCATCTCAGGATCAACTCGTCTTGGATCTCCGTATCAACTTGTCTCGGATCTCCGGATCTACTCGTCTCAGACTCCCGACAACTTCGTATCTAGTTTCAAGTTGGACTCTAGTAGAGTTAAAATCTCCGTGTACGAACTTGAGAGTGGGTGTGGGGAGAATGTCATGTTAGGAGTGATTTAAGCCTTGATAGAATATTGATAGGGGTGATACATGGCATTGATTTTAGGAATCCTCTGTCAATTTATTTTTCATATTTATCCCTTGTATTCTTCCGCCTATAAATAGAGGGGTTTATTGTAAACAAAACTAAGAGAAAATATAATAAAAGTGATGTAGCCCTTTGGGCTTTTGTCGTAATACATGACTTTGAGAATCATGATTTGTAACCGTATCCTAGAATATAGGGATAGGGAGGGATACAATCATCCACCACTTTAGTCACCCAGAGCATTGTATATGGTATTCTAATTCTAACTATAATTCCATATCCCTTTTATACACTTTTTGCAGTTATAAAATAAATGAAGACATCCATAATTTGCACTTGTGGGTTTAATTAGAAAAATGATAATCTAAATCAACCCATAAGCGCTGCATAATATAGTTTTGCACTTTTTGAGAATATATTTTTGTCAATAACAAGTCTCTTCTATGCTTATTTCTTATCACCTGGAATCTCCGACACCTTTGTTCTTTATTTTTATTTTTTTAAATATCTATTATCCCCATGCTGTAGAGGGGGCTGCTCGTGCCACTGGTGCCGGTGAGCTATCACTTTGGGAATTATCAAAGGTTAGTCTTTTTTACTCGAAGATCGTATCACGGCAGGATGAGATTAAGTAATGCTTTTTCTCCCCTTTACTAATAATTGAAATGTCCTTGATGCTTTTTGGTGCTAATTGCTGAATGACTCAACCATGAATAATGCACTGCCAGGTACCTTTACCAGGAGGAAATCTCTTCAGGAAGCACTCTTTTGTTGAGGTTGAAACCATCAAATTTTCAGACCATGTCTTGTTTACCCCATAGCGGATTTTGTAGTTGTCTTCTATTAAAATTGTTTGGTTTGTCTTTTAGTCTTCAATCTATTTTAATCAGCCTTTGAGCCCAATGTTCTGATTAGTTGGATCAATGGTCCGCTAATTGATCTCCCAATTCAAGTTATCAGGTTCATTAACAATATTGTTGTTACTAAGAGAATTAAATCAGAACAATTACAACTATAATTCAAGTTATCATACTTATCCTAGTTGGAATTAACAGGTTCAAGATAGTTCTGTTTGATAAATTAATCACAATAAGTGTACCCTTTTCAATATTTGCAGGTCCAACATAGCCATGTTAGCTATTTTGGATAATCCCAGTCGGTGTTCCATTCCAATTGATTCCAATAATTTTATCCACTTAGAAAAAAAATGTTGTTTTTGAAGACAAATGTATAATAATTCTAACATAAAGCCCAAAGTTGTTAGAATGCATTAACCAAGATAAAAAAAACCATTCCTAGACACTTTTATTCAATTTATCCACTGCGGCCATACATTTTGATATCAAGTTGTTAGTGTTGATTAAGATTATCATACATATATATACAAAACCAGTCCATGCAACTCTAAAAAGCATAAAAAGCCCAAAGGGCTATATCGCTCTTATTATATTCTCTCTTAGTTTTGTTTACAATGAACTCCTCTATTTATATGTGAAAGAATACAAGTGAAAAATCTGGAAAATATATTGATGGAGGATTCCTATAATCAATGCCATAAATCACCCCTATCAATATTATATCAAGGCTTCAATCACTCCTTTTTTTCTTTTTTTGATAAGTAAAGATTGTATAAAAAGCATTATCAATATTGTATCAAGGCTTCAATCACTCTTTTTTTTTTTTGGACAAGTAAAGATTGTATAAAAAGTGTTCACTTATAAAAAAAACAAAGATTGTATAAAATGCGTTCAAACGGATAACACATCCCTCAAAAGCTACACAAGACCAAATAGGGCGTCTAAACCCTCAAAGAGTCCAAAAAATCAACAAGCTCCTCCAAGGATTTACAATTTCTCCCTGTAACCCAACAAAAAAGAGTACTAATAATGGAGAACTTCAACATCCCAATAGGATTCTCCTTTCCTTCAAAGGATTTCCTATTTCTTTCAAACCATAAACATCACGAGACACATAAAGGCGTAACCCTCCAAAAATCACGAAATTGGGCCCCCACTATACAACCTCTCCAGTCCTCAACCAAACCTTTGGAGGACCTGGGCATAACCCACTGAAACCCCAAACAAACCCAACAACAAAAGCAACAATCCAAAGCCACAGGACAATACAAAAGAAAGCGATCAACCGTTTCGACGTCATTCTTGCACATGCAACACCAATTAACCAAAATCTGTTTTCTTCGCTTAAGGTTATCCTAAGTCAAGATCTTCCCCAAGATGGACGTCTATGCAAAAAAAGCCACTTTCCGAGGGATTTTCAATAGCCAAATGGCCCTTCATGGGAAGGTAGTGCCCAGAGTATCCGAAAGACATGTAAAAAGACCAAACATCAAAACGACCTTGAGAAGAGAGAATCCACACACAAAGGTCAAAAACCTCCCCCACAAACGAAATGCTAAAGAAACGAGTTGGAGCTCCATTGATGAGGATCGAGAAGCGAACACTGGAAATACAAAACTCAATCCATTTCCTCCATCTCTTACTGAACCCCATCCTATCGAGAAGATAAAGAAGGAAACTACAGCTAACATGATCATACGCCTTCTCGATGTCCAACTTGCTCAAAACACCTGGCAACCCTCACCCAGACAAGAGTCAACGCACTCACTAGCAATAAGGACATAATCTAAAATCCGAAGACCTCCAACAAAAGCATTTTGGTACACGAAGATTTTAACAAGTGTCCAACTTGACACAGAATTGTCGAGAGCTTGAGACTAATAGATCCAAAAATCCAAGACAAGTTGATTCGGAGGTTCGAGACAACCTGATCCTGAGATTCAAGATGAGTAGATCCGAAGATCCGAGATGAGTACATCTGATCACAAAATTCATGCGAGACAAAGGAGAGCCGAACGAGTCCTAGAGTAGGTATGATAAATTTGCTTTGATACCATGTTGATAAAAAAATAAAAAGATTGAAGAGAGAAATTTGAATGTGTTACGACAAACACAGCGAACCAAGCGACAATTACGAAACACGACAGAAAAATAAACACACCACACAAAAAACAAAAAGATTTATACGTGATTCGGCAAAGCCTACATCCACAGTGGAGATCCGGCGAAAGTTTTTACTATGTGTAAAATTGGAGATTATAAGTTTCAGCCCCTCACTCTCTCTGTGTACGATTTTCAGTCTCTTGATCATCACACTCCAAACCCTAAGCACCCTTATACATTGGGCTACAAGAGCGTATTAATAAGGGTCCACGACCTATAAGCAAAAACGGGTCAAAAATTTTCCTCCTCGGGTCGTAAACGGGTACCCGACACCAAATTCGGGCCATAACATCACAAAATGAAACACAATGATATACATGGTTCGGCCACTACGTCCTACATCTACAGCGCACTAAGTCCAAAGGGCTTCATCACTTTTATTATATTCTCTCTTAATTTTGTTTATAATGACCACCTCTATTTATAAGTGAAAGAATACAAATGATAAATATGAAAAATACATTGATGGATTATTTCTAAAATCAATCCCATAAATCACCTGTATCAATATTATATCAAGGCTTGAATCACTCCTATCATGATATTCTCTTTACAGGGTGCAACTTACGCAAGCCAACCCTAACCGATCTACTGGCTAGGGTAACTCTTTTTGTTGCTCCAGTCAAACTCGTTGAAAGATTTCAACCCCACTGAATTAAGGTTTGGATTAGCCAAATGTAGCAGACAACCAACCCAGCCCAACTCAAGGTAAGAAAACTAGTGGGATTGGAGCTTGCGTTGGGCTCAAACTTGGTTGAGGCTTTTAACATTCCAAGTTGAGCTGATGACCGGGAAAAAAAAAAATTTACCCCTACTCATCTAGGTAACACTCCTACTTAAGCTACATCATACAACCATAATTTCAAATTTATAAATAACTCAAACTAAAAACTGGCATAGATATACATATCACGGAGAACGAGATATGACTGGCACACATGCGATTCATGTGTTTTGCCTCTAATTTTGGGGAAGAGGCAATGATAGATATTAAGATTAAATTTTATTTATTTATTATTATTATTGGCATAGTCTTAATTTTAGGGATATTTTAGTAATTTAATACACGTTTTTTTTTTTTTTTGGTAATAGGGTTGATTAGGGTTCTACTTTGATGCTCATATATATATGGCTTGTGACATTAAGCAGACAGTTTTTGGATAAATATTGAATACTGAGATTGATTAAAGAAATCTCTCTATCTCTCTCTCTCACGTCCTCCTCCTTTGTTCTTCTCTCTTCTTCTCCCATTCTGCATCAAATCGAATTCAAAACAGCCCCTACCCATCCTGGATCAACATATGCTACCATACTTATAATAAATTACACAGAATTATGAATTTGAAGTAGGGAAGTATAAAAACTTGACCACTAAGACTATTATAGACTTGTTGAAGGTCATTTATAAAGACACAATAACATAATTTGACTAGAAAAATCCCATGGACTTCTACATAATGGTCATGTCTTGAAAATTTGGAATTACCAAAATATGCCTACCTCATAAAACTTGAAAAATATAAATAAAGTTGTCCAGCAGCATTGACCGAACCACATAAACCATTTTGTATTATCTCCATTTCACCTCTCAATATTTTTCGGGAATAATTTGTAAATTGCATTATTAATCAAATATACCTGTCAAAGAATCCTGATAAACACAGTTAACATGTGTTAACTACTGTAGCATCAGTTTTATGCAGGCCCAATATGGTCTAATGGTATTCAGCTTCTTTATGATAAATTCAGAAATTCTAAAAAAGTAATCACAAAGCACCAGTAACTGAAGCAGTGCGGCACAATAAATAATACCAGCAATATATTCTAAAAGTGAAACATCAAAGCATGACATAGGAGCTCATTAGATGTTTTTTGGTGTGAGGAAAAAGGAAAAAGAAAAAGAAAAGAAATCAACGAGCCAAAACAAATATATATTTTGAATTATTCACGTTCTTGAGGCTAGGAACGTTGAACTTTTAATAACCAGGAGATCTAATTCTAATAGGCAATATAAATTCTACAAGGCTAAAACAATGAGCTTTGATGTAGAGGACTTACTGATCGCAAACATTCGAGTTGACTATCATAAACAGCAATCTGGCTTTCATGAACCACCAGTAGATGGGCTTGATCATTATGGAATTGAACTTTAGTTTCTCCGACCAGGGGAGATTGGTGACCAGGCAGTGCTTGTATGGGCCTTGCTTTCCTCTTCTCCCATCCATCAACACTCCAGACGCATAGCTGCAATTGAGATCAAGTATAAAGCACTTAAACCAGCAGTTGAACATCATGTAAATTACCCAAAAAATACATATCCTCTCAACATTGAAATGCCAGATAATGACTTTAAGGGACAACATAATTTTGCACCAAAAAAAAAAAACTCGTATACAGAACTTGCCTGAGCATCAGCTCCAGATGATACCAGTAAATTCGAAGTCTGTGAAAATGCAAGCCCCGTGATCCGTCTCTGGTGACCCTTGAGCTTGGTTTTAACCTACCGAAGTGGTTAAAAAGTATATATATAAAAAGAATTGAATACGATTCGAAGAAAATGGAAATAAAAATTTGCCAAAAGAATTGTAACTAAGAAGGACAGTGACCTACAGGATAAATTCATACCCTTCATTGTCATATATAAGAGCACCAACAAAAATTAAAACCATACTGCTAAGTGATCACTTGCTGCTTATATTTTCCCTCACTTAAACATTGTCTTAAAGTAAGTGACGATATTCCAAAACCTAATAACACAAAATCACTATATTTATCCTTTTTTTTTTTTTTTTTTTTTTTTTGGATAAGTTACTATATTTATCTTTATGAACAACAGCTGTAGAATGTAGAGAGATTGCGAAGATGAAACATTACTTGGTTGCTTAATATTCACCAATAGCATTAGCAATCATCATTGCAGATAAGAAAAAGAGAATCATTTGCCAAACAACTATATTTCTGAACTAAAATAACACCTACATTTTGTTACATAAATTGCAGTATCCCAGAGTTGCCTCTTATTATTTCTTATCAAAAAACTGTCAAAAGAGAATCTGAAATAATAAGACTATCATTATGATTAACATATACAATGTGTATTGTTATCCTCTAAAGGAAGTGCACTTTATAGCCTCTCGCACGTAAATAAGAGGAGTGTTTCACCTCATCAACCCGGACATTGTATATTTGAATAGTAGAATCCTCCATTCCTATGGCGATGATATTGTTGTCTTGAGGATGAAATGCCAAGTACGTGGCTGCGGGAGGCGGAGGCATGAAAGTTGTCATTACCTGGACAGAAAATTAAATAGTTCAGTTCGGTTATGTTAAAATACCCTGAGAAAAGGTTAAGCAACCATTAACCAGTCTGGATCTGGAAAAGCAATGGTAAGCAAGCCGTGAATGATTAGAAGGGATAACAACTAACTTTAAACGTCATCATGTTGAACAAGGAGACCTTCCCGCCCGAGGCAGACATGACATAAGAATCATTTTTGGACAAGGCAATGCATGCAGCTGCCTCTTCAGCTGGTTTAGTGTCACTCGAGTCATTAGTCATGACACCCCCACTTGAAGGCTGCCAGAACTGTGGCACATTGGATGCAGTGGACTGAAAAATATAGAGAAAAGGGATTAGAATGAAAGGACCGAAGGATAAATGAAAAGAAAAAACAAACGGAGTGAATAAAAGAGAATGTGAATTCCAAGACTAACCTTCCCAGATGGATTGCGTTCACTGCGTTGCCATTTCCAGAGCTTGTGAACAGCATTGGAGGCAAGAGACAGTAAAGCTAGCCCAGAATTTGTGTAGAGCAGCCGCACAACCTGCAGTTCATGCTATGCGTTACCTTAATTCAAGCCATGGAAAGAGAAACACGAGAGCAGAATAGCATGAAGTACTAAAAATTTATGATAACGAGGATGCATGTTGAAATAAAAAACATGCCATCTTGGAACTGAATTATGGTACCACAAAACTGCAGAGCTTGTGAGTCATTCCAAGGCAGGTCACATTCAAATCAAATGCCACCCCAAACAGGAAAGTGAACATTTATTTGTATTAACCAGATCATCTTAGGCACCATCCCGAAAAATACCTTGCTTGCCATCAAAGGATCAGGCAGCTTTAGAGCCTTTAGTTGAGATGCGTCAACAATATCAGGGAATTTCCAGCTTCTAGTTTTATCAGCATTATCTGATATCCTAGGTTTAATATCAGCCCCCCTGCTGCTCTCCGCAGAAGCCTGCAATACATAGAACAACATAATCTAAAAATTATAAATAGAGCTAAATAAATGATGATGAAAAGAATAGGAACAACAACTCACAAGACTGCCAATGGATACTGGAGGCTGGATTCTATCAGAACGTTCTAGCGCTGGAGCTAAGGGAGCAGAAACATTAGCAATGGGTCCTAATGCACTGGCAACCGAAGGCTGCAAAGGAAGTTGCAAAGAAGAAATTATCAAAACCACAGTCATGACTTGAATGACAAACAAGAGAAATAATGAAAACAAGAGCAAAAATACTTTAATGTTGACAGCTTCAGAAAGCCCTCGAGCCCCCTCAAATGTTCTGCCCTCCAGCATCCTCACCATACGCTGCCCATCGGTATTTGCTAGGACCTTGATTCCGTTGTCACTGGTTGTAATAGCCAGCAATGACCCTTCCTTATTAAATCTTAGTCTAGGGCTTGCCTGCAAGGAAGCAAAAGATGAATTAACAACCCAACGAATTTTACTCGTTCAAGCTGCTAATGCATTTGACAAACTGAACTGCCGATGTGTGCCAAGTGTACTTACAGGTAATCCACCATCCGCGTCAGAAACTGTTAGTATGTTGGTATTGTCCATATCCCAGAACTTAATCTGAAATTCATCACCCGCAGCTAAGAAACGGTTCCTCGTCGTGTCAAATTGCACAACACCTAAAGACCGCTTCCTAAAACCAGAATATGTTCTCCTAATTGCTCCTTCACTCTCATTCCATTCAACCAGGTAGGATTCTCCGTCTTTACTCGTTCCACAGGAGAATAGTCTGAAAGAAATATGAAATTAAGAATATAAGGAACTAATGACAACAATAACCGCCAAAGAAATTTGCTGCTTCTTCTTTTTTTCTTTTTTTTCTTTTTTTTTGAATGATAATGGCAATGATTATGTTAGGAGTAAATTACTCATTTCCTTAAAATTTATGAAATTAAGACCTTTATTCCTTGAACATTCTGAAAGACGTAATACTGCTAACAAAATGAATGATCGGATCCAATTGCATGACCAGGATCCAAATTATAATGCATGCTTTAACCAAATTTCACTAATGGAAATGATATACAGGGAAAACACACACAAAGTATTTAATTAGTTAAACACTTTGTTTGGTGCATTAATAATGCTCAGGCTGTCAAGCGTCAAACATGGGAACACAGTTTCAAGACCTTTATTCCTTGAACATTCTGAAAGACATAATACTGCTAACAAAATGAATGATCTGATCCAATTGCATGATCGGGATCCAAATTATAATCAGTGTTATTAAAGGCTCAAGGCGCACCAAGGCGCTAGAGGTCCTTCGGAGCCTAGGTACAAGGCGCACATCGAGGCGCGCGACTGAGTGAAGTGAGGCGCGCGACTGAGTGAAGTGAGGCGCACAATTGAAATTCTAAACTACCATAAAAGCATTCATATCTCATAAGTTGTATCAATATTCTAAAAATTAATATCAAATATAAAAAGTAAATCCATCAACCATATCAGAATTCAAGAACCATAAAACAGAGCACAAATTTGTTTTCTTTAAAGGCAAAACAGAGCACAAAAAGAAATAAAGTTATTAAAATAAAAAAAAAAACTGTTAACAATGAAAGGGAAAAAAAAAAAAGTAGAGACAAAAGAAGTAGATGAGAAGAAAGACAAAGTGTTAAAGAAAAAGGAGGAGAAAAAAACAGACAAAAAATAATAATAATAAAGAGGACAGAGAGAGGAGACCTAGACGAAGAGAGTAGTAGAGGAGTAGAGGAGAAGAGAGAGAAGAAAGAAATAACTGACATGGCTTCGTCGTTCGTCTCTGCAACTAGGGTGTCTAGGGTTTCGTCGTTTGTCTCAGTCTCACCCTTTCTATGTTCGGTTGACACTTTGACTCTTGGAATTTCTTATTTGTTTATTCTTTTGAACAAAAGTTCCTTCTCTCATATGCTTAGGCTTTCTTATTTGGTTATTAAGTTGCCAAAATTACCCTTTTTGGCTTAAGAAATAGAATAATCATTTAAATAGAAAAAACAGTGAGGTGTGCCTAGGACAAGGCAAAACCAAGGCGCGCGCCTAGTAAACATCAGTGTGCCTCCGATGACAACACAGGCGCTAGACCTGCGCCTCGAGCCTAGACGCGCCTTTAAAAACACTGATTATTATGCATGTTCTAACCAAAGTATCTACTTATTTAAACACTTTTTTTGCTGCATTAATAATACACAGGCTGTCAAGCGTCAAACATGGGAACACAGTTTCAAGACTGAGAGCAGCTAGTTTGTGCAAATAATATCAAAAGTTAAGTCTGCGTCAAAAATACCCTACCCAATACCTCAATTAATGGGGAGCGCGTTAGGTAAAGATATTTAATTAATTAAAAGAGGTTTAATAAATAATTAAAAAACAAGGTACACACACGTTAGTAAGGAGTTAGGTCTCGTATTGCATTTAACAATTTACTCGTTTACACGGAGAGGGTCTTGTATTTCCTGCTCGATTTTGTTTGTATTCAATTGTCAAATTTCATCAGTTGTCCTGACTCCATTTTTCAAGTTGACTGAAACAAAGGTATAAGGTTCCATTGCTGAACCTAATTGTCTAATTCTTCGTCCCTAATCCAGGCATAACGAATTTGATTTTAAAGCCCTTCCATCTTTGACTCATCATTATTCAGCGCAGAATCTCTGAAATAATCTGGCAAGTATTAAACTCCATAAGAGTTTGGATATAGAGAAGCCATTTTTCCACATTGCATGACTTTGGAACCTAATTTCTACGCCATGTTTCCAACTTCAAACTGCATTGCTTTACTATATCAGTCCCCACTATTTGTCATTCTTCAGTAAAGCATAACTCTAGGTTGCTACATGTTTTAACTCCTTATGACAAGTTACCTAAAAGGCATGGACACTTCTATGAGGTGTCGTGTCCATGTCAGACACCGACACTTCATGACCATGTCCATAATTTAAAAATATTTTTTATTACCTCGGACACTTGGCCGACATATCCCACATTGTCTTATATAAAAGAACCATATGAAAGCCCTAGAAACAAAATTATGAACATATATCAGAGTGTCCAACCTCTTATTTATATATATATATATATATATTGACATTAAACACGTCATAGTAAGTAATATGAACAAAAACACAACTACAATGACAAGATAGAATAGTAATATCATCTATATAATATACTCTTTTTCGTATTCAAATAACTTCACTTTCTAAGTTATGCAACTTTAGTGTAGAAATTATAAAGTAATTAAAGTTCTATAATTGCCTTACTGACTAAATATATAAATGAAATTTTATATTTATATTAGCCGTGTCCGTGTTTGTGTCCTAGTTTTTTTTAGACTTTGACATGTCGGTGTATCCATGTCGTATTGTCTGTGTCCATGCTTCTTAGCTAGTTAAATAAGATGAAAGATAGAAGGCATTCATTCGATTAGTTCATTCATTTGATAATAACTTAGTATATAGTACAAAAGTGTTTAATTTTTCCTATGACTTGGATTCTATTGAGCTCATTCATGGCTAGGAAACAAAAATGTTCTAGCAGAAAGTGAAGTCCCTTTTCAAGAGCTGTTTAGTTCCAGAATACCCATCACCATATGCAAAATTGCTTGAACATGAGATTTGCTTACTATTTTGGTTAGAAAAACTACTCAGTTGTTCTCCATCCAAGAATAAAAACTTTGGAGCAAAGCAGAGTATCAAATTGCTATCCTCCAAATATGATAATGTGGCATCAAGGAGAGTTACAAATCGTATCACGTGGATCGCAAGCCTGAAGCCCCTAACCACATATGAAACCACAAAATTTTGTTGAATTTCTCATGATTTGGATTAAATTTTTCTCAACATATACACTAAAGAATAATATCATAAAAAAGAATTATATTACAATACTGGTTTTCAACTATTAATAATACAGTCTAGTTGCAATCCCAGCAACCGCATGCGCCCCCCCAAAATCAAAATTTTAGGCTACTGGCTTTTCCAGCCATTTTGCTAATTAAAATACAACAATGAAAAACACTATGTGAATACTCCTCGGAGGATGCCTCCAAGACACTAAAGTTACCTTTCAAAGAATCATAGATCACAATGCTATTAATATAACATTCTTATTCAGAGAGGAAGACATATTTTTACATTGTAAGTGACATAGTATCAATGGGTCATCATGCTTCATTCATTTGATCCTGTAGCCTGTAGGCAATGCCAAAAACAGCTTTTGAGCTGTTTTCAAGTTCCATTATGAAGTAGAGGACAAAAGAAGGGATTTGTCTAGTGTACCTACATGTTATCAACAGAAGCATTTTTTAAGATGAGAAGTTTTAATTTTTTAGTTACAGTGCCAAAATTTCCTTCTACATCTGTAACTAGGGATATTTTCCCCTTTTTTCTTAATATTGTCGAAGACTGAGGTTTTGGTGAGTGATTTGATGAAAATAGAGGTGGATTTTGTTGTTTATTACTGTTTGACAATTCTACTGGTTAGCGCTGCCATTGTATCCATGACATCAAAACAACATTGGTGACATGGCCCTGCTTGTTTACTTTTAATAAAGTCACAACTCAAATCATCCACATCTTTAAGCTTTAACCGACGCACCAAGCAATGGCTCCTATTCATTTATTTATATACATATAATAATGATCATAGCTTAGCAAAATACGGTGACAGGCCTTACTTGGTGGATGAAGGTTAAAAGAAGGGAAAATCTACAATCCTTCTTTGAGAAGCAAGGTTATTACTAATTTCAGAATGATCAGGCACAAAGCACCAATTATAAGAAACCTCTGAAAGTGAAAGTGTAAGTTTATGATGATGATGATGATGACAATCGTAAAAGATATAAAATAATAATAATAATATGAAAAAGAAAAGGAACATGCTGAAAGATCATAATATATTAGTAATCCCTAGATTTTAAGAGAAGAACAAGAAGATAGTTGCATCAAATTAAAATCCCAAGACCTGGTTCCATCAGCGCTATATGCCATTGTGGTGCACCAAAGCCCAGGGGCATCATAATCGACTCTTGATCCCAAGCAATCATAGAGCCATGCTTTTATTTTCCCGTCCATGGCAGTGGAGAAAATAAACTGCAGATAGAAGAAAAGAGATTCATACCAGATAATGTTCAACGGGGTACTAAGCTCTCTGAAACTTCACTTACCCCATTTGTCAAGATAAGCCTATGAATTCACTTAAATGTCAGAGGAAAGAGTGAAATCAATTTCTAAGGAATTTTACCTGAATATTTTCTTTATAGTGAGGGCAGACAGAATATACAGGAGCTTCATGGCCTTCAAATATATACTGCCTGCGCCCAGCTACAGCATCCCACACCTATACACAAAAAGTTACACGAGGACACATAATTTTGCATGATCAAAACCATATTATGATGTCTAAAAAGAAAGAAATACAGCCACTTTGTTCCACATGGAACTCAGATCCTCAACCTCCTCTTTGAGAGGTGGAGGGGATATTAGTCAAGTTAAAATTTGGTTGTTCCAGACCTTACTATGATCAGAAGGTGATACCTTAATCGTCTTATCATCACCACATGTGACAATACAAAGTTGCTTATTGGGATGAGCAAAGGCAATATCGTTAACGCCACCTATATGAGCATCAATCTACAAAACGGAAAGAGTCATCAAGTTCATGAACCTTAGTCTAACTACTAAAAGCAACATTCGCATGTAAACGGGCTTACTTCCAAGTGCTGTCTCAGTTCTCCTGCTGGATTGTACGTGTATATCTGAACAATGTGCTTTGAGAATGCAACGCCTGCAAGAGAGAAAATTTATTAAGAACAATAAAATGCAATCTGGAAAGTTAGAAGTAGAACATCTAAAAGAATTAGAAAAAAAAATTAAGTATAAAAAGTTAAAGATTTAGAGATATACCAAGAATAGATCCGTCTGGGGCCCAAATGCATCGATTAACAGAGATTGTGGCATCTTTCACCAAAGTTGTCTGTTGATTTAATAAAGATTTTGTTACAAAAATGACAAGATATTCATGACCTGAATAAAGCACCAAATCAAGATAATAAAAAAAGGGGTGAGACCAATGAAATTCTTACCTGCAATGGCATTGAACAAGCTGAGATATCCCAAACCTTGAAGACTTTATGTGCTAACCTTTCTCGAGATCCAACTTCCCATATGCTAATGTCACCAACATTTGTTCCAACTATAAGAAATAGTTAAGACAATAATAAATTTAGACATTAAGCTGTAAGAACGTTAGAGCTTATAGTTTTTGCTACTTCTTTGTTTGTCATCATCAGAGATACAAGAACAAATCACTAGTTAGTTGCTTAAAACTTAAGCCGGATTAAAAGAGGTTATTCACGCATCAACCTAGAAGAACAGTCTGCTGCTGTGGATGGAAGTCCATGCTCATGACATTAGATCCCTGGTTAAGATTCCGCACGACAGATTTTGGAAGGTCATCTGGAGAACAAATATTGGGAGGATGTGTTGAACCAGAAAAAGAAACCTACACAGTATATTTGAGTGTTTCAATACGCAAACACAAAATCAATAAAACACCCTAAATTGGAAAGTTGTATATAACTCCAAACCAACAACAAAAAATTTCGCGATTATGAGAGACATGGTATGTTCATTAGTTCACACCTCATCAGATTGGCCGGTGCGAATTCGTTTCATCAAGTGTTCTGAGTCGGCCGTTTGATAGTCCATTCCAGGAGCACCTGGAGGCGTCCTCGGGTGTTTATTTAGGAATGCAGCTGTAGAGAATAGAACAAGCAATATTTAGTTAAACAGCATAAATTAGACACTGAATGTCTAAGAGGGTATTAGCTAAGCTTGCATTAAATTTTAAAGAAAACTCACCTGGAACAGGAGGCTGCACAAGACCAGGGGGTCCTGCTGCAACAGCAGCATGAGGTATGGAAGGGTTAGTACCAGACATCCACCCAGCTATGGCACTTGCAGATGGAGAGACAACTGGCTGAAATGGCTGCAAATAAGAAAGCCGACTTGAGTGAAAATTTGAAGGCAACAAAATTTGCATGTGCAGATAAGCTAATGTAATTGTACTTACACCATGGGCCCCAATAGGAGGGAAAGCCCCAGCTTTTGGAACAGGTCCAGAAAGAAGGCTATTAGTAGGTGGAGGAGCACGAGTTCCATTGCTAGAAGCACAAGTATGATCAGTAAAAAGTGTTTTGATATCAGGGTTTGGACGCGGGTTCTTGCAAAGTTGATGCTGCCAATTAAGACTGAAAACCCGAAGAACATAAAAATTTGATAGTATCTTAATAAAATAGCAACAAGAAGAGTTCAATATTATTTAACATGTTCAAAATTTTCATCAAATGATTGGAAACTGGCAATAAAAAAAGAAAGTACACAATTAAAAAGGAAAAAAAAAAAAAAAAAAAGTCTTACAAACCTTTGATTTATCAATGTCCGCAGTCGTGAAGCTTTGAATGCAGGAAATGTGAGCTTGTCACGAAACAATGGATTTGCTTCTATAAGTTTTTTAAGTTCAACCAGCATAATATTTCGTGCCGATTTTGTGTCCCCATACTTGGAAAGCTGCTCATTCTGCCTAATGAAATGATACAAAAAGGTTGGAGGTACTCAGGTAACAAATTGCAAATTATATTATTAGCTATCTGGCTGAATTTAGTACCTAAAATTGTCAAGGGTAAGTAGCTGGGTAATCTCCTTAAAGAGTTCTTCATTGAAAGAGGAAAACATCTTGAGATCCTTCATAAGAATCTCAACAGCTTTTGCTCGGTCATGCCTGAGACACATGACATTAAAAAGTGATCAAAAGATATTTAGGAACCCAAAAGCTCATTTAGATACCAAAAGTGGCACAAACATAGACTCACCTATCAAGGGCTTCCAAATATTTTTGTTTTCTTATTTCAAAGAAAATCTTCATTGAGTAGCGGTTGTCCTCGACCTTTGTGAACCCGCATAAATAGCGTTCAACTTCATCCCATTGACCAGCTTGCACTTGATCCTCAAAGTATTTCATATTGAAAAAAAAACCAGATTCCTGTTCCAACCTAAAGATACACATCGTTTCAAATTAATAACAGTGCCGACAAATCTAGACAACTAGTCTTTCTTGAAGTATAAAAAAGAAAGCCCTGCCACTTTGATTGCCAAGATAACTTAGGGAATTAAAGACATAGAAAAATTACAACTAGAACCTTCAAAGTTATGTTTCGTGTAGTTTCAATCTACAAAAATTTTGATACCCATCTCTCAAGGTCAAAGAGATTACTACACCTATATGAGAGATTATTGCTCTTGATTTATATAGTTTATTTGTCAGAATTTAGGGGAGGTCTTTCTTTCTTTTCCTGTTTATTTTATTTTTTTATTTTTTTATTTTTTTCCTTTTCTTTTCGTAGGTCTCAAGTGATGAAGATGCTAAGATTCAACATTTCAATATATTTCCATATCCAATACTTTCCAAGCAACTAAAGAATGCTGAAATACAAACATAAGAAAGAAACAACTTACTTATGGACTGTTTCCTTGAACTTCTCCTCATCCAAAAATTGTAATATTAAGAAAACCAACTCCCTACTCAAGGATGACATGGTTCCCGTTCCCGTTCCTGGTATCCCTAACCACTCCAGCGCAAATATTCAGTATCAAACTATAAATACAGATTAGAAATTCAGTAACCACAGAATAAAATTTTCAATCTCTTTGAAGAAGACTGTCTTCTCCAACCTTTTCAAGTCTAAGAACTTCAGTATAAATACAACCCCTTATGCCTCGAATATTCTCTAGAACAATTAGAAGAGTACAGTACAATTAATCAACACAGTGATTCTTGGGTATCTGAACTTCTTAATGCAGTATCAGGTTACATTCACAAACACCCACTTCACATCTCTTCACCAAATAAACCTGTATATGAAATCAGCCAAAAGATTGATCCAAAATGATGAATTTGACACCAATATGTCAAAAATTAAAAATGCCAATGCTACAAGTAACCAACTGCAAATGCTCAAACACCTGGGGTCCTAAAATTCACCTTTCATTACCAAACACCAATACTGTAACCAAGCTTATCTTAATTTCTAAAAACCCAGAGCCTGAAATGAAACACCCAAATCAAAACTTGTTAACCAAGCAAGCATAGACCCCCTACTAATTGAAGATGAGCCCTAAGAAAAGCTCAAATTCTTCTGCAGAATACCCAAAATGATCGATGAACCGACAAAACCTCTTTCTCTCAAACCCTACTTTCTCTAACTAATATCCACTGGAAATGAGAGCAGATAATTGGGAGGAACTTGGGGATGAACTAACTACTTCAGATCCAAACACATGAAACTATATGTATTGAAATGAAAATGGAACGAAGAGGCGGCCTTACTGGTGACCCAGAAGAAACAGAGCTAGGGTTTTGTGAAGAACCTCTTTTCTCTGCAACAACACATGTTGCACATCCCTGTTGTACTTTTGCGCCCTCTCTCTCTCTCTCCTCTTTCTCTCTCTCTATCTTTCTCTTTACTATGTTTTTATATTCTCTCTCTAGAACTGCATTTTATATGTGGGCTTTCTTCAGTGTTCTCTCTCTTCTCGACTGCTGTCTTTAACAACTAAGGGTAGTGAAAGAGCCACATGCGTGTCAGAAAGAGGTTTTTGTTCACCAATGAAACCTAGCTTTATAAGGTAATGTGTCGTATTCCTATTGGGTGTTCTATAAACCATTTTGACAAATACTGTTCCTTAAATTTTTTCTTTTTTTACTCTGCTAGTTTATACCTAAGTTTTTTCAAAAGTATAGCGCACGCGCGACTATCAACAGTTCAGATGTTATGGGTTGGTTCATCTGACGGTTTAAAGTTACCACATGAAAAGTGTGCGAGTGTTGCTAGCATTGTTTCTTCTTTGGTTTTGGTCTCACTTTTCCAATCTACTTTTCTTGATTGAGCTTGTATCTTCTGTAACCTAGTTCGAAGTCCAATGCACTCGTCTGCAATTTTTTTTTTTTTTTTTTTTTTTAACTACAAATTTTTTTTTTTTTTTTTTTTAATCCAACCAAATTAAGAGGAGGGACTTGAAAAGAAGAGACACTCGTTCGAAGAACTGAACACTTTATTAACTAAGGTGTTACAAGTGGTACGTGTCCTACATTGGATCCGGACGAAAAATAAAATGTATATAAATGAATGGATATGTAGTACTACTCAATATCTTAAGTTTTTTTATAAATGAGTAAGCGTCCACTTGTTACTGTTGGAATCAAAATCTAGTTCAATTCTTGATCCGATATCACGTCAAACGCCCATCTCAAAAGCGTCTAAGTGAGTCGATCCAGGTAGGCAGGGTGGCCCAATAGCAATGAAGGCGTTGCGAGTTCGGGTGGGAGAAAATGTTACAAGAGGAACTTGTCTCACATCGGATCCAAATTAAAAGTAAAATGTGTATAAATAGCTTATTGTGCAAAACTACCTAATAACTTAAACTTTTAAATAAATGAACAGATATCCGCCCGTTATACTAGGCATATATATTTTTATTTGTATTTTGCTAATAATGATTTTTTTTTCTTGGAATGGAGTATCACATTGGAGTGTCGGACAGGTCCAGTGGGAGAGGATTCTAAACTTCACATACATAAAGTTTAAATGGGCTAAATAACATAAAATAAAGGAGTGTTTACACATAAATGCAGAGAATAATAATTGGTTGAAAAACTAATTATAGCAATTGTAATTAATATATGTGTTTCTATTTTCAAGATATTAAAATTTTGACTGTTTTAAGATAAAATTACCTTTTAAAATATATAAATCATTAAAAGACAATGAAAAAAAGTGAAAAGGAAAGAATAAATGTTTTTTCTTTTTTTTTTTTTTTTTTTTCGGCCGTTGGAATTTTTTTTCTTTTCAAATTTTGGATGTTAGAATAGAATGATAGTGTGATACACACGCATTCAGGAGTAGAAAGAAAGAGTTGGGACTTTAAAGGAAATTTTATCTTAAAATAGGTAAGTTTTTAACATCCTTAAAAATAGAAACACATAAAATAATTAGAGCTGCAATAATTAGTTTTTCAACTAATTAATTTATCCTAAAATAGGTAAGTTTTTCAACCAATGATTAGATTTGAAATTAGAATTAGAAAATGAAGTGGATTATAATTAAAATGGAATTCCATTTGTGTTTGCTATAAAATGAAATTCATTTAAAGAAAAATAAATTTTATTCCATTTTACCCTGTAGATATTTGTGTAGTTTTTTAACCTAAAAAATGTGTGTATAATAATGTATATTTGCATCAGTTTGCAAATGTACACCAAACCTATTAAAGAATAAAACAAAAATAATGTACTACAAAGATTACATTGTGTATAAATAGATTCAAGACTAAATAATAACTTCACAATATATAGACTACATAGAGGAATAACTTTGGTAAGTTAAGACATGAGTGATAGTCAGTTATCAAATCCCTTCAAATTCTCTCATTTTTCTCTGTATTTGTCTACTTTATAAAATTTTTGCTCAAATTCAAATTCTTTTAAAATTTCATTCATTTTAAACATCTAAAATTCATTTTAAAATCTAATTTTTTTCCAAACACAATTTTATCTTAAAATAGGTAAGTTTTTAACATCCTTAAAAATAAAAACACATAAACTAATTAGAGCTGCAATGATTAGTTTTTCAACCAATCAAAACATCTGTCCTCTAATTAATTTTCAATTTTGAATTAGAGGACGATGGTTTGATTGATTGAAAAATTAATTATAATACAATAAAATATTGAATGTATATCCAACCAATTTATGTTATGTTAAAGAATTAATTTTCCTTTATATAATATGGTAATTGAAAATCACATTGAATTACAGTAATACAATAATATATTCTCATTTCACCTTAATTTATTTGAATAACTGCATGTCTTATATATGTGTAAAAATGATAACATAAATGCATCTATTTCATAATTTGCAGTCCCGTATCGTGGTCATGGTGTAACAGACTCGATCGAATATCGATATAAATCGATCGAATCGACTAATTTAAAAAAATGTATAAAGGTATCGAATACTTGAAAAATGGTTACTAGCCCATATTGATCGATAAGGGCCTACGCCGAACCATGATCTATTTCTTATAGCCATATATGAAATTGAGGAGTTTGACTCTTTGAGGTGTATGGCTCGAAATACCGTAAAAATAATATAATTTTTATGCACACAATACTTTACGTACAAACACAGCACTTGTTATAATGAGAAACAACATACATGATATCAAAATACAACACCGTTACATCAAGAAAATAGCACATACAACTTAAGTCACATAAATCGGGAGCGGAAGCGGGAGCTAATTCGAGAACGAAAGCGTGAGAGCAATAGAATTAAGTTATAAGTAGTGAGAATTTGAGCGAAAGCGCGCGTAAAGAGCGAAAACACGCTCAGAGAAGCAACACATATTAAGAATAATTGTGTGGCTTAACATTCACTATCATTAAATACGATTTTATATGGTGAAATATATATATATATATATATATATATATATTAGTTAAGTGTTGCACGTGAATTAATTGTGTGACTTAACAGGACCCGACTTGAGATAGTACGGCGCCAATCAATGGATGAAGTGGTCCACATGTCCACCTAGATTTATTTTTGTGTGGTTCTCCTCATTTATTATTTGAAATAAAATAAATAAAAAAATAATAAAAGAGGTAAATACGGAGTATTTAGTATTTAGTAGTGTCTTTCCAGAGCAATCAAGTAAATATACCACTAATTAATTTTTTTCAGTAAGTACCATTAATTAAAGATATAACAGGAGTATTAAGGAATGATAAGGCATAAAAAGTTGTTGAGGGGTTTCTATAATAAAAGATATAACAACAATTATATTTTTATATTTGTAATATGAATTTATTTTCTTTTCTAAATTGACTAATTTTGATAAATGTTATAATTGAAACAGAAAAATTAATTTATGATGTATGTGTGATAAAAGTTTTTGGCCGGTTCTATTCATTAAATAAATCTTTATATAATTTAAAAAAAATAAATCTCCTTCTCTAATGATTTTTTTGCAACTTGTTTGTGTTTGAGAGTGGTTGACAGATAAGACCTTTTCTTTTCAAACCAAGTAAAACAGCTGCAAAAATGAATTATTGACTAATCAAAACTCATATGGGATAGAAATAACTAGGTGTTATTTTATAAAATTAAATACAATAAAAAAAAATGACTAATAATAGAAAAGACTTAATGAAAAATATAGTATTTATGTCACCGACTCGTGGTAAGGGATTTGACAACAGACAATCATTCAAGTTGTCAAGAAACAATTATGGTAAACAATTACTATAGTACAATTAGAAATTCGTTTTTCAATAAAATCTAGTAGTTTTCCACATTTCCTTGTGTGTGTCTTTTTTGCCCTCTTATGCTACATGTTTATATGTCGTATTTTTATTTTTTATTTTAAAGTCCTAGAGGATGTTGTCGAATCCTCTATTAATGAAATGGTCAATTAAATGAGTGGTTGAGGGCATTTAGCCAAAAATAAACCAGGTGTGAGAATAAATATCCAAGAAAAACACACGTAATATAGTGTGTGTGTGTGTGTATATATGTATATATAAATGAAAACCATTAATTAGTGAAAGAGAATATTACAAGAGAATCCAAGGGGACATAAAACGCCTTACTACTCTATGACTGTTCCTTGGGAGGACCAGTGACTTCCCTCTGTAACAAACAATGCTATAGAGAATCAGGAGAGCTCTTGCTTCATCAACCACGTAAGACGGTAAAGAGAGACATATTCATTTGTTGTTTTAACATGAGCTGTTCTATAAGAAAAAAAAAAAAAAAAAAAAAAAAATTCTAATTCATGCGTAACTGAATCTATAATCCAAGACGACTCAACACGAGCGTGTTTGAGTGTTATTTTTCAGTTCTTATACATCCCTTTTACAACTCCAGCTCTGGACTGAGATTGGTAATTTGGGTTGAATTCATAGGGTAGCCAAGTGTCTTGTTTAGGGGAATAAAAGTAGGCTTGTTTGGTATCACATCTCCATTGGCAATGGTTGTAGATGCTGTTGCACTCGTAGTCATCTTTGAACACCACAAATGCACCCATATTGGTTGAGCAGTTATACATTGTGGATGTAGGAAAAACCCGGCTCTGGTGGAATTTGAACTCCATTTTTTCGTTGGGCTTCATATAGTGCACTTTAAGGTCTTCACTGAATGAGAAGCATCTTAAACTCAAAATATTTGTGTGGTTATTTGTTACCGTCACTTTCTTCTCCGGATTGTTCATCTTGAAGAACAAGAACGCCTCAGACGAGGGGATGAAGTAAAACACGGCCATAAGTAGCACAATGAAAGCCCTAGACATGGTGGTGGTGGTGGTGGTACATTCTTCTCCTCTTTCTTTTCCTCCTGAAATAACACAGGAAAAAAAAAAAAAAAAAAAAGTTACCAAGTAGTTCATTCATTGTGATATACTCTAGTTTTTGTTGGAATAAAAGTGTGGTATTGTTCTATATGCAGTTAAAAAGAGAAATATGGGAATTTTTTTGGGAAATTTGTTTTCTATTTCTTCCAATTTTTTTCACCATGAATCACCATTGAAGGCGAGCTCCAAGTAAGAAATGTTGTCTTTGATTGAAGTTTTAGATCAATTAATGAGAAGCAGAACAACTGTGAATTCTAGAAGTGGAAGAGAGAAACATGCATAATAACTTCCAAATGCATAGAGATTGTATGGTAGAACAATGAAAGGGAAATTCCATTCATTAAACAAGTCTACAGAAAATTGTTGCTCTTTATTTCCAGTTATTGAAGATTCAGAGTTTATATTGTTGAAATTTACCAAGCAAATTATATATATATATATATATATGTATATGTATATATATATTCGTCAATTTTGCCAAGAAATTATATACTATGTTTAGTAATAACTAATAACTCAATGGGACCTCCCCATTCAAACCAAACAAACAAGGGAGATAAACAATGTTGAGTTAAAACTTAAAACCCTTTAATGTCTACAACTCAATTATTCAATTATGACAGGGATGAACCCAACTCAGAATACAAACCATAGAAAAGAAAATGCATATTAATATCTTTCTAAGTGTTCATAATATATGAGTGTGTGTATGTAATACAGTTCTGTTTTAATAGAACGTCAAATAAGAAATGATCAGCTATATAATATGTTAAAGATGCCGAGTTTATTTTGTTGAAGTGGACCAAACATTCTTATTTCATGCTCAAGTGTTCATAATCATAATATATATATATATATAGACACACACTATAAAGGGATGATCAAAGTATAAATAATATGCAAGTGTGATGATATTACATTCAACATGCATTCTTTGCAACAAAACATAACTGCGTACCCTTTTTTGCTGCCATGGGAGAGCGACAGAGTGGGAGAGATTGTGTAAGCCCTTTTCGGGTTTGATTCTTTATGTATGTGTGTATATATATATATATATGTATGTCTGTATTTGTGTGTGTGTTCAAGTTCATATGGGTTGATTGGCTATTTTTAACCTTTTATAACAGTGTAATACGGAGAAGCTGATTTTAGAATTGAGAACTCGTAATCGGGTCAGATTTTTTTGTTTTCTCGGTGGAAACAGTTGGAATATGAATTCCCTTGTTACTAGTTTTTAACTTTTCTTAATTTAGATTAATCTTGGACATGTAATGCCACATCGCCAACTTGACATAAAACTGTTTTCATTATTATCGTTTTACTCAATATTAATTTTATGTTAACATCACACTGAACATGGATGGATTCAAGATCAATTTTTTTTTTTTTTTTTTTTTTTTTTTTTGTCAAATAAGTAATGGAAAATAAACAATGAACCCCGTGCACCGGATACATCGAAACCGTTTCTGTTGTACACGCATCGTAGCCATTCATGTAGGTGGGCGTTGTACAACGATTTCTGGGTACGCATTGTACAACTGTTTTGATGTGCCCCCGCCGGGTGTATATATTTTCCATGGAGAAACCCAAACAAAGAAGAGGGGAAGCTGACGTGGATGGTGGGTTGTTGAAGAGAATTAAGATGGAAATGCAGTTGACATAGGAATAAATTCGCCGAATCAATAAATAAAATAAAATAAAATAAAAGAATTGAAACTTAAGAAAACAAATGTGGATAGGACATCCAAGTCCACTACAAAAACGCGTTTGTGAAACATTCATGATCGCCAGAGTCAAAACAGGAGTTTTCCAGCTCATTTTCCAGGAAAGATAAAGGTGGACCCCCCTGAACATGGAAGTCATAGTCACTAGTTTTCCAAGGAATTTTCCTGGAAAGTTAAATCACCATCCCTATTTTCTTAGTAGAAACTTCTCTGAACAAAAAGTCAATTCATTTAACGACATTTTGGCATCACAGACTCCAAATTTGACTCTCTTGTATTTTGCCAAAAGACCATAAAAAGTAAGAAGTGAAGTAGATCACATTAAATTTTCAATGCATTGAAAATTCTGAAGAAGGACACACTGTTCAGAAAAGGAGTGCTTTGGATTTTCTTCCTGTTTCTCTCCAACCAAACACTAATTGAGGTGATTCCAAGGCTTGCACCACCATGTTAGACTATGTTAAAAAACAATTCGAGAATGCAAAGAGGTCGATATGGGCTGTAGCTGCAGTGGCAATTGCCTTGGGAGTGATTCTCTTGGCTCTCGTGTGCCTCATCATTTGCTATCTAAGGAGACGGCAAAAGAGGAAGCAAAGACAACAAGGTAAATAACTTACAAAAAGATGGTGCTTTTTTTTTTTTTTTTCATTACAATTTACCATAATTCATAAGTTTGATATGTTAACCTTGACAGGACAGGACAAGAAAAAGAAACAGAACAGCAGAGATCAAGTAGAAATAACGATACACAACGGATCTATGGAAGCAATTGAGCTTGAGCTTGAAAATGGAGGGAACAATGACCATGATCTAAAAGCATGGAGCTTTAAATGTATCATGTCTGCTACGGATGGCTTTTCGTCAAGAAATAAGCTGGGGGAAGGCGGTTTTGGACCTGTTTTTAAGGTACATTACAAAAGGCAAGATCTTCTTTTCCCCTTACAAAATGAATTAGCCATAGAGAAGAAATAAGGAGAAGAAAGGACGGTAAGCCATTCTTTTAAAGAGTGGCAGAGTACAAGTTGTCCCTTTGGACAATACTTGTGTGTGTGTGTGTGTGTGTGAGTGAGTATGTAAATGCATTAGCATTTTATGTATGTGATATTGTACATAAACTGATCATGATTGTTGTAGACTGAACCTAGAATTTACTATGAAATTGTTTACTTCAGGGAGAATTTCCTGGGGGGCAGGAAGTAGCAGTAAAGCGACTTTCGACAAGCTCTGGACAGGGATTAGTAGAGTTCAAAAATGAGCTCATACTCATAGCCAAACTCCAACACACGAATCTTGTCCGCCTTCTAGGCTATTGCATTCAAGGAGATGAGAAAATGTTGATCTATGAGTACATGCCTAATAAAAGTTTGGACTACTTTCTCTTTGGTAAGACAAAATTTTTGCTCTTAATTTCACATCATTTTCAAGAAATTATTCAAATATTTCAACTTGTATTTCAACTTTTTTTGCAAGACAGATCCAAGAAAGAAAGGGCAATTAACTTGGGAGAGACGCTTTAACATCATTGAAGGGATTGCTCAAGGACTACTCTATCTTCACAAATATTCAAGATTGAGAATAATCCACAGAGATCTAAAAGCTAGTAACGTATTGTTGGACGAGAACATGAACCCCAAAATTTCTGATTTTGGCATGGCAAGAATTTTCAAGCAGAATGATTTAGTGGCAAACACAAAAAGAGTCGTTGGAACATAGTAAGTAAGCAATAATTTAATGTGTTCTTGTGGCAGAGTTCATAGTTTCATAAGCACTAATCAAGTAATCAAATACTAAGATGTTTTACTGATGAATTTTCGCAGTGGTTACATGCCTCCTGAGTATGCCATGGAGGGCATCTTCTCCATTAAATCCGATGTCTTCAGTTTTGGAGTTTTAATGCTTGAAACCATTACTGGTCGGAAAAACAGTAGCTTTTATCATGCTGATTGCGTACAAAACCTAGTAGGATATGTAAGTTCTTAATGTAATCTCAGCTTTGATTATGTTCCTGAAAAGCCATCATGGGGTGCTTTCACTATAACCATTTCAGTCGTCGGATTGAGAGATTTATCAATCAATTATATGAATGGATGATTGAGAATGGTGTTCTTGGTGAGAGCATCCTCATGATAGACATACTCTTCTATTTTTCACTATTCATAGGTTTAGAACATTTAAATGATGATGACACTGTCTATTGTAGGCATGGGAACTGTGGAAGAAAGATGCTGCGCTAGAACTAATGGATCCAACATTGAGAAATTCATGTATAGAACAGCAATTGCTAAGATGCATTCACGTGGGACTCTTATGTGTAGAAGATCGTGCAATCGACAGACCAACCATTTCAGATGTTATTTCAATGTTAACAAATGACAGTATGACATTGCCTCTGCCAAGGAAACCGGCATTTATCTTTGGAAGCAGTGTGGTTGAGGAAGAATCAGAAGAAAGAAAGTCTGAAAACTATACAGTAAATGGGATGTCCATTACAGCTATAGATGGAAGATAGCGGTATGAGTTTTTGCAATAAGAAGGAGTTGGTACTGCCACTGCAAAACTGAAACAGCCCAACATTTTATGCGGGAAGAATCATTCATGGTAGAGGTAGATTAGGATAAAAGCAAGTCAAAAGAAAGGATTTTTTAGTATAAAGCTTAATCCAATTCTATGAAATCTACATAAAGTGTATCAACATTCACATATATTGTCATGAGAATAATTTTTTAGATTTTATTGATATACATTGAATGCTGAGATTATCATTAAGTTTCTGTAGTAGATCTATAATCCTTTTTAGTTTTTACTGATACAGAGTATTGAGAAATTGGACAAAATATAGGCACATTTGAACAAAAAAAAAAAAAAACCATTTTCAATAGTTATAAGAGCTAGTTCAGAAAGTGGAGCAAAAAAATTGTGAAAATTTGTTCAATAGAGGTAATGTGGATATTCTAACATGAATGGAATAAAACTAAGCCTGGCATGGAAAATCATGAATTTGGAGGCTAGGAATAGTTGCTAATAGAGCTTGACACACACACACACACACAAAGAAGAAAGAAAAAAAAGAAGGAAATAAACAAACTTGCATCTAATGGTGTCGAAAATGGTTTTAGTGAGGCGAGAAGGGGATGAAGGAGACATCCAAAAAATCATGTTATTCCTTATCTTTCAAAGTATAGTACACAAATCCTGCCAAGCAAAGCTTTAAACAAGCAAAACCCTGTTAGTAGGAATATTAGATTTCCACCTTACAGAGGCCTAAAGGCATGGGATGAGAGATAACCGGTCGAATGGATTAATGTGAGATCCACAAAGATGTTAATAGTGATCCCATGCATATGTATAAACGAAACCGGCATTGTGATTAACTAACAGGAAAGGAATTCATAAGCTGAGTTGCGGAGGCTGCAAATATTAGGGATGTGAAAATAGGCAATAAAGGGTCTGTCTTTAAGAAAGAACCCCCTGCTCATGGAAGTCATAGTCGTAGGTTGGATTTTTCCAATGTTCCAGAAAATACATATAAAAATAAATAATCCCTTTTTTCTTGGTTGAATGTTCTCTGGTCTAAGTCAATCCATTGCCAAAAGGACATAAGATATGAAGTAGATCACAAAGAAGGGAGTTTAAAAATCTGAAGTACAGGGGTTCATATGCAGCATGGCAAGGAAACCCCACCTAACCCAAAGGTTGAGAATTCAACTCTCCAAACCAAGCTGCAAGGAAAGATACAACGTTTAAAAAGTTGTGTTTTGTGCTTTCTTCCTGTTTCTCTCCAGCCAAACACTAATTAAGGTGATTCTAAGACTTGCACCACCATGTTAGACAGTATTAAAACACACTTCGAGAATCCTAAGAAGTGGATATGGATTGTAACTGCAGTTGCTTTTGGCTTGGTAGTGATTCTCTTGGCTTTATTGTACATCATGTGCTATCTAAGGAGGAGGCAAAAGAGGAATCAAAGACAAGAAGGTAATTAACAATTTTTTTTTTTTTTTTTCCATTTAAATTTATCATAATCTATTTTCCTATTCCTGTGAAGGTAACTTAATGCGTTTCTATGTTAATTTTAACAGGGAAGGATGAGAAAAAGAAAAAGAAAGAGGAAGAGAAAGAGAAAGAGAGAGAGAAAGATGAAGCAAAAATAACGATAAGCAATGAATATATAGAAGCAATTGAGGTCGAGCTTGAAAATGAAGGAAACAGTGGCCGTGATCTAAAAGCATTGAGTTTTGCAAGTATCATGTCGGCTACAGATGGATTTGCGCTAAGAAATAAGCTTGGGGAAGGAGGTTTTGGACCTGTTTTCAAGGTAAATTATATATGCGAAGTTGTGAAACACTCAAAAGAATTGAATATAGGAGTTACAAAATGAACTGAATTGCCATAGAGAAGAAATGAGAATGAGAAAGGATGGTATGCAATTTTTATAAGGGTGACATAGTATAAGTTGTTCCTTTGGACAATACTACTTGCATATATAATATTTGCAAGTATGTAAATGTTAATGCATTTTATTGATGTGATTGATTTTGTAAACAATCAATCATGATTTTGTAGACTGAATCTACTATGATTTTTTTTACTTCAGGGAAAATTGCCTGGGGGGCAGGAAGTAGCAGTCAAGCGACTTTCGACAAGTTCTGGACAGGGATTAATAGAGTTCAAAAATGAGCTCACAGTCATAGCCAAACTCCAACACACGAATCTTGTCCGTCTTCTAGGCTATTGCATTCAAGGAGATGAGAAAATGTTGATCTATGAGTACATGCCAAATAAAAGTTTGGACTACTTTCTCTTTGGTAAGACAAAAATATTGCCCTTGACGTCACATCACTTTCGTGAATTTATTCATATATATCTAGTTTTTGCTAAGAAAAATTTGAACTTTTTTTCAAGGCAGATCCAAGAAAGGGAGGGCAATTAACTTGGGAGAGACGCTTTAACATCATTGAAGGGATTGCTCAAGGAATACTTTATCTTCACAAATATTCAAGATTGAGGATTATCCATAGAGATTTAAAAGCGAGTAATATATTGTTGGATGAGAACATGAACCCCAAAATTTCGGATTTTGGTTTGGCAAGAATTTTCAAGCAGAATGAGTCAGTGGCAAATACAAAAAGAGTGGTTGGAACATAGTAAGTAAACAAAAAATTAGTGTGTTGTTTTCTTTAGTATTATTAATCTAAGTAACTAAATACTAAGACTGTCATACTGAATAATTTTCCCAGTGGTTATATGCCTCCCGAGTACGCCATGGAGGGCATCTTCTCCACTAAATCCGATGTCTTCAGTTTTGGAGTCTTAATGCTTGAAACCATTAGCGGTCGGAAAAACAACAGCTTTCATTACGATGATTGTGCACAAAGCCTAGTAGAATATGTAAGTTTATATTTACTATTTATGGGTTTAGAAGGATTAAATGATAAGGATACTACCGTGTATTGTAGGCATGGGATATGTGGAAGAAAGGTGCTGCACTGGAGCTAATGGATCCAACACTGAGCAAGTGTTGGAGTATAAAACACCAATTGCTAAGATGCATTCATGTGGGTCTCTTGTGTGTAGAAGATCGTGCAGTCGATAGACCAACCATGTCAGATGTTATTTCAATGTTAAAAAATGACGTTATGACACTGCCTCTGCCAATGAAACCGGCATTTATAATTGGACGCAGTGTGGTTGAGGAAGAAACAGAAGAAAGCAAATCAGAAAACTATTCAGTAAATGGGTTGTCCATTTCAACTATAGATGGAAGATAGCGGTATGGGTTTTCACAGCCCAACTTTTTCCACAGTAAGAAATCACTCATGGTTGAGGTAGATTAGGATAAGGGCAACAGCTTAATCCAATTCTATAACATCTACATAAACAGAGTATCAACATTCATAAATATATATATATATATATATATATATATACATATATATAGTTTTTTTTAAGCAAATTTAAATTGTCGACGACATTCATATTTATTGTCACGAGAAGAATACATTTTTAGTTTTTACTGATAAACATTGCATGCTGAGATTATCCTTAAGTTTCTCTAGTAGATCCATAATCCTTTTTAGTTTTTACTGATACTGTGTTGAAAGTGATTCTGCATGTTTAAAGAAAACGGGCACTGGGAAAAAAAAGAATAGGAATGGAATTCACAAGTTCTGTGAATAGGAGATGTTGTGCGAGTATCTATAGGACCTAAATATGAACGTCCTCTCCAAGCACATTGAAAATTTGCCATAGAGCCGCCCCACAAATTGGAACACTTAGAGGTGAGTTGCATAGGCTACAAATATTAGGGATGTGAAAATAGGCAATTGGGGGGGGGGGGGGGGGGGGGGGGGGGTGTGGTGGACACTGGCCAGACACAATATTGGGGGGGGTGGGGTGGACACTGGCCAGACACAATATTGTCTGCTAGTTAAGCACGCTTAACTCCAGACTTCTGGCGGGTTCACGGCCATCACGATTTTAAAACGCGTTATGCTATAGAAAGATGTTGAATCTACATATATCACTTGCCCCATCTACACCCAGGCGATGTGAGATTGTGCACTCGTAGCTCGCCCAGTGTGGTAGCCTACTGGTGCTACCTGCACACGCTCACACACATCCACCCACAAGGTCGTCACAGTCTATCTGTGGTGGGGAGATTAGATTAAATTGTCAACCAAAGAATGAAGCAGTGTCTAGAGATAGCGAGGGAAAAACCACACTAGATAGGAATAAGCTGAGAAGGAGAAGAAATGCAGTAGCAATGCTGAACTGGTCAATTTGGAAAAGTAGTGCATAGAGTTGACCCCTCTCTGTTAGATGTTACATTTAAGTGCAGAGAAAATTCTCTCATTTCTGCTGCTCTCAAGCAATCCACAAGTCAAAATACTTCCATTTCAGATTAGTTATATAAATTCAAACCGAAGTAGCGAAAGCTATGAACATTCACAAAATTAAGGAACAATGAAACAACTTTGAATTCACAAAGTTTAAGCAACAGAATTCTCAAATATTATTAAGGGAAATGAATGAATCTGTTCTTGTAGTACATGCATATATATAACAAAATTCAACTATTTCTAAAAGAATCTAACAGCACAAGGAAGCCCAAAAACAACCCCAAAATTCAACAATCCGTAAAAATTAGAGAAAACTAGGATATGAGACCTAATCACTAAAAACTATTATATATATACCAAAAATCAAAATAATTTGAGTCTGTTTAGACCACTAACAAAAATTTCAAATTTTTCAACAGTGACTTAAGTGTATGTCAGGAGCATACCTTATGAGTATTGTTGGTTGGCTTGATTCCGATCAAGAATGGATCTTTTCAGATCCAAATGGGTTCGTTCAAATTATCTCAAAAAATGTATTCGTTTGACTAATCTGGGACCCAAACGATTTTCATAATCATTGGCAATCCGTTCTACATCATAAACCCTTTCTTGAGACTCGTGAATACACGGACTGCTATTTTTATGCTTATACGGCTCTTTCATATAGAAGCATCCGTCCAGAAATATCTACGTTTGAAATTCCCAAGCCTCCAGTTCTCCCCCGAGTAAAGATCATCCAATAGGGAAGAAACTGAACATTGGTTGAACTTGATAGGGAAATTACAAAGCAACAAAATTTTTGAAGCAGCAAATTTTTATTTATTTATTTTAAGTTTTTGACTAAATCATGTTCATGAAAATGACACAAATTGTTAATATAAAAACCAGATGTGATGTGTTGTTTGAAGGGTAAAATGCAAGAAAAAAATAATAAAAAAACACTTTCAACTGTTGTCATTTTGCAAAGAATTACAAATTCACCCGAATGAATGATTGATTGTAATTATAGATAAATTCATTACAAAAAATTATTTTATTCATCTCATTAATTTTTATTTCTTACTCTGTATTAAGTTACCTTTATTATCTTTTCTTTCATTTAAATATTAATTATATCATCTATCCACTTTTCTTTTTTCTTTAAAGCAACTGACAATAAAATTTATAAACTGAGTGATGTTTTATCTCTTATTTTATAATATCATAATTGTCTTTTTCACAATAAACTTTCTTTTTTTTCTTTTTCTTTTTTATCATCTTTTCCTATTCTAAATGCGGAATACTTTTTTTTTTTAATACTCAACTGTGCCCTACAGCTGTATAAAATACTGCTTCTAGTATCTTTTTAGTATAATAAGCTTGGTAACTTCCAAAAAACAAAACAAAAAAAGAAAAACAACTAACTTCTATTAAATTTTGTAAACCGGCTTCTATATCATCAATTGGAAATTTTGAAGCATGAAGGGAAAAAAATTCAAATTAAACTCAAAAGCATTAAAAAACTCGAAAAGAAAAAATTACCATCATCAGTAACATAACATCAAAAGAGTTTATTGGCTCGTAAAATTTCCATAATTCTTCCATGTTTTCCGTAAAAAGATCAATTACTTTGTTCAACTCCAGAAGAGATTATAATACAAAGTAAAGAAATAGTTGAGAGAGCTAGAAGTAACTGTTAATCAATGGCAGAGGAGGAGACCAATAGATCTTTCTATAACTGAATGGGTAAATGTGGTATTTGAGAAAAAAAAAATTTATTTATTTATAAAATTAGGGATATTACTGTCCTTTTATTTAAGAGTGGAGTGCAATTGTAGCTGATATCCCCTTCCTAAATTTATTACAAGCATCAATTTATTATAACATGAATATATATATATATTATTGTAGCTATTGTTTTTTAAAATGATTAACTTATTAAAACTTTATTATTTATAATAAAACTTATTATACTTGCTTTAAAAAAAAATTACCATAAAAATTCACCTTCTTTTTCATACAATATATTCATGGAAAATTAATAAATTAGTTAAATAAAAAATACTAAGAAATTATTTAAATTGTTTTAAAATTTTATGCTGAAGAGTTTTATTTAAACGATTAATTTCAAAAGTTTAAGATAAATTTATATAAATTTAATGAAGAATATGTTATCCAATTAATATGAATTTTTTCAACATTAATTTTAATAAGATAAGTGGATTAATTGTAATTTAATAAAAAATGGCATTATGATCATTTAATAAAAAATATCTCATGCTTGGGTATTTTGCAACAAAATGTGTTAGTTAAGAAGGTATTGTGTACAAGATATGGGCAAAGTCCAAAAAAAAAACCCCTTTGAATTTTACCCTTTTCTATTTCCCAAAAAACCCCTTAACTATTAAAAAGGAGTAATAGATTCATAAGGGACGTTAAGAATGCAAAATGATTAAAGTATCGCCTATGCCTATTATATATGTATGTTGATGTCATCTTCTGAAAAAAAAAAAAAAATCATGTTGCTATTAAAAGAAATAAACACACGATAACATAAAAACAATAATACTCCAATTTTAAGTAATTCTATGAATACACCCATTTATCATACTACAATTTTCTCAAATGGGTTGGTTTTAAATCATCAACTAATTAGAGATTTATATATATATATAAATAGTTACATGATGATGCAAAGAAAAGAAACAGTATGCCAAAAGGTAAAAATGTTTCTTGAACTTCTGAACTTGATTGTCATTTCTGATTTTGCTTCTCTATATTACAAGTCTCCACAGAATTCCAATTGGAAATAGATACCTATGGAGTGTTTCATCATTCTTACAAGGAATAGTCTAACACTCGAACAAGAAAGTGGGAGTGGAAAATAAAATCTAGAGAAAATTTAGGGGAAAGGCTGAAGGAGAAGAATGATTTTTAGATGAGTTGATAAGCCTTGGCTTAATCTTTTCAGGCTTTAGTGGCTTGCAGTGGAGCTGCAGCCTTGCTAGCGATAAGTTGCTCGTAGAGGTCTCTGATCTTCAATCCGACTATGGTTTGGAAGAGACCAGTCCCATTGTTGCTGCCCGGAAAATCTGCGTGCTTCAACATTTGTTGGGTGACTTCGCCGTAGAATTTGGTGGAGATGTTGCTTAGATGGCTTTCGACGTAGATCAGCTCGTCTAATCTGTCGAATTGTCCATCCATCTCCAACACGGACACCTTAGGAGAGAAATGGAACAGAGCAAATGATAAGCATTATGCAGAACTAGTTCACACACACACACACACACACACAGCTGCAGAGAAGATTTGATGTACCTCATGGCCGAAATAGGTGTCAGGGCCGTAGAAGAATTTGATGCCAGGGTAAGAGCAAGTGAGCTTCCTACCACAGGGTATCCATGAGACGGTAGAGCCTTCATCAAACAGATAAACTGGACTGAAAAACTTCACTCCTTCTTTCATTATCAACCTAACTCTCAGAACCTTCCCCTCGTTGTCCCCGGGAATGAGTTGGGTTGGCAACACTTCAATCACGGCATCTGCATGTTGCTTTTGTGGATCTGCAAGATGAAGAAGATATGAAAATGGATTTTGTATTATAGGGTGCGTGGATGTGTGTGTGTGTGAGAGAGAGAATAGGATGCCAAATGGACAAAGCATTAAGCTTAGGACAATGCTATTTAGAACAAAAATTCAAGCCGTGAGTGAAAGATGAGGGTATTCTATCCTTTGGATGCATTGAGTGAAATTAGCTAGCTATCATTCTCGGTTAGACTATTAGGGTTGAGAATCAATATCCTTTAAGTCTTAATAACTAGACAAGTTAAGGCATGGCCAAGAGAATTTACCAATGTAAGCATCAAAGTCTGGCTTTCGGGCTTCAATGCTAGCTTTTATGCTTTCAAGGCTGTGACCTCGTTCCGCCATGTCTCTCTGCAGTTCTTGAAACATAATCAGATTGAAAGAAATGCGCAAAATTTACATTGAAAAGGTTGTTACTTAGTGTTGGTCCTATCTACATGAACATAAAAAGTTCTTACTATAAAATTTTATCATTGAATTGAGCAATGATCTATATTCTATATACTGAATTAGCAAAGCAATTACCTGTATTTTCCATGCAAATTTAACTTCATTGCTGATATCCAAGTAGATACTGAAGTCCAAGAGGTCTCTTACACGCTCATCATACCTACATATAAGCAATATTACTTTGATTAAATGATCTTGCACAATACAAGTAGACTAATATACTCGTAACGCATAATACTGGCTCCACCTTTTTGACAAAGTACTAGGTGTTTCAGGTATCAAGATCTAATATGCAAGAGTACCGAAAATATAATACCTCCTAATAATGATTAGTTGTTATTGTATGTTATCGAGAAAATTGGTGAATATACATTGGCCAGGATACATCATAATACCTTGGAATATTTAATATTTGGCTCATGGTGTTACGACCTATATTATACATTTTGTATGTAGCCTCGACAACCTAATGGGTTAATGTCTCCGATGAATTTTATAGTGCTAGGCTTTGACTCTCTACATCAACTAATTAATTTAACTTCTAATAATTCTTGGTTTGAAAAAAATAAAAAATACATCCTCCATGCAAATGTTACTGCTTACAATGGTTATTATTTGTGTCTGCGAGAGAGAGGGTGCTATCCAATCAGCCTATCACATAAGGCCCACGAAAAGGCCCAAGAAGAGAAAAAGACAAGGACAGTTGTAATTCCTCAGCCATACAATAAAGGTAACGCATAATACCCTATCTATCCAAAAACCAATAAATAGCAGCATATATATGTTGATAAGAACCTATTATCTTTACATTCATTTCTTCTTAATAAATTAAGAAATATGAGGAAAGCTTACCAAATATATATATATATATATATATATTTACTTTTTATTTTTTTGACAATAATAAACATAAAACATAAATACCCATTTAATCAGTTTCATTGAACTTCCTGCAAAATATAATATATATATATAATGAATAAAAAATTAAATATAAGAAGGAAGGAGAAAAAGAATCAAAATTCCTATGTGCCATATGTTCTGAGAAAGCTAGTACATGCTTTCATGGTTGATTACTAAATAAAATTTTAGATTATGAAAGATGATTTAAAACTTACATAGGGTGCAATCCTTCAATGACTAAGATCTTGGGGGGCTTGATGATCTCAGGAGGGTCCAAGAGACCACTGACATGATTATAAATAGGTTTGTCAACAGCAATTCCCTCCTTGAGAGCCTTGACCTGCTCATACATGAGATCAAAATTGTTGGCTCTGGGGTCAAGTGCAGTCACTCCCTTCTCTTTCCTTCCAGTCCTATCAAGTGAGTGATAATCATCCAAACAAATCACAGTGGTGGTGTCACTTATGAGTGTGTTGGAGTCTGGATTCCCTCCCTTTGGTGGCTCAGCAGCCCCTCCAAACACACTTGTCAACCTCCTCATGAAAGTGCTCTTCCCACAGCCGGAGTCAGCTGCCAAACCAATCACCACAGTCTTGTCATCAACAGAGCATGTTATTTTGGTCTTCTTGTTGTAGAAAACTAGTTTTTGGGGATAACCCAAGTGGGTTTTTGTGGGTGTGGAGATTGAACATGTTGAATTGAGGGTTTGGACTGTGTAGACTTTACACACAGTTGCCATTTTCAGAGGATTTTGAGGGAGAGGGAGAGGGAGAGGGAGGGAGGGAGAGAGGAGAGGACTTGATGTGGGTTTTTTTTTTTTTTTTTCTTTTGTGTGGGTGTGTGTTGGGGGGGGGGGGGGGGGGGGGGGGGGGGGGTGGTGGTGGTGTGTTTGGGGTGGAGAGTTTAGTTGGTTTTGGGAGGGCACATGAAATGGGGCTCTGATTCTTTTGCTTTGGTTTCAAAGGAATGGAGTTTTAGACACAGATGAAAGAGTTGTGGGTGTGGCTGTTAAAAAACAGAAGGCAGTTTTGAAGGATAGGAAAATGTTGGATGGCTGATGTGTCACTTTTTAGGTTTATGTGACTACCCCTTGTTTTGGACAAATTTGGAGGTGATTTTAAGGCGGAAGAGAGGGGATATGGTTTGTATAAATTCTATGGGCTAGGGTACAACTGTCATATGAATATTTTGTTTGAATTGAAAACATTTTTTTATTTTTTTTTGGTGCAATAAGTAAAAAGATTGAATTGTTGATGAGGTGATGGTGTTTGTGATAAATATAGGCATGGAGAAGCTTGGTGGTCATTCCTTGCAGTTTGGATATTTGGCATGCCACACGGCAACAAGGGGTTGGTTTGTTGAAGATGAGGAGAGGAGGGTGTGTAGTGGAGGAGATATGGACCCTATGTCAACCCATTCAACTTTGGACATTACTCGAGACTAGTGAGAGTAGTGCGTGTGTGTGTGTTTTTTCCTTTTGGTTGGGGATTCATTTTAGATCACATTCTTTTAATTAATCTTGAATCATTTCAGAACAAATGAGCTTCAACAACCATAAAGGTGTGAGCTAAGTGAAAACGTTCTAATTATAACCTCCAACCATGGCCAACAATGTTTTATAATAACAGTTTTTAGGCTCCAACTTTGCAATAACAATCCCAAAATCAACCTAGCATATGTATTGGCAGTAAGTTTCCAGAACCACTTAATTTCATAAGCATCTCTCTGTTGAGCTCTGTCTACAATTATACTATAGAATCTATTTACTTATATATATATATAATAAAAAAAATGCATGTGTAGTGCTCAATCAGTATCTGCATTTAAAAAGAATGATATTATTATATAAAGTGGAAGCAGGGACGGATTTGAAATCCCTCCATTTTGAAGGATAAATTTTAATTCTATTTTAAATAGATCTCACTTGTTTCGGGACTTGCATGAATAAATAACTTTTTTGAATCGAAAATTTTGACTGGCTAAATAGTAAAAGCAAGAGGGAATGGTCTGAAAATAACTCAATGAATAGGTGAAAAATGTCCAGTCATTTAACTTAAAAAGAAGAGGGGAAATCTTGTTTGAAAGACAATCGACTAAAAAACAAACCTGTTTCCAAATTCTTTTGTACTTTATTATAACTAAACTTTTCTGCTAAGAAGGCAACATTGTGGTGAAGAGAAGGTTTCTAGCAAAACAGAAGAAAAATATAGCTTTGGAAACATAATAGAACGTAATTTCAAATGGGTTTTACATCACCATTTTCCCCATAATGGTTGGTAAAGATCTAGTTCATTTCATAAAAATTTGGAACCAGCAAAAGGAACAGACCGAGTATAAACTTGACATTTGGTATTACTTGCTAAAATGGGTGCATTCATACTTGAATCTACATACTTAACTTCGTATGTAAGAGTATGCAAAACATAAAAAGCGTGAGACCAGAAAGTCCAGCCTAACCCCACCAAGCTTTAGGCCGATCTGTGCCCGTTGACGGGCCAGCTTAAGCCTTGAACTTTTAAATTCCATGAGTGCAGAATGAGCTGAAATGATGACAGCTTTCAGAATCCTAAACAGTGCAAGGAAAGATGATGTTATATGTGTGTATATATATATATATATATTCTGCAAATTTCAAGCGCAAGGAACCAAATTTTTCAGGATCTGTAATTTTTGTGGAATATGAACTTGAACCCACTTCCGTGGGTGAGTGTGTGTGTGTGAGAGAGAGAGAGAGAGAGAGTAGGAAAGATGATGTTATCTATACCCCTGCAGATTCCAAGCAGGGGGAACAAAAATATTCTAGGGTAGACATGTTTGTCGAATATGAACATGAACCCACTTCAACATGTTTTACACACACATATATATAGCAAGCATGACATGTTATAAATATATTCTGCAGATTTGGAGCACAAGGAACCAAAATATCCTAGAGCTGCAATGTTGGTGGAATATGAACTTGAACCACTTCCACATGTATGAGAGTGAGTGAGTGAATATTGTAGAGATGTTACTGAACTTACTGGCATATGAACTTGAAGCAACACTTGTTATCATATTAACTGAATTTCAATCACAAGGAACCAAATTATTCAAGAGCTACATAGCATAATACCAACAATATAAAAATTTACAAAGTCACTTAGCACGCCTTTGTGTTTCAACTCAACTCAACCATCTCAACAAAGAAATGAACTTTGACATGAGAGAAGAATATACTGAGGCACCTCAACAAGCAGTATTGAACATCTCAACAAGACTACACCCCCAGGTTTTTCATTTGTTACCTCTGAAGTACATATAAATTTTCTGCACATAAGGGGAAAACAAAAAACAGTTAAAGAAATCAAATCAATGAGAAAGAAAAAGTAGGGCTTTAATGATGTATATGGAATCGAACTTCACATAATCATAATCCACAACCAAAAAAAAAAAAAGGAAGAGAAGAACATTCATACAAAATTCCAACTTATTATTTTTCCTAAAGCAAAAACAAAGAAATCCAAAGCAAAACATAGCTATGGATGAAATTTAACATAAATCATGGTATGCATTTTTTTCCACAATATATATATATATATATATATATATTCCCACAGTGTTAAGAGGCTTATAAGAAAACAGCCAAGTGTTATTCTGTTTCTGCTTTCTAACCTGAAGTACCCACAAGCTTAGAAGTGATTCTAAGCAAAACAAGCCAAATCCAATTAAGTAGAATATCTGCAAGAAAGCCAAAGACATTAGCTGTATCCAGACATTCAATGAAATAACTTAAAGCGCATATAATGTTTACTTCTCATAATCATTTTAGGCATCTTAAAACCCAGAAAAGATAAATTGTGCAAATCTCCATTGTCTCCCAACATTGCAACATATCTCACTATATATGGTAGCATTTTTGTAGCATTCCTTCACTCAATGTTCATCAACAACGAAAGCCCAAAGGCGCCGAAAGTTCTTATTGCTTCTAGCTTATACAAGTGAAATCGGTCAAGAGGCATTTCTTGATGACATACAACTACCTCGCACAAATTATCACATTGGACACTATGATAGAGCAGGTAATTACGAGACACGGCTATTAGTAACTCAACTATTTGAGAGAGAACCCTTGTGCATATGCCCAAAACGAGATTACCATTCTAGGAGGGTTAGAGTGGACAAAGACCTAACATTTGATGCTATTATGCATACAGTGGCTGATCTGAAAATCTAGCTTACGTTCCAATGCTTGGCAGCCGGATGTTTCACCACTGCACCAAGCAACATTCCGATTCATTTCTTTTTTTTTTTAAAACAATAAAAGAAATCAGTTGTTAAACAGAAAGTGATTACAACCATAGAAATACAAAAAAATAATAAAAAAAGAAAAAAGAAAAAAGAAAAGAAAGAAAGAAGCCCAGGGAAGATTACAATATCCAAAGGAGCAGATGAAGCCAGGTTAAGGGCCTCAACAGATTTGTAGATTATAATGTTCTACGGAGAGAGAGAAAAAAAAAAAAAAAAAAAAAAAAAAAAAGGACAAACTACTACATGGAGTTCTTCATGTCAAGTAAACAAAGTGACTGCTGAAATGATATTAGTAATAGTCTAAAGGCTACACTACTCAGTGCCGGTCATGGGGGATGCTCAGACGAGAAGATTATAAGCATACTTTACCATTAACACTATTTTACACACAACAACTGTTCACATACTCTGACTAACGGCCACACGGCTCAAGCTTGTCAATCTGAGCTTTTACCATTTCATCAAAAATTGGCCTCTAATTAACAGTAGTACCTGGAGGAAATTTATTTAGTTATTTGAAATCCTTTTTTCAAAGTAAATTATTAGATCAAGCGGGTTACCATATGCACCGAGAGTACCCTACATAAGAGCATCCTTCCCCCATTTTATTCTTGGATCCTCTAAGAGTAACCTTTGTCTTAACAATCCAATGATTTACTAAGATAGGATCAAAATCTTTGTGTTCTTTCATTTTTCAGAATCATAGCCCACACAAAACTTTTCCAACAATGAACAAAAGGTGTGTTGTTTTAATACATGTGACCATAAATAAACTAAGGTTATCTTTCTTGCGGATTAACTTTCTAGGACAAACTATCCCCATCCACCAATTTGGTCCAAATGTTGTCCTAACTCCTAATGGATCGTAAGGTTATCAAATTTTTTTTTTTATAAGTAATCTTAAGGTTATCATTTTATCTTTGATTTCTCATGTGATGACATATTTGTTAAATAATTTCCAACTCCAAGCAAATTTCAAGTCATCACAATGAATAGTTTCTGTTCACCATGTAATTAATTACTCTCACCATTCGCTGTCATGCCTCAGATTACTTATTCTTTCAACATTCGCCATCATGCCTCACATTACTTGTATGAAGAATTCCTTAAGAACTAGCCTAAACTTCCGTCACAGTTATGATGTATTTTACAACGTAACTCTCAACAGTAGAAGAATCTAGGACTATTACCCTAGGCTCTGATATAGAGTCGCGCAAGGTCCATGAGGTAGACTTAGAGCAGGGGTGAATAGGTCTAATTTAGCTAATTAACGGTTTTAACTAATTTTAAATTTAATTTAATTCATCTGCCGTAATCAAAAAAGCAAATTATATTAACCCCAAGGGAAATAACCAAGGAACTAAACCAAGAAGATGTGTTCTGGTTTTTCTGAATACAAGAGGTCATTTTATAGAGTTTAGAGTCATAAAACAATTAGGATTTTAAGGGATTTTGTCCAAAAAAGGAACTGAAATCTGCATAGCTCGATTGATTGAGCCTAATGTCAATCGATTGACACAAGGCCAGTGGCCTTCAATTGATCGATCCCTTAATCCATCGAAGTGACCTCTCCTTCTCCAAGAAGGAATTTTTTTTTTTTTTTTTTTTTTTTTTTTTTTTTTTTTTTTTTGGGTGTCCTCCAACTAGGATTTTGATTTTAAGGAACTACCCATAAACACTTTATGCATACCAAAAAGGAGATCTGCATAAAACATAGAAGGTATGAAACTTTAATTGATGAATGCATGAATCCTAATTGGAGAGTGCATAAAAAAAATATAAAAAAGAGTGTTGATTTTACTTTTTTGCCTTTTGAATGTTGTTTTGCTTTCCGATTATGCCCTTTAACAAGGGGTAACCAACTTACTCTTAACATTTGAAAATATCAAAAAATAAATATAAATATAAAATTTCAGACTTGAGCTTTTGACATAAATTATGCCAGCCTAAGTCCTATTTTGACCTAACAACAGTCAACAGTGATGGGACTCGAGTATTTCCTTTCTCAGTCCCCCCTTGTTAATAGCCAGTAGAAGACACAGCTTTTTCTTACTTCACAACACCTAATTAAGATACCTGATCAGACGGTTACAACATCCTAAGTCCAAACACAGTCATGTTTCCTAATGTTTCTTGAAATTGAACAAGACCCAGAAAAATATCATATTGTTCTTCCCTTTTCTAATTGGAGAACAAAGGAGCTTTTACATTCATGACACATTATTACCTCCAGGATAGTCAAACATATGGTTGTTACTTCTTTTTCCTTGCAATATGACACAAAATCCAATAAAGCGAGTGATAGATTTCGACTTTAAGGAACGTTGTATACTTGTATATCCCACGTCCAGCAATAAAAATTATTACGAAGGTAAGTTAATAAAGTTGTTGGGGGAAGGTATAATATATCTCTAATAACTGGAATTAATCTTTCAATCTCTCATCGCCTTTAAGGACCTTAATCTTTTAGCCAAACATATGAATAAAGCGAGTTATAGATTTCGACTTTAAGGACCTTTTCTTAAAATTAATGTTACTTTTACCTCTCATTGAGCTTCAGACATATGGAAACTAGAGCCATCATGCAGACATATGTGCTTCAGACGGACAGCAGAAGGGCAACAATGGCAATTTTGGTGTCCAATTAAAATTGAAAATCTTCTTATTGCATCTCTTACTTTTCTTTCAATCTTTTGATCTGAGGCATAATATATATCTCTTAACAGGAAACATCAATTGAAATTTTTTATTCAACCACCTAATATTATACTTAATCAGGATTCTCATCTACTGTCTTTGTTATATGCTAGGAAGCACGGATACTTCCACAAGGTCTCCGTGGCCGAATTGGATACATATCCGACACAGGTAAGCACGGAATACGTGTCTAATACAACTGGGAAATGTCCTGAATTTTAAAATATTTCTTTTAAAATCGGATACGGCTGGGACATGGCAAGATACTTCTGGGATACGACTGGGCAAAATCATAACTATATTTATAAAAAAACAAGGGTCTAATTGTAAAATAAAAAAGTTCTTTGTTTAAAAGAAAATAAAACAAAAAGGACTTAAAATCACCATGTTGTTGAAAAAGAAAGGAGATCCGGTGTCTACTAAGGGTTGTATTAATTTGGGTCATTCAAGTTCTAGGGTTAGGGTTATTCTTTGTTTTTCATATAATTGCCTCTTTTATATGAACACATTGGTAAATACGTTTACAATCACAATGTTGTTGAAAAATAATCAAAAAGCTAATCTTTTTATGTAAACACAAGGGCAAAGTGCAAAAAATCCCCTCGTTATATAAAAAATGTGCTAGAACCACTCCTACTTTTTATTTTGTGCATATAGATCCCTATATTATCAACATTTGGAGCAAATTGTTCCTTCACCATCAATTTGGACCAATTTTTTTAAATTCCTAAAATGCCCTCAAGGATAAAAAATATAATTAAATTTGGTCAAAGCCCAAATTAAATATATATTATACAACATATATATTGCGCAAACCCAATTTGTTCCGTACACAATTGTCGCGTCATGAATCCTCTCTCCCCTCTCTCTACTGATCTGAGCCCTAAAACAAATATATGGCTGCTGCTCCTGCATATCTCTGTACACACACATATAATTATACACACATAGCCCTCCTCGTCTCCTCCTCCATCTCCTTGACGGCTCCTACATATGCATGTACAATATTGTGTATACTGTATACATACATATATATAATTATATATTAAACACACATGAATATAATTATACACCATCTGAATGGAACCACGTTCGCATTGTGCAAACTGGGCAACGATGGTAAGGAGCCATTGTGAATGGGCTGTTGGAAGAATTGTTGCCGTTGCTGCAGGACAGAGAAACATCGCCGAACAGAGCAACGTCTCTCTCTTCTGAGTAGAAAACTATGTCAACCCTGAAATATTATAAACGGCAGAGATTCGATCATCCTACGAACACGTTGTCGACGGGTATGGAGGATGGGATGTGAAAACTGGTGGTTGTGGGTGGCGGCGGCACAGCTAGTGGTTGTGGGGTGGGGTGGGGTGGTGGTAGCAGTTATGGGGTGGGGATGGTTGTGGCGGTTATGGGGATGGTGCTGTGACAGTGGCTGGCCGCTGGTTGTGATGAGTAAACACGGCTAGAAACATTGTTGTGTACGACATAAAGAGGTGGAGTGAGTGGGTTTTTTAAATTACATTATTGTTTATATTTTTTGTAATGTGCTACATTATAATGAAGGTTTTTTTGTCCCTCTTCATTTCTTATCTGACTTGAAAAAAAACAAAAGATATATACACTGTGCACAGTTCAAAATATATGCATGTGTGTGTGTGTGTGTATTATACCCATTTTGGTACTTTAGTCATTTCATTGTTCAATTAGCTCCAAAGTGAAGATTTGTCCTTATTTGCACAAATTAAAAAATGTAGGAAGGTTTTTTGCACTTTACCCAAAATATAATATGTTATTATTTTATTGCTGCATCTTGCCATACTATATCCTATTTCTTGGAGATTTGCTATATTGCCGCATCCATATCCGTGCTTCATAGGTTATATGCATATCAACCAGATATTATAAACAAACAGAAAGATTATTCTCAAATTAAAAGTTGGTTACATAAAATAGTTTCATTAACGTCAAAAAACAATAATTCATGGCTTTAATTTTCCTCCTTTACAGTTGTATTTAACTACACATTCCTGTCACAGATGCATCATTACATACTACGCTACCGGAGTGATACGCATTTTTTTGATAAGTAATACACATTTAAAACTTCAAGATTTGCAATAGAATAAAAATCTGACATAAATATATCATAGAACTAGAAGAGAAATGAATGCAAGCTTTATACGACTTACCCCCACCAAAACATGGTCAGAGAAGACATCAATTGCTGCCAGTATACCCCTGAGATTTAAAAGGCAAAGCATGATAGTTACTAGATGAAATTTAAAAATGAGTAAATAGAAAAAATGGTCATCATCACACTTCTAACAAGTAATACACTAAAACCATAGCGGTAGAAAATTAAAGCACCTGAAGATAAAAAATGGAGTTGAAACAATTTTTTTCTTATTCGGGGGAAGACAAAACAACAAAGCTACATCAAAGCACGACAACTAGCTTCATAGCACTATACCCAATTATCTCCGAAGTCCCATAGCTTTGAGCCTTGTTTGAGGACCCAAAATGACTAAACTGGCATGGTGAGAGCAAGACCAGTATATACAAAAAAAAAAAAGCCCAATTGCTTCGTACTCTGAGCCCGCATGCTATTACTAAGAACTGAAAAACTAATACAATATATTATGTAAAAGCATATTAATAAAGGCGCACTCATGCAGCAATATAGGAGGCAAACAGGTCACACGAATCCTAAAGGCTGAAGCACATTTGTAGAATAGGTCTTAGTCTAAACCACTCTTCACATCTATTCCACTGAAGGTAAATGTGTACATTGAGAAAAGCAGTACCAATTTCTTATAAAAAAAACCTCCAGTATCAATTGAGACTCCAGCTCTAGAATAGAGCTTCCATGCTTCTTACCCTAAAGGTTGGAAGACAGTGGTTCGCTCATGAGCTGTTACAACATTACAATCTATCAAATTGAAATCCCAACTACCATGAGACAGAATCAAATCCCAAGATTATTAAATCTTGTGTAACTATTACCTATGGGATTAGTTCATAATCCAAGAGAAAAAAAAAAAAAAAAAAAACTGATTTCCAGGATAAGCAGAAGAGTAAAATATAAGTAGTTACCTCCAGATATCTCTCCAGTTTTCTATTTATTAAACATAAATTTTACTTAATCCAAATATGAGAACCAGTGTAAAATTAGTCACTCGAGCTAACGGGTAAAAACTAAAGCAATCTAATTGTGGGAAACAATATTATAAATGAAATAATGCATGTTAAAACATGCAATAAATTATCCCAAAACAATTAATCATAAAGCAGAATGCTGGTCACTTATCAGCCCCCTTATCAAATTATGTATTTATTATAATTGACACTAATAAAAAAAATGAAGAAATCCCATTGGTGAAACAATTTACAAATTAAATAGTTCATCTTAAAACCCACAATATGTTATGATAAACATAAAAAAAACAATGCTGGTCAATGATCAAACCTTAATGGGGGTAAAAAAAAAAAAAAAAGGACACAGAAAATTCTTTAAAGTTTAAACTCGGTAAGCAAAGGCAGAAATGTAAATAACTTACGTCAATGACTTCCCACGAAAGACAATTGGCGGAGCAATGGCAGCAAAGATGCAAAAACCAATGTGAATCTACATAATGCCAATGGTATCAAACAAAGCAACAATTGAGTAAGTATAGGGAGGGAGGAAAGTTTTACACAGTCACGGCAACTGACTGGTTAATAAACTCACCAAGTAGAACATGAAGAACCAACCGAACTTCAATGCACTGTCAGTCCTGCAATTTGGAAACAAATAGCAAAATGCTACAACTATCAGCACCAGTGCAGCACCTTTATGCAATAACCATATTTATTAAGTTCAAATATGAAACCATTTTAACATGTTAACAATATAAATGCAATAAATGTGATCCAAACATCACTACAACCACTTCTAAATTCAGGTAGGCCACAACCAAAAGTGAATCAGCAAACCCAACAATTATAAGTATCAATAGTCTCCCATCCGGAATGAAAACCACTATGCAAATTTAGGAATGACAAATACCTCAGACAATTAGTATTGTATTTAATGGTGTGATATTTATGTATCACAACCAGAAGGATGATGTGATACAAATTGATCAATACAAAAAAAAAATTAACGTTTTAGATCCTAATGTTAAACACCATATAAATACGTGTCAAAAAAAAATGTTAAACACAATGCTTAAGCTATTAGAGAGGGTGTAACTTTAATATTTAAATCCTTCAACTAATTTCAACAATTAAAATAATGTGACCATCAAATAGCATACACCAAAAAACTCATTCTGAATGTGTTTGGTTGGTTCATAGTTTCCTAAAAGAAAAGAAAAAATAAAAAAAATAAAAAAAGGTCAAGGATTTAATGATTATTTCCTGGTCTCAACATGATACCATATATTTAATGTTTGAATGTTATGTAGTAGATTGAATGATTGATAAGCCATCAAAAGGGCCATTGCTTGATGCAATAGTATAAACGTAAGTTATATGGTGCAAAAATGAAGGCCAAAACTACGAAAGCAACTGCTTCTTACTACTAAAGGCACAGATCAGGTGTTGCGGAATAACTAATGTCAGGCAACACTCTCCAACCAACTCCCTAAACAACTTAAGTAGGAAAATTGTGGGAGGAAGAAGAAACATAATGCTTGCTTGGTTGAGTTTTCTGAAACCAATTTTCTACAACTCTGAAAATAGAAAATAATTTGAGATAACCACAAATGATAACACTCTGAAATAAGTCCTCCTTTAATTTTTTTTTTTTTTTAAATAAAATAAAATCAATTTTGCCAATGAAAAAAAAAAATCTGACTATCGGTTTTTCCCTTCTCTAAAAACATAAAACCATTGTCATAAAATTGGATCAAAAGGGCACACATGGCATCATAGAAATCACTCTTAAGTTGCCTTAGTCTTCAGAACTAATGCTAGGACTGCATCACAAATAACATTCAGCTAAACAAGGATCCAATGACAAAAAATGACACAAAATAACGAGACCCTACCCATGGGCCTCCACTAGGGCCCATGTCTCTGTCAAGTCCACAACGAATGCACCCATACAGAAATCCTAATTGACAGGACCATTATTGGAAACAGCAATTTAGTTTCTCACAAACTACTACAATATATTGCATTTCTTGAACTTCTTTATATCATAGTATACATTGCATTTTTATCAATTTCCTCGTTTAAAGGTGTGCTCTTCATTATTTCAGTTGTTTTTGTGTGTGAGTGTTTACTTTATTGGTATTTATACCCTATTATCTGCATATCAAGGCCTGTCTTGCAATACTAAGTGATAGTACACACATCAAGACCCACCAATACATTTGTGAAAGTTGAAGCATTTAATGTCAAGCTCCTTTTACCTTTGAATCTCAGGATGTCAGCTTTCTGGGAAGATGATGCTATAGTTTTGTATAGATAATTGTTCCAGTTCGCATTGTGTATTCTTTGTGTGTACATGAAATTGCATCCATTGGTGTATTTAATAAAGTCTTTTATCTATCCCGCCCCAGGGGATAAACTTGTATATTCTAAAAGAAACAGCACTAGAAATAATATAATTATAATAAGATATAATTAACAAAAATGGAAGTCAAAACCAAATAACAAATCACTAATATACAACAAACTATATTCTTGATCGAGCAATATACAACAAACTATATTCTTGATCGAGCAATTGAAACTTGTAAGGTCAAGTTCAGAAAAATCACGTTCAATCATGGCCATACTCATATAGTCATATTGATAAGTTCCCACTCAGCATAGTATTTAAACCAAAAGCTCCAAAAATAAGTTATGAAATTGAACATTCTATATATAGCAGAAATGTAAGCCAAGAGAGGAGAAGCCAAAATAAGCCACAACTTTAATACCTCATTGCACGATACAGTGGCCTGTACCACAAGACGTATGATAGGGGACATCCCATTAGAGCATAAATTGTTGCGAGGAAAAAAATCTTGACACCTGCAGATAGTCAACCATGTCACAAGCTCTATATTGAAACTAAGCCACCAAATCTTAAAAGCATCACTTATAATCAAGAAAAGAAAGCTTACCGCCGCCTCTGATCCAACAAACAATCACAGCAATAATATTGAAGACGAGACAAAGAACTATACCTGCAGAGACAGCAAAAAGAAGATACGCTGAAAAATCACAAATTCATCACTCTTCTTAACAGATATACACCAGAAAGACCAAATAAAGCACCATCCCAACTATTTAAGGTTGGCCAGATAACCAAAGAGAATATGAAGAAAGAAAAATTGAGGAACAAATTTCAATCCCATTGCAAACGTTAATCTTTTAAGACAAAGGGGAAAATGGCTTTATCTAGAGAGCAGAAAGACAAAATTTGCTTCGTAAAGAAGCTACTACAAAAAGCAGAAAGCATTGAAGTAAACAAAGAATAAGGCTTATGAGATGATCTTTGGATTGGGGGACTTGGGGCCACGTGTGCGGGGTGGGGGGGAAGAATGAAAAGAGGAAGAGTCGCTTATCTTGAGTTTGTTATAATAATGAAGAAGTAAAGAAGAGGATTTTATAAGATTAGAAGAAGAAGAAGAAGAAGAAGAAGAAGAAGAAGAAAAAAAGAAAAAAAAAAAGAGGGATAGCCTAACTTGTTTAATAGTATTTTGTCTATCCTTCCTAAAGTGGGAGGATTTGGAAGGATAGGAGATAATACTTGTTTATCCTTACTACTTACAAAATAAAACAAGAAATTCTTCTCTCTTCTTTATCTTTTCAAACATGATAAAGAATTACCACCATCCTTCACTTTCTTTTCCTTCCTTAATTATCCAAACGTGAAGAGAGGATAACACTGTTTTTCTTTTCTCTTCTTTTATTCCATAACTGGTGATATCCTTTCTTTTCTTTTTCCTCCTTATTATCCAAATAGAGTATAAAACAATGCTACTTCCAGACAAATTTATCAGTTTGCAAGAAGAAGAAATATTTCAAAATAGTAGGAAAAAAAATTGTCAGCTAAAGTTTTCTCTTATAGAAAACAAACGGAGATGAGCAACCATACCTAACCAACTAGCGAAAGCCAGATATTGCAACCTCTGAGCATGAACTGGAATCTCATTTGCTATATCATGATGAATAATTGGAAAAAATGGAGGCCAGTTTTTATCATCTACGGGGACACCAGCTGAAAATGAAAAATTCAAATAATATATAGAAGCTTTATGCGGCATGAGAAAAGGAAAAACAAAAATGTGATCCTAAAATTTGCCTTTATTTTGCGACTTACCGCTGGCAACAGCATCTTCTCTCCGTTTAATGTCCTACAAAGGGCAGTTAAAGGTAGCATGCATCAGTACTAAATTCAAATGAAATGCCTACGAATATTCACCTTTAAAAAAATTTCAGAATCAAGAATATTATTTTAGAGCAATGGATCATCTAGATCAATCAAAGTTTTACATAACACTTTGATTATATTTGGAAGAAACTAAAACGAGTGATTTTGCAATTAAGAAAACATGATTAAATATATAGGCAAGGAAGTGCAAAATTATAATCTTTTCAACTAACCCTTTCCCTCCTTTTCAGATCTGCTTCCCAAGCTGCAAGTTCTTTCTCCTTTTTACTTCCATCCTGCAATGTAGTAACATAAGATATGGAACTGAGTGCACCCAATTACATATAGGAATAGATGTCTGTGCGTGTGAGAGAGAGTAGGAAACTGTAACTTCATTACGTTCACTGTATCCAACGGTATATCCACGGTAGCATCATGTTTTTGGCCAAAACCCAGAGTCTGAGCAACCATTTTAGGAATTCGGGACTTTGATCCAGGAGCACCACCTCCATTCTGCAACGAAATCCAATCAAGGGCATTATAAGGCAACATGAATAAAAATATATAGCAAGAGAATCCAAATTAAATCCAAACAACATGTTCCAACCAGAGTCATAAAAATATCAAAGCGAGTTAGAAACCAGATGCACCTCCTTGTTCAGTAGCCAAATTTGGTACATCTGGAGGTAATAAGTAACTTAATTTTGTTTACATCTGGGTTGTAACATTCTTCTTTTTACTGGTGCAATTACTGAACTTCATTGCACCTGATGAAAAGTTTAAAACCAATACGCATCACCTTCAATAGTTTACTATCACAACAAAAAATAAAATGAAATGAATGATACTCCATCCGTCCCATATTAGTTGGCCATCTTTGGTATTAGAAGTTTTTTGAGGGAGTATGCAATTAATGCAGTGTCCTCTTTCAAAATTACCAATTTGCCCTTTTACGTTTAAATATGTATATAATCACTTTGGAAGACTTTTTGAAAACTTAAAGGGCAATGATGGAAAGATAGCATTATTTTACTTTGACTTTTGAAATGGGACAACTAATTTGGGACACCAAAATTGAAAAATGGACCACTAATATGGGACAGAGGGAGTAAAAGAAAACATCCCATTAACTTGATCAACATGCATTGGATTATAATAAGTTTCATTTCATCTTTTGGGCATATTTCTTCTAATTAAAAAATTAAAAATTAAAAGAAAAATAAAACCTTTTTTTCCTTCACATTTTTACCTATGCTTATCATTTAATTTGTGTTTTTTCTTCCTTCACTAAGTTCACGTATACAACATCACATTTACCATTTTAAAGCATACTTTGCTGACAACTGTATGAAAAAAAATTCATACTTGGTTCCAAGTTCTGCAACATATTAGTAATTGAATCACACCAAATCCGAACCCTTCTGCAGTATGCTATCTTAGTGCCATCATTGTAAGCTCTCACACAAAGAATTCTTTACTTCTGGAGTCCTAGAATTGCTGTTAGAGGCCAATTGCGTGTTGTGAAGAGGCTAGCGGGAGAAATAACAAACCACATTTCCAATTATAGGACCAAGAGATGTACTAATTACATCATTTACAGTTTGAATATTTTCAAAGAGGGGGAAAAAATAGAAAAGCAATTAGCCTCGTGGGCTAACCGACTAATCCAAGAAATTATTAGAGTTAAACATTGTCAACCAAATAAAATGTTTTCCAATGGGAGAAATAAGGAGAAGCAGCAGCAGAAGAAGAAGAAGAGGGTAACGATGTTTAGTTATTCTCTAGGTTTTTTATGGCCTAGTAACATGCTATGGTGCAATGAATCAGCACGGTAATGCATGTGGGAACATGGTAGATTTGTCTTATTTAGATGATAGTTTACAAAGTGAGTTTTCCAACAATCAAATCTGAAAATTATTTTTTGATGGGTAGTAATGCAGTCTTTTGGATATCATTCTGATTTGGCCAATACAAATTCTGTTGCCAATCTTTTCATTTGAGAGAATTTTCTCAAAATCCTTCTCATCTTTTCATTTGAAAGAATGTTATCAAAATCCTTCTTATCTTCTAAAAACTAATCCCACAACTCCATTTGATTTTGTTTAAATTTATATGTGTACAACAAATGAAAAAACTCCACCTCCAAGCATTAAGATATCTTCTTCACCCCCAAAGAGGAGGTTAAATGATTAAGGGTTCAAAGCCCAACTGGCACAACGTGTGGATACATGTTTAAAGAAAAGAAAATTCAAAGAACATTTTCAATAAATCTGTGATTGGATGCAATCATATTCATCGTCTCAACCAAACTATTACATAGAACTCAAAATTCAATTATTAGACTTTGCATTCATAATCCCATTTAAAGAAGTTAAGTTTAAAGCCCGCTAATCTTAACTAGTACAATGTGTATTATTGGAACTACACTATACCAATAAAAATCCCACACAGAAAATTCAAACTATTAAGTGTACATATCAAACAAAAATGCCCATCATTTTGCCTTTCATTCCAAACTATGCCACCAGAACAGTCCATACAAAGAGCAATACCAAAATTCAAGACTGAGGGGTTTTCAGATCTAGATCAAACAAAACCTCGTTACAAAAATACCCCGTAAACACATCCAAAAAATCAAAATATGAAACAAATCAACACATTCACGACATTAATAATAAATTAAAGATAGTAAACGAAATAATTAGACAGAATTAAAATTGAAAACCTAAAAAGTTGGATCTACGAAGGGTACAAGAGGAAAGCGGATTGAGAACGGTTACCGAAAATGGATTGACTTCTTCTTCCTCAAAAGGGTTCGGATCGTCCCTCCGATTCATGGTCTCTCCTTCTTTGGTTCCCAAAAGATTTGCAGAAAAAACTTCCGCGTAGATAGATGTAGAGAGAGAAAGTGGAGAGAGTACTGAGTACAGAGCACTACTCTTGTTATTTGTGTGCACCGCGCGGTTTCATTTAGAATGAAAGTGGCTTTGTATTTACGCCTTGAAAAGGACAAAATTACCAGTTGTATCCTCACGTAAGTATTGGGGGGTTTGTATTCGGTGTGCAATCTCCTAGGGTTATTCCATCTATCTAACCAGTAAAATTTTGTTAGAGAACGAAATAGTCACGTGTCTGCCACGTGAGAGTAATTTTAGTGCAGAGGTGGGTGTTTTGTGGCGACTATTTATTGGTTAACTTGATAGGTGGTGTAGTTTCTGTTGCACCAAAGAGAGACCCATTTTTGCGTTGATGTTGTGGCACGGGATCTTAAATTTTTTACTCATTTTTCCGACGGTAGTTGTGATAAATCAATCACGGAGTTAGGCCCTTTAAACAATATAAACGGGACCATGGTAGAAAAAAGCTCTCAAAACATCATTTGAGCATGTGGAATGACACGTGGCCAGGGTATATAGACATTTTTACAAAATAGGAATTTGTTCAAATGGTGATATGATAGACACTATAATGAAAGCAAGTAATAAATGTTTCTTGTCAACTTTTTAAATAATTTTTTTTGGCAAAATTATAAATAAAAAAAAAATCCTGTTATTTATCTCGACAAATAAAAATTTATTATTTTACTGAATCAATGTGGCTAAGTATGTGTCAAATATAATAGGACCCTTTTTAAAATATAATGTAATTAACTATTTAAAAAGTTATAATCCCTTTTCTATGTTTCATTTTAATATAGTATGTTTTTTTATGGATTAAAGTTTTTATTACCATGTATATCAAATTATATATATATATATATATATATATATATATATATATCACATTACATCTTTCTAATTATACATAAAATATTATGTCTTTGATTATTAATATCTATCTATTATTTTGATAGACATTTGTTAATTGTTATAATGATTAAAACTAATTATATATGTGAGTCCAAGGGAATAAAAAAAATAATGAGAGATATTTAAAGAAAAATGGCAATTTTTGTTCTAGATTTTGTAAAATCAAATTATTATATTTGAATACCATGAAAGTTATTGTGAAAACGAAAAAGAAGATGATACTTTTATAAAAAACTGAAAAGATAAAGAAACGGCAAATGGACGTATTATATGAAAACAAACAAGAGTAGTAATTATGTCTATTACTTGCTATTATCAATTCTCCTGTAATTCTTCTTTTTTGACAAAAACAAGTTAAAAATAGAGCTCGTAGAGATATTTCTTTCAAAGAAAAACAAAATTTTAGTGCTAATATATACTGGTACTATTTTTCTTTCAAACGTTTTTATTTTTATTTTGGTAATTACATTCTATTGATATTAATAATGGTAAAATTAAATATAGAAACTAAAAATAGAGTAATTTTAGAATAACACTTCTCCGTCGATTTTAAGTAAGGGCATTAAAGTCGTCAATAATATCATTTTCCCTATAAAGACTTTCCCACAACTATTGAAAGATTGTAAGATATATACCTCTCAATTATTTTTGGGAGCAAGTCTAGTCCGTGAATTATAAACATGTTGCATGTTGTCCTCTTCATATTATGGGAGAAAACTTTCTTGCCATTTGAGTGTTATGTGACTTTATTTTTGCATTTATCGGCAACCTCTAAACCCCCTTCCTTTGTAAGAATCAATTTGTTGTAAATTTAGTTTATTTCTCCTCTCTCTCTCTCTCCAACTAAAGGTGCTCTTCAACCATTTAGGAAAAACAAAAAACAAAAAAAGGTGCTCTCCAAAGGACAAGGTCAGTTTGATTTAATATATATATGTTCATATATATATATAAACATTTTTTTGGTGACCGGTGAGTATATTTATATACATGGATGACACAAAAATTTATTCTTGTTAGTTAGTTAGTTTTGTATGTCGACTACAACATTGTCCTATAATTTATATAGAATAACTATTGATTCATAAACACCAGTAAGGTGTATACAACACAAATTTAAATAGACATCGTGTATGTGTGTGTGCGTGTTTTATTCTTTAATTTTTTGGGTAGGTCTTTTCATTATATGTGATGCAAAGAGAGATGTCCTTAACTTGCAGTTATAAGATGTCATCCTACACTTACATTTGAGTTTTATTTAATACTAAAGTTGAACAGGGCACTCAGTGGAGGTCATATGGGCAAGGAAATTTATGTGTTGATGTTGACACGGTTGAAATATGACAACTAGGAATCATACAGGTGACTATCAATTACATTTGAGTTGACCCAACTCAACTCAGTCCCAACCCAACCTCAATCTGAATTGGGTTGAGTTAGGCCAATTCGAATTGTACTTAACATGGGTTATAGTCATAACCCGGACCGAATATTTTTTGACGGGTTGAGTCGGGTTGACGGGTTAAGTTTTTTTTTTTGAAATTTATATTATATATATATATATATATATATATATATATATATATATTATATAAAAATTAATCAAGGCCGTATATAACCGACCAAGATATATATATATATATAAGAGTAAAATAACTGAAACTAAATTGATATTACTAAAACAGAAAGTAATTACAAAAGATTATAATGACTGAATAACTTACAAACTGATATGTTACTGATAGTAGTCTGATGTATACAACATACTGTTGGTGTATTACACTCAAAAAGGATGAAAAAGAACTGAACTGAATATTACAATGAGAAAATATAATGAAGCCTGAATTCTCTCTCAAACGAAGCCTAATGAGTAATGGGACTGACCACTGCAGTTATAGGCGGGACTAGAGACATCTGAGGCGCAATTTTTGACTTTCAAAAAGTAACTTTTGACTTTTCAGACTGCTTTTGACTGTTAATGAATAGTGAGTTACTGTTCCTGTCGTTTGTGCCGACGGTTACTGCAGATGAATAGTTCCTTGTCGGGAGCACTGTAGAAATAGTGATTCTGCCGACAGTTACTGTAGAAATAGTGACTTTGACATGTTACTGTAGCACTGTTGACTTTTTCCCAAAAAACCCTTAGTAAGGATCATCGTAGGGATTTTGACTATCTTGGAATACTGGGTCATCATATAGGTTGGTAACTGGGTAACTAGATTCATCGACAGTGGAAGTATCAACTGCTTCTTCTTCTTCTTGTGACATCTCTTGGATGCGACCGGTTAAATCTGCTGCAATTTTCTTGAGATAATCCAACTCTAATTTAGGAGTGGATTTGCGTGACTTTGAAGTAGTGGCAGAGGTCAATTGTTTTGACTGAGTAACTTGCTGTTGTAGAGGGGTGGCTGTGACTAGAGCAACTGTAACTGGTGCTGGGAATTCTTCTTTTATATAATCAAGAATCCTGGCAATTTTGAAAGCATCCCACCATTTGACATAGTGGCGACGAATGACTGTATTTCCCTGAATGTCATATAACCATTTGAAAATCCAGGGGACTTTGTATTTGCAAGAAAATAGGAATAGAATTGGGAACTGGGAATTATGTTTACTGGTTTTGTAAATTGTGTGGAAGTATGTGACTTGATCTGCTAGAGTAAGAGGGAGGATTTCTGGAATGGAGCCAAACATTGACCACCATTTAAGAAACCAAGTAGGAATTTTGTAATTAAATTTGTTATCAAAACAGAAGAACCATGAATGGGTGAATGATGGATTCTGGTAAAGTAAAATGACAGACCAAGCTATCATGTAATCATGATAATTGTATGAATAATCGTGATCTGGTAACTGTTTGGTTGTTGCTGAATGAGATCCCCATTCATCTAGAGACATGATCTTGATGATGTAAAAGGAATGGTAGATGACTTTTTTGGGGTTGTTTTTATCATAAATGGGATTAATCCGGATAGAACTAGTGGAGTATAAAATATTCTTGTAGAATTGAAGTGACTTGAATGGCTGACCGGCATAATAATGGAGATTAAGAGGGAAATAGGATTTGACTAATTTTGCAAGGTCGGTAAGGTGACTCAGGGAAAGTTCTATATAGAACAAAGGGGAATAGGGTACCTAATCCACTCTAAGACCTTATTTAAGGATTTGTAATTGATGACTAAGCGGGGAACACCTCTTTCGATTTCAGAGTTTTTCTGAACATAGAAAACTGGACACGACCAAGGTGACTTACTCTTTTTAATAATCTTCTTGTGTAGAAGATCATTAATTTTTTTTTACAGAATTCTATGACTTCAGGACTCATTTGGATAGGCCTTGCCTTAGTGGGAATATGCCTTCTCTTAAATCATTTAATGTAAGGTAACTTCACAGAATGTCTCTTTCTGTGCCAAAAAGCAGTTGGTAGATCAGACTGTATTTTTAATTTGTTGTTCAAAATCTTGAATTTTTGTTTGGAGAACTGGATCAGTTAACTGGATATCAATTCTTTTGTAATTGACTTCTTCTTTTAAAAAACTCAATTGTTGAGTTTTGTTATGTAATAGATTTAGTGTTTTTGAAACAGAAGAATCTATGACTGATTTTAACTCTTTCTTGGAAGGAGGACTAAGGAACTTAAACTGAACTTTGTGTCCAAAAGGTCTGGTAACTAATCCTTCATTATCAGTAGTAAAAGGATAGAGGAGGTAGATGAATGGAACTCCTAATATTAGCTTATCAGTCATATTTTTTACCAAGACAAAAGATGTTTTAAAACATACATTGTTTTGGCAAATATGAGCTTTTGATAGCTTATATTTTATGTCCATTTTACTACCATTAGCTGAGCTTAGCCTTTCAGAGGTTTTCTCATAATATTTGATTGGTATGAGACCTTCTTGAATGCAGTTAAAATCAGCTCCTGTATCAATCAAGGCAACTACTTCAAGTTTGAAATCTTTATTGATAATAAGGGTAATTTTAGCATACCATTTTTGGAATGAAATGTGACTCAAAGTTTGGAGTTTTTTAGAATTTTCAAAATATTTTGAATGACTTGAATCTGCTGAATGAGCATAGGCTTCTTCATCAGAGGACTCAGAAGAGTCTTTTCCTGTAAAGGAAAAAACAGGATTTTGTTTTAGTTCTTGAATATCACTT